TCAATTTTTATTACTAATATGTTAGCATTTTATTTTTATTTTATTCGTGCCTTGGCGGGTCACGAATAAAACGCGGTGGGTCACTTTGTGACACGTGGGTCGGTGGTTCGCCATCCCTGTATTAGAGCAATCCTCAAAACCTATTCGGGTAATATATGAATAAACCTAACAATATTCGAAGTATCAAATTCCCACCTGATAATCATTTTGCAACGTATGGCATGAGTCAAACGCGAATTAGGAAATCCCATCATTAATAAAATATACAATTGCACAGCAGACTCCCTGATCCGCATTGTGCGACGTGCAATTGACTCGGGGCAACAAAATTTCGAATTTTCTAGCGAGGGGAGGGGGGGGGGGTGAGTCATTTATTCGCCCCAGTAAAAGGAGGGACGTTGACTAACTTTACAGTGCTTAAATTAAAGGGCTTAAACCAAAACTGAGTTACGTGAATACTCAACACTGAGTATTCTAGAGATTACCAATTTGCGGAGCTTTTTAATTATTATTTAATATGAAAGTAACACGGAAACGATATAAAATTAAAACATAAAAATATCATCTATCAGCTTCACAAATATCGCATACCGGGGTCAGTAATGATAATATTGTTTGCTCAAAATTGGGACCGTAACTGTGATACAAATCCAACACAGAAGATAAAAATCAGAATATAATTAATTTTTGTTGTGAATACATTCCTTAATAGTTGTCTTTAACATCTTCGCCGATGTTCGTTAAAATATTTGAATAATTTTATATAAAAAAAATACGGTTTGCCCACCACTAATCACGGCGCATGTAAATAATCAATAAATGACAATAAAACATCAACTTTGTTAGCATTAAATTCCAAGTAAAATTTCCACATTTCATGATTCGATCGGCGCTACACGCGAGCGTGTTTTTGTATATATTCACCAAACACCGCCAAGAAAACAGAGGCGAGCTACACGTGACTGTGGAATTTCGCTGTGAACGACGCATTGTTTTTAATTTATTACACGCCTCACGCAGTCGTTAATTGAACTTTTGGCGCACTGTTTTAATTTCACCGTATGCCCTCCACCCCGTTGGAAAAATCCTGGCTGCGACCCTTGTTCGAATTCTATATCTCACTATTGATTACAAAAATATAATTGCATCCAAACCAACAGTATCTATATATATGACTATATGAAGGATCGTTAAAATTTGGCAAGATATCCCAGAGTAATTTATAGTTAAAATCAGTATTTTTAATAAGTATACGACTAGCTCACAAAGTCCAGGCAGCCTGGGGGTTCATAAGGAGCACAGAGCTATTTGGAGAGGCCGTGGTTTGCCATTTAATAGGCTTTCGGCTTTCCTTTCCCCCTGGATAAATATGTAAGTCCCATGTTATATCAATGAATAAATACAGCAATAACCACACCCCACGTGGCGACTGATTCATATTCTGTTCTGTAGCTACGTTTTCTACCTAATAGATATGTATTCTAAATATGCATATGCTTATAGTTAGTATGCTTTAAACGTACCATACTTCAAAACCCAAAACCGAACACGAATCAAAAAATTAAAAGCCCCAATACGGCCAATTTCGCACTCGACCCAGCTGAAACAAGGGATTTTTGCAGCGAATGATGTGCTTTCTTCATATGCAACGAACCATTTAGCTGGACGACGTAAAAATGCAGGGTACAATGGATTAATGAGCAAATATTTGGAAGTTTCCACTCATTGTATATGCGCAAGTTTGTTGCATCGTTAACTTCAAAACGGAAATAGGATTTCTGATTAAGAAGCTATGGAAAAATATAATAGTGCATATGTGGTACATCATAAAATTTGGGTTTTTGGGAATAATTGGCAAGATATGATGTTGGAGTTTGATTGTTGTGAAATATCATGTTTTTAGGACATTTTCAGTAACGGATTACACATAAATACAATTTTGTTCTTAACAACTAAAATTGCATGATATACAATGTATTATACTGCAGTAATTTCTGCAGTAATAATAAAAGCTCGCCCTTCGTAATCAGGGGGACATGATGCCGGGGTTTGAAAATTGTAAATTTTTTGGTATATTTATGTTTATAGTGAGGTTTATGATGAAATAATATTTGACAGTGACGTACACATAAATACAAGATTTGTTCCCAACAACAAATTCTGTTATGTAGATTTTATGTATACCGTATTTTCTCTTTTAATAGCCCGGGCGCCTATTTTTTTAAACAGACTCACTAACCGGGCCCTTATTCAAACCGGCCCTTATTCAAGCAGGGGCGCTTGTTATTTTCAAAGTAAAATTGCACACAAAAATACCAGTAGATAATTTGATCGATCGTTACTGAATAATTAATACCGTATATTGTCATTTTCAGTTCTCAAGTATGATTTAAACGAGAATAATGAAAATTTTGACGCAAATCCGCAAAAAAAAAGTTTACACCGGGCGGATATTCAAGCACCGGCCCTTATTTGTTTTCATGTCCTGTTCACACGGGCGGCTATTCAAACGGGCCCTTAATCAAGACCGGGCGTTGAAACGAGCATTTACGGTATATCTGATTTTTTTCCACTAATAAAATATTTTCTTGTTTGTACGACAGTGTTGGCATTATTTGAATTTTGACATTTTAGGTTTTATAGTAAGGAAAATCCCGTGTTTCCCTGAAAATAACACAGTGTCCTATTTTTTTTTAAACGGGGTTATTTTGGGGGATTTCTTTGATTTTTATTTATCAAAAAACAAAATTACAAAGTCGAAAATTTCAAAAATACCAAAATCGATATCCATTTACTTATAAATAACACGTTTTTATTTGAAATAATAGATAAGACATAGATTATTAAAGCGAGTAGAAAACATTTCATGCTATCGACTAGGTCAAAAAAGTTTTGCGTTATTGACTAGGTCCTATTTTAAGTGAAGCCACTTTTTTGATATCATTTTTTAAATTCCGGATTGGTCTTATTTTTGGGAAAATTTATTTTTGCAGTTCAAGCCTATCTAGGTATAAGTAAATTTAAACTTGACTTTGAATTTGTTGTTCGATAATTTTCAAATTCACCGTTTTTTCCCTGTGCTAAATCCTTGAATATTATAAATGTGTTTTCTTTATCAGGGATGATATATTCGCATGAAAAATTGTGATATCAAATATTTTGAACGTTTAGCTTGGTCGCACACATAGTTCACCGTGGTACCAGCTTCACAGTAGCAGGGTTGCCGCATTAGCTTTTTTAACGCCAAACTAACAATTTTGGATTTTCTAAAACGCGTTTGGCGTCAGAATTTCCGTTTGGCTTTTCTATGTCTATTCTAGTATCTAATATTAAAATCATATAAAATACAATATTTAGTAGTCAACAATAGAATAGCCTATTGCTTAGCTACTGAACATTTAGATTTTCCCGAGCATTGATTTCCTTGTTTATTACCTTAACCATAACCAATCAGAAATAAGTCAATTACAATTGCAGTTTTTGCATCCGCTCCGGCAGATGTTCCAGCAGGCCACGTTTTCATAGTTTTGCGTGTTTTTTTAGTTCTATTTCCAAAAAATAATTGTATGACCTAATTGACATTAGTCCTTCTAAGGAGCTTCCGTTTGGTTGCAGTAATCAAAATTCAGTCTGGCGAACGATGTGATCAACTAGGCTAAAATTAGCTAAGCGACACGTGGTTGGATAATTTTAGTCAAATTGATGGTTTCAAACATGTAAACCAGTCAATAATCTTCAACGCTCCAAAACAATATCAGAATAAGCATAAAAAAAATTTAAATAGTGAGGTATAGGTAGAATTGTCTCCTGAGGTATATATATCGTAAGTTCAAGTAGAAACATATGCATATTAGATATAGAACATATGTACATATATTCGGTATTAGATAGATATTAGATGTCAGCTTTACTGTATTGTGTCAGATGTACAATCTAGTTTTACCATTAAATATTTATTCTTTCTTACTTTTAAATCCTTAATCATGCTGAAGTAAAAATCGTCATGATAGCAACCGAAAATACAACCTTCAGTGAGTAAAGACATTTAGGGTCGCTCACTAAATCAACTGCTGGCACCAAATCGGCAAATTGCAAACTGTACAAATCCACTATTCTACCAAAGGTTTCAAATCATGTGGCTTTTGTACTTGGCAAAATTGTTGGCGTTTTTGTGACTCAATCTGACTTTTTCATCATTAGGATCTGACGACCCTGCACAATAGTGCAGAACAGCTGAGTCGCACACGACTTCTTTCCTTATTGCGATGCCGATATAGTACTGATTAATGTAATAATGTGAATTCTTATTGTCTACCACAGGCTTTTGCTAACGGCGATATTTTGAAAAGAAGCTTGAGCGACTCAAATTTAACAAATTACTAATATCACAAAATGCGAATCAATTTTAATTATATTCGGGCAGTATACCATATATTGGATCTCCGCTTCTGGGAGACCCTTATTCTCAGTAGGCCTCGGCGAATGGATCTAGATATAATTTTTCATGTAGGTTATCCTGCCACCCTAGAAATATGGAAACAGCAAAAAACGCGCCGATCGTAAGAAAATTTCAATTTTTTTTACAATTTATCGCCGTTTTTTCGCTAACCAAGTTGAAAATTGAAATTCAAAGAACGCTACCTTTCGCACGGGAAATTACTTATTCCAACAAGTCGGCATTTGTCTCGATACTTCATAAACTGGAGAAGCCTTAGGGATTGAAGAGAACAATATGTTATTTAGTCTTAAGCCATCGTATATCAGTCTACAAAACGCGCAGCTCCTAAATGAACTGGCATTTTTGACAACCCGCTCACTTATTACTGAATCGCGCTGCCTTCAGAGATCTCAAGTTTCTATCGATGACAACCGGTTGTTGAGTGCGGGTTCAACTATAAGCGGAGATCCTAGAAGCCTACCGACTTGTATATTTTTATTTTTACCATAAGTAGTCGCAACGGCGAGTTTTCTTGGGTCACGTTGACTTCATAAATAACTTTTCTAATAACTCATAAACTTTTCGTTCATATACTTGTATGACATTAGGTCGGTGTTATAAGCAAGGAACGGACGGAGTGAAGAATAAATAAAACTGAAAGTCGCAGTAATCGTATAATGCAGAATGGCAGACGCAGGAATTGACCGAAGCAAGTTCCGTGTTCTCTGTTATAACATACTTGCTGAGTTTCATGCGTGGACCGATGTTGGACGTTCATTTAATTATCCTTATTGTCCTGAAAAATTTCTTGAATCTGGTTACAGAAGGAAACTTGTTCTTAGGCAGTTAGCGGAATACAATGCTGATATATTGTGTCTTCAAGAGGTTGACGAGAATGCTTACAGGGCTCTGTTTCTGCCTGAACTATCAAAACATGGATATTCGAGTAAATTTGTTAGAAAATTGGATATCCCTGAAGGCTGCGCAACGTTTTACCGCAAATGCAGTTTGACACTAATTGTTTCCGAACAAATAGTATTGGGCGATGCACTAAGATCTAAACGCAATTCTGATTTGTATAATAAGATCAAGTGTAACGAAAAATTGTTGGATACTGTAATTTCTCGGGGAACTTCTTTGTCAATGATGCTACTGGAAACTACTTCTAATGAATTGCTTGTTGTCATCAATGTCCATCTCTTTTGGGACGACAGAGGAGGGCACATAAGGGCAATACAATCGCAACTCGTAGTACGGGAAATGGAACATTTCATACAACGTTGTATAATTAGTGATACTAACTTAGCTAATAAGTTACTTGCCCGGATAGTTGCAGGTGATTATAACAGCGACTCATACTCCGCTGCTGTACAACTAATGACAGATGGAAAAGTGCCTTCAAATCATTCGGATTGGTTTGCGATGGGCAAAGAAGAGTATCAGCCAGGGATCGAATTAGTTGGCAAAATTAAATATCAAAGTGCCTGTGGCTATCCCACCTACACTTGCTTTGTTCCAGAATTTCGTAAATGTATTGATTATATTTTCATTGATCCAAAGGTCCTAAAAGTCATCGAAATACACCCCATTTCTCAATCATATGAAGAAACGACTCGATACACAGCTTTACCAAATGAGTTGGCCCCATCGGACCATATTCCATTGGTCGTCGATTTAAAATTTAATTTGCAATGTAAGTAATTATGTGCAATAAAAAGTATACACATGAGTTGTAAAGTATATTATAATATATGTTTCAATTCTGTGATTTACAGTTCTGATAGTTAACTATTGTTTGCAATATTTTTACATCACAGATCGTACATCATCATCGTACTATTACCATTCTATGTCGGGATTAGTTAGCCAGTTATTTGTTTTCAGAAGCATGAACTTGATGGTGAAATGCTGTCTGCAAATAGTGAAACACAAGCGAGATGACTTCTGGACTTGACACCAAGCAGTCCTGCCAATAGATGATATCCACATTGCGCGACCTTCCGGATCTTCTGAAAACAGTGGAATATAACTGAAGATCCATTTCGTTGTCTATACTATACTTACTAAACTGGAAAAGCCTTAGGGATTTAAATATACAATATGTCTATAAACCAAAACAAGAGAGCTATGCTCAAATATATGCCCACGTAGAGTCACATAATTTTGATGACGTCATAGCGAAAAAAAAAGTAATAGCCTTCTGGAGAAATTTTTTATCTTTAACCACTGAAAATTTCAAAGCAATTGGTCCAGTATTCGAAGAGAAAAGCGACTTTTTAAAAACGTGTCAAAGAACAACAACAACAACATAATATTGAAACGATCGTTATGTCCACTACGTGTCCAATAACAAAACGGAAACGTATATACCGACTTGCAACTGACGGGAGCCAGTTGGACGTTTTTGTTTTTTTGCCGTCGAGTAAACAAAGTCACGTGACCCGTGCAAGTCCTCTATACATCAATTTTTCAGAAGAACGAGAACTGTCATTGTCAGCATTTTAGTTCCAATTTAATCAATGCATGGCAGGTAAAATTTTGCACATCAGGGAAAACACCTTCTATTTTGGTCACGTGTTTTTTTATATCGGTCCACTTGGTTATGCTGTTGAGTAACTTGAATACTATGTATCTGCAACGTATTCTTTCTATTGCGCAATAAACGGAGGAAATATTCCGAATTTCATACATGGGTTGCAGTTTTCGCGCAGGGCAGTGTTGCAAACTTGGATTATTTTAATCTAGATTCAATTTATTTTCATACGATTCAAATGTAAGAAATACCCATTTAGATGTTAGAATATTTTCTAGATTGTTTCAGCATTCATTTTTTAGATTATTCTGACAAATGTTATTTTGCATTGTTATCTAGTGACAAAGGGGTGCAGTTCACCAATACCCGTACCTAGCAGTGGCTAACATTCGTAGATATAGAATAAAATACATAAAAGTTTTCCAATCGAAGTTACGGTAATTGTGCTCAAAACAAGCTGACTGGGATATTCGCCAAAATATTGGCTATTATTATTATTACTCTGAAAATTCGAAAGTAACGTGAACTGACAGACTGAACGCTGTTCTTATGCTAAAATCTGAAGTCAGGAAACACTGTTGTTCACTGATTCTATCCCTATAAGAATGTCTAAAAAACCAAATTGCAAACGATATGATCAGAAATTTTGAAAACAGTGGCTAATGAATGATTTGCTGAAAGAGTGGATAGCGCCCATGGCTGCTGATGCATCTAAGATTTTAAGGCATTCTGTAAATGTGAAATCCAAGCAAAATATCAAGATTTGAAGCAGCATACCAAGAGCCAGAAACATTTGAAAGCTTGTCCATTCACTACCAGAACTTTTGATTCATTTATGACTCTTAAAAACTCCGAAGCAGCAGAGCTGGAAGCGTCTATTTTCATGTTGCCACTCAGCTATTTCTAATTGTGACCATTTAGTTGATTTATGTAAAAGTAATCCCCCTACAAACGAAACAGTGTCTCAAATGAAAATGCACCGAACTAAATGTACTCATATCATAAGAAACACTCTGTGTGAGCATTTTAAAACAGACCTTAGATAAGATATTGGTGATGGCATAAATAAGGGTGTTCATGCACAACTGAGGGCCGAGATTCATCCCCTTATTCCTATAAAATGTGTTTGCCATTTTATTCAATTGGCACTCTCACAAGCATCGGCAGATAGCCTGCCAAGATACCTTAATATTGTGATTACCGAGACTCATAAATAGTTTTCACATTCATCTACCAGGCAGTATCGGTATAAGACTAGCTGTATCAAACTTTGAATGATGGCACATCACCTTTGAAAATTCCTAAAGACTGTCAAACAAGATGGCTGGCTATCTATTCAGCCAGCTGTTCAAAGAATCCTAGAACAATGACTGGAACTAAAAACCCACTTTGAAGTTTCACGATTGTCCGAAAAGTGCTATACTGCAGAAGTTCTGTATGGAATGTACTCAGATGAAAAAAAGTTGGCTTTCCTTTTATTTCTTAGTCCAATTCTGATTGAAGTACAACAAGTAAACAAACTGTTTGAATCCAAAAACATCGAAAAAGTGAAACTATTAAATGATATAACAATGCTGATGACATCAATTGCAAAATAGGTACTCAGACTTCTGCATGACGTAACAATTACAATTTTACCAGCTGTAGGCGGGCGGATGAATCTCAGTTTGTACTTCTCGCTCTTGCGTTGAGTTGGGTAGGCTAGCCTTTTCTTCGTCTTTTTTATTATCGTCAGTTTGTACTTCTTGCGTTGAGTTGGGTAGCTTTTTCTTTGTCTTTTTTATTATCGTCACGTGTGAAGAGGTCAGCAGCAAACGTTCCAAGGGGAAGAGTTAGAACATTCCACGTTGATGACTCTGTTTTTACCACAGAAGACATTGGTTCGCATTTTTCAAGTCGTTACCTGCCACAGTAACTGAGGTTTTTGGCAAAATATGTCGTGTTCGATAGAGCGATGGCAGAATCTTTAGACGTCATCTTGACCATATTCGACATTGGAGAATCTGTGGAATATCAAAATGACAGAGACAATATAGACGAATAATTTTTCGGAATTGCCCAGTACCTCAAATGCATCTTATAAAACACAGATCTGCAGAATATCAAAACCGCCTGACGGCTATCTCTTATATAAGCTATAAGAAGATTGATAACTTTGTACTGGACAGAAATTGTTGTAAAAGTTTCTTTTCGCTGGGTGATATCTATACAATTGTAAAATTTCCCTTGTTTTCGGCCGCATGAATATTTGCTATTGAAAAACTTGCTCTAACAGCTCGAAAAATGTTAGTCAAGACAGAAATAGCTATATTTACTCCAATTTACGATTGAGATCGAACTCATCAATTATTGTAGTCTCCGCGGTTTTGCTTTTATGATGTCCTCGACCACCCCAACCGTTTTGTCTAAAATTGCTGATATATTTATTTCCCCACCAATTTCACTAGCGTGTTTTACTGAGTGAACTAGAAAACTTAATTTTTTACGCTCTTTGGGTCTTGCAGCATCCGGAGCAGGTATCACGCTGTAATCTTTTTTCCTCGTTTTTTCTTTTCCAGATTTTTGACAGCATAATACGTCCCACCATCTTTTTCATGTTCATCTCCCAAGCTCATCTCCAAAATATGGTAACATTTTCCGGTACTAGGACATGAGCATATTGATGGTTCGGCAAGTACCTAACCCTATTAACCGAGCGTGGGGACTAGAAACGCTAGAACTTTTTGTGATACCTGTAAATACTACCAAATTGCGTTCAACGCATATCCGAGCCAACGATTTTTGAGTCACCCTCTAGTTTTTTTCTATCTTCGTTCGGGACGTAACTTGAATTGATAAGCTTTCCTCGAGAAAGTTTCACTTCGGTATGATGATTTGCCATGTGAGTGAATTCATCTTTGAGATGGTAATCGCCAAATCCAGTGAGCGCTCTATTAAAATCGGTATCATAAATATCTTGAACGTTTTTGAATGTCATGATAAAGATATCTAGGTGATTCTCGAAATTTTAAAGCGGATTTCAATACAAAGTTTATTCTTATGTTATTTGTTGCATCACCGTGAGCAAATGCTGAAAAATTGCTAGTTAAAAAAATGGCTTGTGTGATTCAACAAGTCATTCAAAAGATACTTGTCAAAATACGCCTTGAATTCTATTGTCCAAGTACTTGACAAAATTTCGTATTGCTCCATAAATAGTTCTTTAGAAAACGAACCAATCAACGTGTCCACATATATTTTATTGAATTTTATTCCAATGGGAATCCCGTGGGATGGGACTGGGACAGAAGAATATGTCCCATGGACAAGCCTGTATATTAGGGTATATATATATACAAATGCCTCACAAAACTTTCCGTTTGAATAGCATGTCCCAAAGTACTAAAATCTTATCATTACTTAATGTCTCTTTCGAAGTTAGTCCGCATTGAACATTTTCGCATTGTTTTCTGTCTCTTGGTCTATTAACAGCTATTCGAGCGTGATCGGGCAAGATGATTTTTTCGCCTGCAGATTGTCATAACCCTCCCTCGAGATCTTTCCAGACTTCGATTTCCTCAATAGTTTTTTGGTTGTTCGTGTGTATACTAGATCAACTGAATTGTGTGATCACCAATGTCGAATAATGTCGTTTCATCTTTACTGTCATCGTGTTTCCAGCAATATGCGTGTCGTAGAAATCTTGACTCGCCCGTCCTTCCTAGGCCGTCAGCTTATTTAGCTTGATAGTATCTCAAGAAAAAAAATCAAGCCTGTGCTTCGAAGTTTCTCTTTTAAAAAATAAGCTATTTCTTAGGGTGGACGTTCTGCTTGGTTCAGAAAAAATATTTGTTGTGTCATGCAAAAATCGCTCTACCTCTGCATAGTCAAGTGGATTGTTACCAACGCCAATCAAATCATACGACATTCTATTTGATCATACATTGGCTCATTATATTAATAACAACATTTGGCAAAAGAATGTTTCAGCGGCTAATTGCCTATTTCACTCATCTCCATTCAACTTTCAAACTCGCATGATGATGATGATAATTTCGGGCAAAGCTCTACATTACGGTATTCTTTGTCGCAAATTTATCACTTAGTGAAATTTAAACACACCCTGATTTTGCATTCATCGATGTACATTTACTGCCTATCTTCGATTTATGCGTAAATCTGAGTTTATAAATTTTATTAGTACGGAAGATTATGAATAAGGGTCACGCAAATCTTCAGCGTAAAACGCCTTGGTGTGTCATACCAACCTAAGATATTTGGAAGCCATAAGCAGAAAGCATCTAAAAGCGCTAGCCTAGATGAGTACACACACCTAAACGCACGACATCTGTGGAGATACGAGTTTTCGATGAAATGTACTGAAACATCATTAGTTTTGCAATCCACGATCTGTGACACGAAAGAGCGGCGACTCGACTTGGAACTCGCGGTTGCAGTGAATCAATCGCCTTGACTTCATACTCAATTTTCAAAATTTGTTGACGCTCGAACTTGACTCGGGACACGGAAGGCCCTTGAATCACGACTCGGAAATTATGGACTTACTACCCAACACTAAATTAGGTTCAAATTTTACTGAAGTTTGATGTCAGTTTTTAGTGACTCAGTCAGATTTTAGAGCAATAATTTAACTATCAGGCCCAAAGTTTGGCTAAATATCAACTTTTTCTGTCTCTATATCATTGTCGTAAAATGTTTAAAATTTGTTGATGTTACGTATACTTTTGTCACCCGGAAATTCAACCACATTTTGCAACTTTAAGATGCAAAATTTCTACCACCCACTACATTTGCAATTCACTCAATTTACACACAACACACTTTCTTCTCAGAATATTTTATTGTTACGTCACAATAAAATAATAGGGTTCTGTTCTAAGGTAAATATGGTTGGAAACGCATTTGTACGGTAACAGTTTTAGTTCTATTTTCAAGTAGCCTAGTTACTTTATTGGTATAAATAAAATGAGGAATTTAAATAAACACTTCAGCGACACGTCAATGGCTTCATCCAGTATAGTAGAAGAAGCAAATCGTCAAGTACAGGCGATTAAAGACATTATCGGAATGAAAGGTATATTATATTAATTTACGACAGGGTTGAAGGCTTCACAAGACCATTTTCTATGCCGACTCTGCCTATATCCCGTCAATATACTTATATCACGGGCGCCCAAGAAGGTAATAGCACATTTCAAGCTCATAAAGTCATAAGCTTTAGAAGTGATTTTTAATTTAACAAAAGGCCGTCTGATACATGAAAAATCTCAAAAGTAATATACCTGGCTTAATAATATAATAATCAAAAACATTGTATCACTGGCTCTACTAATGACTTCTTATTCAATTTTTGATCAGATCAAAACGAAGAGTCTTTCTGTCGAGCTTTATCTGAAAAACTTGGGGTCAACAAGCATGTTATCGAAGTCATGATGTCGCTGGAAGAAATGGCAGCGATGCGTAAAAAAACTTCCATTATGAACAGTTTAGAAGAATGCAAATCAAGAATTATATCCGTACTAGAAGATTGTGATGAAGATGCAAGTTTTCAAATTTATATTCTTCAGCTAAGATAAATATAGTTATGCTGTCTTCCCAAACTAATAGAGGATGTTCTGTCAAAAATAATTGTGGTTGGATTTTATAAAAAAAATGTAAATTTCAAAGAACAAATAACTTATTTGATGGCGATACGTTCTCGTTTCACAAGGTCATTGATTAAAGCGGTGAAATGATATTTGTTTTACATTACATTATACAGCAGAACCAAAAAAACACCACATTTCAATTTCTTACTATAGCAATGCTGTTGCAGTTACTGATTTAGTTTATGCAAATTTATGTTGTTAATGAACTTCCATTTTTTCTAGTTTTCTAGAAATTTCAATACCAAGTGATTTATTACAAATTTCAGGAAAATCTTTGGTAAATAAATATGGTTTGGATGAGTAAACTGTCTTTAACTGAAAATGTTTTTGCTAATCATATTCTGATTACGAGGTACGAATCTCACTTTCATTCATCTGGTTTTGTCAATAAGAAAACATTTTGGAATTGTACAAAAAAAAATGCAAGCATTGATGGACTGAAATGTACCATTTGCAAACCAGCAAATGATATTTACGTGAAATGACTCAGAATGTGATGGAAACTTTAGGATATTCTTAGAAAAATGTATTTCAGCTGTATGGGACAATCTTTTGAAAAGTAGTTTACACAAAATAGCAATCAAATGCACTATTGAGTATATGTAATAAAAACTTAACAAAAGCTATTCTTTTATATTTTCCGAAAAATCAAATTAGGGAGTAATTCTGCCTCACCCTGTATGTCTGTAGTTTAAACATAATTTGTCTACGACTGCACCCCGACTTGCCTAATTTACACGCAAATGATCACCATTTAACAAAGAACAAGTCTACATAAAACTTTTGTAGCTGCCCTAAGAATTGAAACTGATATTCACGTGTTCCAAGTCCCAATAGCCTGGTCAGAGAAGACCATTTGATTGGAGATTCGGATATTATATATATATATTCTCTCTGCTAACATTATTATGTTATTATTAATATCGTAACATCTCATAATAAACAATTAACTTCATATATAAACCCAAACAAATGATTCAGAAAAAACTGGCTGCTGACTGTACCCCCACATAAGGGGCTGACTCTAATTTATTTATTTAAAAGGAAAATATACCTTGGGGACCGAATGACGACCCTGAAAAATTGATAAAAGAGGCACACAGATCAGAACATATTCTCCCGTTCATGAATACAGCAGACGATATGACAGATGCAATGAAAAGGAAGAAAGAGCAATCACAGTTCATGGCGTCAATAGAGCGATACATACAATCATGCAAAACCAAGTAGGATTATTGTTCATTAGCTATAGATATTTCTATGCATTTCGGAGAGCTTTCTTCAATAAATAGCTGATTCGTTGGAGACGTCAGTGGACATAACGATCGTTTCAATATTATGTTGTCGTTCTTGTTTTTTTTCTCCTTCGTCACGCTTTTCTCTTCGATTTCTGGACCAATTGCCTTGAAATTTTTAGTGGTTAAAGATTGATTTTTTTGCCAGAAGGCTATTACTTTTACTTATTTCAAAAAATTTTGTGGACTTCAAGAGATTCTTTTTTTTGTCAGAATAAAAAATAGCGACACCTTGTGACGTGTTCATATATTTGAGCATAGCTCTCTTGTATTTCTAAAAGCATCATGTACCCTAGGAATATGGCTTATCAAACCAAATAAGCATATAGGTAAATATATTGAAGTTTATATACAATTCGATTCCCAGGGTTATGGATATGCAAGAATTGATCGAATGGATGTCGAATTTTTCTTTTGAAGTTACCTGGGATGAGGTGGGAATGAGTCCGGTATTGCAGAGAGAGAAAACAGAAGGAGAATCATATAGGTATTATGATATATATTAAAAAGCTTGTAAATTTGCTGTGATTTAAAACATAATTTATCACTGTGTCACCTATCTAACCTATTCCTCCTCTATTGCTTTTTCAGACAAATGGTTCAAGCACTCCAAAAAGCATGGCAGTGCGCTCGAAAATTCCAACAACTGATTGATCTCTTGGCTACTGACGATCCGTATGACGTCATTTCTGGAAACTTACCACCACACATTGCTGCAGCTAGACGAAAAAGAAAAGGAGCGGCCACACTAAACAAACTTTGGTGCAGGTAAGATCAAACTTTATTGCTTGCGTTACTTTCGCTTCTTCTCTGATGATTTGATGATAGAGATTTTGAAAAATACATTGATGTAATAGTTCAAAATATATAAATATTTTGAAATCTAATTTTTAGCAAACTACAGTCATCATAGGAATCGAATCCGCCTTCCATTTAAAAATTTATAGCAGTTATTTGTTGCAAATTTTTTTGTCATATATTCTCCAAACACACCATGTTTGCTTTATGTCATTGCATATGCATGAGAAAATTGTACGAAATTGCATTCATTCTTATTCACTATAAATGTAAATGTTGCGTGTATAGTAGTATTAATACGTATATTAATTAATTTAGCTTTCTGATAGCATGATGCTGTCGGTATATTTTATGTTCTGTATTATGAACTGAATTTATTAGTGTTTCTTAATCACATTTTTATACTGTAGTCGTAAGCTCCGTGGCAAACTTGACGAATATGAAAAAATGCGAATAAAAATGGAAGAATCAGAGAAGAAATCCATGAATGACCAACACAAATCTGCTAAAGTCGTCGCAATGACGACCCAAAGACAAGTCACAGTGGTAGCTCCCGGTAGTTTAACTTTTTGTACCTTTATTCTAGTCTGTAGTACCCCAAAAACTCGACAAAGGTACACTTACGTGAACCTAATATTTTTAAGCTCTTAATAAATTTTTCAACTCATGCTATCCTTCGCTAATTGCTTTTGAGAAGACGAATATTTTTTATGAAACAGCAATTTGAACGAGCCCTGGACAAGGTCAGTCATATTTAACGCTTTTTAAAAAAAATAGGAGAAGATTCCGGAAGTTCCAAGAATCCTTACAAAGAAACCGAATCAACAATTTTGCGTGAAATAAACAGATGCTGGAAAGAGGCAACTGACGATGTCGTCTTCTTTATGCAGGAAGTCAAAACTCACAGGTTTAGCAAGGTGGATCTTAGATGTTAATTTTTTAAAATATGTTGTTTCTCATTCCATGTTTAAGCCATACAAGTCTTTTACTCTCTGCGACTGTGTGAGCTAATAATTAATACGTGACATTTCACACTTTGCATTCTAGCATATTTTATATCAGGGATGAGATTGTTCTGACGCATCACATCATTGATTTACGGGTTTCCAGCAGCTCCACTCACGTTGGGGGGAAGGATCAATGCTGTCTTGTCCAATTTCCAATAGCCTACCGAATAATAAAAAATAATCTGTTTAACAGAAATCTTGTCGCTTGAGATTAGATAGAGCGATGCTTTTGCTTGAATTTATTCGTGCTGCAATAGAAGGTAGAATTTTAGATGCAGAGCAAAAAGAAAAAATGTTGGAGGATACAAAAGCTCATGTGGCCAGGTGGGTAGCTGAAAATCTTTCTTTTGCATGTCGACGCGACCAAAATAGAGAGTAAACATTTTCATTATATTCAGGCTTCAAGACGAAACCTATCAACTGAATACGAAATTAGCTGAGGCCCACAAAGCAACACAAACAGCTCAAAGAAAAATAACGAAACTGAAGCGTCAGGTGTATTTATTTGCAGTCATACATGTCACATAAACGATAAACATATATTGTAACGATAAATGCCACTTGTTACATTCATCAATATCAGTCAATCAAGAAATATAGCTATTTTACTGCTCAACTAGTAAGAGTAATCTGAATTTGTGAAGTTTCGTACGAAGCAAGGTCAAACCTTCAAGTGAAATCTTGATGAGCGAACCTCGATAGTGATGGAGACACAAAACAGCAAATGTAAACGAATTGAACGACATTGTTGCTTGAAACGCTGGTACTTTATCTGGTATTGGTATCAGTTCTAATAATCTCTGACCGGATATGAATTTTTGAGTAACAGTGGCATACAAGATTTTAATAATTGCAGTGTTTATACATTCCAAAGCCTTTTTCATGTTCCAAGTTTTTTCTCAAATCTTCTAATCGTGTAACAAGTTTCGAATAGTTTATTAATATTTCATCATGAAGGGTGCGTCATATTTTGTGTTGAGGAATACATAACTAGCACAATTCGAAATGGTTGCTTGAATTTGACTTCGACGTACCTGGACATTTGGTAAACTTTTAATCCTCGCAGATAAAATAACGCATCTTAGTCAGAAGGTTATGCGTTCGTCTAATTTTAATTCCTTCAGCTCGAGCTCGTTACCAAGAACAATCACAAACTCCAGACAAGAATAGGTCAAATGAAAGATAAAATAACAGAACAAATGAAACAAATTGAAGAATTGCAAGAATTACCAAACCAACAAGAGTTTGAAGGTTAGAATAAGGCACTCTCTGTGAACTGTGAAGTACCGCCCATATCATAATTTATATTGGTTGGTCAAGTTATATGACCGAGAGGCAATTACATTTATCAAAATTACTGAATTGCATTGTTCATTTTACTCTGAAAGTAAGTGAAAACTTGTTTTTTTCATCAATTACATTATTCTTTATTGAAGAGAATTTACAGAAAATTGAGGATCTGGAGCAGGAACTTAACAACGCTGAGAATCAAATAAATGAAGTTCGAGTAGAACTAGAGGAGCGAAATAGGGAATGCAATGTTGTGAAAGGATTGTAAGTTTGCGTAATTTTTGCGGTTGTTGATATTCCCAGCTGCTATTCTCAATTACTCAGATGTAGGTTACCATGCAGGGAAATATTCTTTGAAATATATTGCTGTACTAGATGACTTCAGCTGTAATTTAGCTAATTAGTTCATTCGAGTAAGTCGTTTCAATTCTGGTGTGCAACCGTTTTCTAGCGAGCGCACTATGAACTATGATAGCTGGGATAATGATAAGCAGATTGCAAGATTATTATTTTGCAGAATCCCCAAATTTATTTCACGAAATTATGGGCCTACAATTTTTTTTAGGCAAATTTATGAAACAAGTTATGATATCTTCGCAGAATAGGTCATAAATATTTTGAATATTTGGTTCTTTTTTGATTCGATTAAATGGCATCTCCAATAACTGTTGTCTGACTGATTCAAGTTTCTTTTTTGGTAAAATTCACTGTAACCCTATGTTATTATATTGCAACGACTCAGTAACTATTCTACATATTCTGATATTGCATATATAGCTTTGGTAAGTTCAGCAATCTGTCGTAAATGTTGCCCCAACCCAACTGCTGCATCAACATCACACTCATACAAACAAATAAAATGGGCTGCCGCAGAAATCGCGAGAAATATTCACTTAGTTATTTAAATTAATAAAGCCCATTACACGAGGCTATAATAATGAGAGCGGACGCATTCATTACGTTTGGTAGGGTTTGAAAAGTATGTCCAGGTCTCTAGGTATGAGTTGTTGGAGAGAATGAGTAAACAATACATAATGCATAAATTTTGGCGAATGCTGCGGCATGTTTTAGCGCTACATTCTGTAACCCTTTACGTACAGATTGATCTATGTTAGTATAAGTAGGTGTAGAATTGGTTCCGAATATATGGGTGATTTTAGTTGGCGCACTTTGGCGCAGAGGCTGTGTTCGTGTGCAGTTTATTGAGTACAGTAGCATCGCTTGTAAAACTTGCGCACTATATGAACAAAGGTGAAAACAGTTTTCTATCCCAAGTTCATTTGCACCCAGAACATTTGCCCATGTATGTTCCGCATCCACGGCTTTAACCACCCACGGTCATGTGCACCCGCGCATATTTCGCACGCACAGATACAGGTGAACCTGGTATATAACCCGCACCAAAAAAGCATATATGTGAAGAAGATTTATTATATTAATTCAGATTAATTCAATATTCAACGACGATATTCTTAGCATGAGCCGAAAATATAGTATATATTATATATACGAAACTCAGAATACATAATTGCAGTAATGAGAAAAATTTTGTAAGAGGTTTTCACGATAATTGGATAACTTGGAGGTATCCGATGTCGTTACATATTACCTTGGCACAACACGTTGGCTTTGTATATAACTATCATGCCAACGTAAGGCATCAGAATTGTTTGGATATTTTTCGAACCGCATTTTATTTAATACATTCATTTTTTCTTATTCTTCAGTAAAAATAAAATTACGTTGTTACGGTTTGTAGTTTCCAATTTTTTTCGAATCCATATTTTAGGCTTGTTCAAGAAAAGGAAATGTCTGCATCACTCTCTGAAGACATTGTTGTACTGGAACAAGAAAATGCTAAGGCTCAAGTAAAAATTGCTGAAATTGAGAAGAAAATGTCAGAACAAGAAAGCAACGTTATGTCACTAAGACTCATGGTTTACTATAAAGATGAGGTATGTGTGTGCCTAATTATATACATATATTTCTCTCAAGGTATTATTCACGCAAAATATAGTTGCAAATTGCAACGCTAAAATATATACCGTATTTGCTCGTTTAATAGCCCAGGCGCTTATTTTTTTAAACATACTCACTAACAGGGCCCTTATTCAAGCAGGGGCGCTTGTTATTTTTAAAGTAAAATTACACACAAAAATACCGGTAGATAAGATCGATCGTTACAATAAGTAATATCGTATATTGTCATTTCCAGTTCTCAAGTATGATTTAAACGAGAATAATGAAAATTTTGACTTTTTCTACGCACCGCAGGTACAAATCCGCAAAAAAAAACCTTTCACCGGGCGGGTATTTAAGCACCGTCCCTTATTTATTTTCATGTCCTGTTCACACGGGCGGCTATTCAAACGGGCCCTTAATCAAGACCGGGCGTTAAAACGAGCATTTACGGTAATTGAAATGAGAACCACAATATCAAATGCTTACCGATGATCATACAATACCAAATGGTCACAATAGTCTGAATAGCTGTGATATATACTTTACTGAATCATAATTCATATAAAACAGTAGTAATAATCCCGTTTTTTTTTTCAAAATCTATTGGAGGAATCAGGTCCATAAAACTGCATTCCATAATATCGCACAGTTTTGTTTACAAAGTTTAACAGTTTGCTAGTATTTTACGAGTAACAATTGGGATAATAACGTCTAAAATTAGCAAAAAGGAACAGCATAATAGAAACAGAATAATAGTTGTTTAAAGAGGATAACAGAAGATTTAATGTTTTTGAACATCGCTCCATCTATGTATATATATATGGACAAAATGCCAATGCTCGCACAGGTGATCAGAAGACTGAAGCAAGCAGCAATTGAACTTAAATCTAGCGAGAAAAGTAGGCGAGCTCCGAAGAAACCACCACCATCGCCTGAAGATGTATCGCCATTGGAATCTAAAGAATCTATTGGAACAAAAGACACCATTAAAGATCAAAAACCAAAGGTATATTTTTGTTGCACTTTTATATTGAAATAATACATGGCTTTGTTGTTGTCCGTCATTCGTTTTGCCATCAAGGTTGAAGTTGTTCAGACGACTGAGTCGACTGCAGATTCAAATGCAAATAAACAGGAAACCAAAGCCGTCGTGTCAAAGGTGAATGTTAAAGTACCAACCGAGGGTCAGCAGTCAGAACCACTGAGCAAACTAAACGAATTTCCATTGTTACAACCACAACCTTCTGTCGATGTTTGCACAAGGCTTTATCAGGGTAAGAAACCATGTCCGGGGTTGTATATATGTAATAATAATTCGACGTTTCAAGGTTTAAATTTATTCACACAAGCGGTATTTTTATATTTACCACACTGATGATCCGTAACTCTAAAGTACTTATGGTTGACTGATGCGCTGTTGTAAGCACATAATATTTATACACGTATGGGTTTTTTCTACTCCTATCCCAATTTGAATTTTAACGGTATTGTATATTTTTACTCGCTTAATAAATCATATGAAAAATTGTATGCTGTTCAACAGAGAAATCAATCGAAAGAAAGAGATGGTTATTATTTACGCAGTACTTCTTATATATATTCTAATATTAAGGTTTTTGTATCTACATGCAAGGATTTTTATGCATAAAGTCTTAATTAAGCTATGCACGCTTGTGTCCAGCATATCAAGTCATCATAATTTGAACCAATCACAGCATCATTTTCGGTATCGAAATGTCACATAATGGCTCTTTAGGTATACATGAAGCCGTTATTTCAAGTAACGTTTGGTAGTTGGTTTGATTGCTGTCCAAGTCTTTTGGTCATATATATATTTTTATGTGTAAGCGACTAAGCGTTGGTGGTTCGTCTTTTGAAACGATTGCACATACATTGTGTAAACATTATATTCCTGATACAAAAAGTCTATGATTTCAAAACGTTTAGATAAGTCTGCATAAAAAAACTTCAAGGTAACACGTAGTAATTCATCCAAGCTATCCAAGTTTAATTCTATTATATTCAGGAGTACCTAAACGTGACCGCCAAGTAAAAACGACGCGAGTCATCATCGTATCAGAAGATTACAAGAAGTTACAAAACGAACACGATAAATTAATACGCGATATGAATGCAACAAAGAGACAACTGCAAGAAACGAGAGACAATTTTGACTACAAATTACGAGAGGGTTTGGAAACTGAGAGACACAAATCGGTCTATTTCTTATTTTATTTCTTACCGAATTAATATAACACCTAAGCTTTTATAATTAATCAGACACGCAGACGTGCTTATAGCTTAACACATAGGCTTTATGTTTGGTAGAACCTACTACATTTATATATTACATTTGTTTATCTTAATAATACATCAAAACCAGATAATAAAGCAACAAGATGACGGACACCGGAACGCAATATGTGTACCAGGTTATGGTTAGGCCATAATTTCAAGTACAATTACTACGGGAGTCACTTGACCACCGAACTCGCAATAGAACTAAAATAAGGAAAATTGGAATAAAATTAAGCCTAATCTTAACTGGGCACACTTACTATGTTTCAGTGTCCTCCATCTTGGTTCACAAACTACGGGAGCGCCAAAAATTATGTAGAGGGGTCTATACAGTGAAACAACTTATATCCACGGAGTGAGGAAAGATATAAGTGCAACGTCTTCTTTTTATTTTTTTGTAAACACAATTTTACATTACATGCCCAAAATTAAGGTATTGGAGTCCATGAAGACGGAAGAAGATTTGCAGTTTTTGTGTTTTGCTGTGAAAGACGAAACTATGAGAGTACAAAAAGAAATGAGAAAATTTATGGATAGCGTTAGCGAAGAACTGGGTTCTGTTATTGGATTCAAAGGTGCCATATATTTTATATTGTGCTTTCAATGAATAATATTGTTTCATGTGGCACAACCAGGATTTCTGGAATCTATTATAACACTGTTGCATACATTAGCGATAAATAAGGAGTGAAGGAGAGTAGCATTTGCTGAAAGTCATGGGAAAAAATCGTATAAAAACACATAAATTATAGAAAACGTGTTTTAGGTACCAGACCCGCCAGTTATGAGACCTTAGAAACATCAAATATTTCGTTATATAGGCTGAGTTGCTCACTTTATCATGTATATACGATTGAAAATAGTACTCTACCTGCTTTATTTGGTAGTGCGTGTGTACAATAGGTTATGTGCCTATACAGGAAGGTTGTGTGAAAGCATTTTACCAAAAACTGGTGACCGAACCACCGGCGGTTTGACAACAAACGTCAACATGGAATTCGGGATGCCAATGGGATTTGACTTTATGCTTGGTGGTGATCTGGGAATGTTTGGTACGGGTGAAATTATGCAAGATTCTGGACAAATGATGAACCAAATGGGACCGATGATGTTCGGCCAAGGAATGCCTGGAATGGAAGGCTTGGGATTTGGAAGTGCTCAAATGGGTCCAACAGGTTTATCAATAGCTGGTAACAATCAGGTTGAAGCGGAGCAAGGTTTGTTAAAACTTTCATTCTTTAATGTTAGAAAATATCCCTAGCTCCAATGAAAATGACTTCTATAACATCAATGGTAGGCGTTTTGTGAGATTCAAATTGTCCTATTTTGTGATCAACTATGTTGTCTGGTGTAATCAATATAGTGCATAATGGTTTCTTGGTATTCCGTGCTTTTCAATTTCTCAAAAGTCTAACAAGCTTACAGAAAGTGGGGGAGGTAAAAACATCAACTACTGGAAAAGTTTGAAAACTGCCTTGACTGGACCTGGTAAGTCTAACGACGCTGAAGAAAAAGCAAAGGAAAATGAGCAAATTCTAGAGATATCTGATGTTCTTGCCCAGCGACGTAAAGCAAGAGAAGAAAAAAGAAAATCCATTGATGAACAGAGTCGTGGATCCGATGCATCTCTTGCCAATACTGATTCTGTTCTATCAAATATAGCGGCTGAAAAAGCAGTGTCTTCAAGTCAGGAAGTTTGCAAAACTAAATCGAAACGTTTTCCCCAGCCTTCCGCTTCCGTTACAAATGAAAAATCTGACGTACGAAACGGAAGTATGATAGACAACAAAGTACAGAGTGACAGCGGAATAAAGACCCAGCATAATGATGAGACAACAAGTCATAATATGGAACAAACTCATCGAGAAAAATGTGAAACATCTGAGCAGAATAATGTAAAAGAATTGACGGGTGCTCCGATAATAAATGTGGAGTGTGGACTTACGACTGAGTCATATATTCAGCCTTCTCAAATACTTGAAATAGTACCAGAATTAGTAAAAGAAGGGCAACAGACAGAAAAAGACACTCGAATAAATCAGGAAATTAATGAAAAGACCAGTGACGAAGATATTTCAGTGAAAAAACTGGCCGTCAAACCAATAAACATATTGTTGCAGAGGTCAGAGCGAAGAGCCTCGGTTTTTGTAGACGATAAAAACACGTCCGGTCTTGGGCTATTGATGGAAAGAAAGCGAGCTAGGTTTGGTGATCGAAGGCGATCATCGGTCATACCATTTCGCGCTCCTTGCCTCACTGTTGATGCCAGAAGGCCAACAATTTTTGTACCAGAGCCCCCGAAAAAGATAAAATTAAAGGGATTCTTTGGTCTCGGCCCAGCTTTTGATTCCGACCTCAGCCTAAAGAGAAGCGAAAAGAAGTTGCCGGCGCCAAAACCGAAACCTCCGCCAGAACCAGAGCCAGTGAAACAAGCGGAAAAATTTGTTCGTTTGATATCTCAACAGGTTAGTAGATATAACATCTATTTTTATTTGCATTTCTAAAGTGAAAGGACATCATAGATTATTGTCTAACAAATTAATTCGAAACTTTTAGGTAGCTGATTTTCTTCAAACCGTGAATCTGAACCTTGCGGAAGCGCTGAGAAAAAATAAGATAGAAATGGCATCTAAAATGGAAGCCTTGGAGAATGAAGTTATGCAAGAGAAGGTCAAATTTAAAGCAGAATTAGCGGCTGTGAAAGAAGAAAGGGACAGAAAATCCAAAGAACTCAAAAAAGCACAGCAAACTTTAACTGATATTGGATTCGGACTGGTTAGTTTACAGCGAATAAGTGTAGAACGTGTTCGTTGCCGTCAATATTGGTAAATCCTCAAAATGTTGAAATCGTTTATGATGAAATGTTGTTCTACATTTCAGTAACTTTGACTCAATTTGGGCTCAGGATTTGAGGAATTAGTAAGCAAGATTGTTTCTAAAAGTTTGTTTGTATTTCCGCATTATTGGCAATTCATTCACAATTTTTGCCATATCTTCGTATATACCATATTTTTTACCACGTATTCGCCCATACAAAGTTATGTACAAGTAAATGCTAGGCAGAACGCGAAAAGTGTCATCCAGTGACGTCCTATTTTATTCAGGGATCGACTTCTAAAATAGACGTCAGAAGTTCTCTTCCACAAGATTTAATTCAAAACCTGAAACAAGCCGAACATGACATAGACTTAGCTAGAGACAGGTTGGAGAAAGCAGCAGTAATGCACAGACAGAATGCTGATCAATATCAGTAAGAAATTTAACTGCTTATAATTTTCGGGTCTGACAACAACTATAGGAGGGAGTGATATAGTCGATGTTCAGAAACCGTTTGAAGTTTCAACATCCAAGAAACTTCCTACTTTATTCGTCCAATTCCTCAAAACTGAAATACTCCCACAAACTGGACAGAATATTTAGAACTGAATTGCCTTTTCAACATACTTCCATGTTTTTTTTTCGGGATGAGAAGAAGGTATTAGTACAAATACAAAGTAGCATATGAATAGAAGGGCTTATTAAGAGTTAAAACTTAGTTGTAAGTTTTTATGCGAGTTCAGTTTTGTGTAGTTATAAACATGAATAACCACACACATCACGTGTTTAATGAATTTATCAGTTCACCCCTGTATATTTATTATCATTACAAATAAATATACAAACATAAAATGGCTCGAACATTACATTTTCTACAAATTGACAATATGGAAAAATGGTAAAATGAACCAACAAAGTTAAAACTATGTACATCACATACAAAAGCATCTTTTGAATATATATATGCAAAGATATATATTATGTTATGTTCAGAAAACTTCAAACCTCAGTGGAAAGCCGAGTGAAACAAGTCGAAGCTGAGAACACAGAACTAATGAAGAGTGTGAAAAAAGAGAAAACATTATCCAACGAACTGCGAGTCCATTTATGTAATGTACTGAAGACGCAAAAACAGAAATTATTTTTGAGCTTGAAAAGCCACAAGCACAACTACCATGTATTAGATAAAGCTGATGGCGTCGACGGTAACGTGAAAAACGTCAGTATACTAATCCAAATACGACACTTATAAATGTCCAGTATGCTCATACCAACAATTCTTTAATTTTTTGATTCTGTTGTTTTATCCTAATTACATCCAATGATGACATTACTTCGTCGCCAAGTTTGTGAAATACTTGGCTCGATAAGACACAAATACAACATTTCTCAAGTTACAGTATAATTGATAATTCTACCACAGAAGTCGTAGTTCAGTGATTAGCTCTTGTCGACCAAAAAAATGTGAACTTAATTAACGTCAATTTTGAGTTACGGCACGAAGTCAGCGAAACTGTTTTGTATTAATAAACCTCATTATGTCTCTAATATTATTACATATTAATATTACATATTGTACTTTATGCAAAATTTTCAACCACGATTTCCCTTCATGTATTGATGACAGATGGTTACGAAATAATTATAATTCAAAAGTATAGACTAGACTAGAGTGTTGGCAGTTTATTGTGTTTGCAGGTTGCGCTCAGCCTGCTACGCAGATCTATGCTCTATCCAAAAGAAAGTCTGAGTTTGTTAGTCAGCCGTTATTGTCACCATGTCAAGATCACAGATTGTCAACAGAGAGTTAGAAAACAGATTACAAAACGAGAACAAGCTTTAAAAAAAGAAGCGGTAAAAATAATCATAAATAGGAGCTTATTATTTCATGTAGCCTACATTGTTTTGTACCAATTTCTGAGTGCGCATTTTTGGTATCTTGAAATTAGCGAAAGAGACCTTGAATTGTTTTGAATTGAGAAGCGAATTTCTACTCTCACACTTCTGGGAAAATTTATGAAAATTGTACCCCTCGTTTAGAGCCATATTATGCAATCTCAAATTAAGATATTAGATCTTATTAAGGGTTACTGACATTATAAAATGCTTAACTAGTTTTTAGTTAGTTGAAATTTATGTTTCTGCTTTTATTTCATTTAACATGTAAAAATAGTTCTGATACGTTGCACATTATGTGGTGAGATTTCCTTGTTTGTTGAATTAAATATTCTCAACTGTCATTTTATTTCAACACGTTTTCTTAAAGAAAGTATGATTATAATATCGCTATAATATGTCACCGGTCATATTGAAGTTTCATATATATATTCACGAAATGCAGTATCAAAATATCGGAACATGGACAAGTCGTCCACATATTTTTTATAATATTTTAAAATGAGCGAATTTTTCATAGTGGTTTTAATTATATTCGACTCTGAAACCCATTCCCGATTGACTTTGCAAGGCAAAAGCAACTTTCCTTATATGGCGCCATTTGAATTGGGAACGAAACAATGAAAAAACTAATTTGATAGTCGAATAAAATCGGAGTTGAGAGTAAAAGTTATTTACATAAAAAGCACCTTATAAATTTTTATGGTTTAATTTTGCAAGTGTGCTCAAATTTATAGATAGCATCAGTTTCATATTTTCTTTATTATTAGAAAGCTCCAGTCAGTCCTTGATTGTTTGCCATCGACTTTGGACATCTAGTTTGATATGACATACACATTTTCGGTCTTTCATATTTAAGCGAGATGTGGGAGCAATTTAGTATTTGTTATCACCTGCTGTTCTCTTCATAATAAGGTCGTTCACCTGGTTGTAAATTATGGTTAAACATACTACTAATTCCAAAACAGCAGCGATGTATGCCTAAGTTGCGTTTTTCCAAAGTGCGGGACCTTGTTAAAGCGAGTTAACTAAATATGTCCGCATCAGTAACACAAACGATTGGTGAGGTGGTGACTAAAAGTAACACGTCATAACATAAGACGCTCAAATTAGAAGTTTTCAAATATTCCAGAAAATAGTTATAGAATTAAACAATACATTTTACCTTCGACCCGTAGAACTGAGAAACCGTACAAGAATTGAGCTACCTTCTACGCTAGGTGTCATCACCAGATTTCGAATCAGATTGGTGAAGACTGGAGTTTAGTTAGTTTTGGCTTATTCATCGCAATATAACAACAATATTCTGCCGTACCGACGAAATAGCTGAAGTTGTAGAAATTCTATCAAATCTGACATGATGACTAAAAGATTCTAGAATCTAGATAGTACTTGATTAATTTAAAGTGAGGATCTTTTTGAATCTCTAGGCCTAATACCAAAATGTTATAAAAACAGATCCGTGGCGCAAAGACAAGTCAACGTGAAATGGGCATGCTAACAACTTTTCTTGCCGGGTTAGCTATGAATAAAGAGCTAACCAAAGTAAGGAATGCAGAGAAAAAAAGAAGACTTGATTCTGAAAGGCAAAAGTTGTTTATCAAAATGTCGTTGGTTTTGCATAAAATAAAAAGTGATAGAAAAGATCTTCATCTGATTCAACCTACTATTCTACAAGGTAAGTTTCGAAGTTTTCCAGAAAGGCAGGCTACAAATATTGTAAATAGGGAAAAACTGACTGTGATTTAAAATACAGATATACACAAGCTCAATATACGGTGCGATACCTGGTTATGGTGATGCCCAGTCGTACATGCCATGTGTCTTAATTGACTGAAATTACTATGAAAATGGGTGTAGGTATATGTAAATTTCCTAACAATTATAGAGGGGTATATGGTCATGAATGATATAGGAGATATTCAGAGGTCATTTTGATTTCTTTTTCGCACAACAATGATTTTTTACTTCCAGAGTACCATGCTAGTTACTTTTTTCAGTATATGGTACAGGATGTGGACGATCACACAACAACACGCCAGTGATACAAGATTTTCCTGATCTTAGATTTTTGTTGCCGAATAATCGAACAGAGAGCTTGCCCAGTATCAAATCATCTGGTTGTGAGTTGCACGGCCATAAGCATAGACGAAGAGATTTCGAGAATACAATATTGAGAGGACGGAAACCACCAGAAGATTTACAACGCCTCAAGACAACAGTTCCACATTGGTTTCCAGAGGACAGCTTATTTTGTCCATTTTCTGGGCGGTCTGGAAACGTGCCCCCGACAAACTCACATGCTTCAATTGGCAGAAGTCACAGAGAAAACGGCTTTGTGGAAAAAAGTACAGCTGCTAGTTACTATCAGTCTAGTGCCACACGCATTGAAATTCCTCGTATCATGGAGCTAAGTATACAATCCGGCCTACGAGAAGCGAAAAAGTCAGTTTTGAGGCGCTTGCAAATTAGAGAGCAATCTTCAATATCTTCCTTCAGCACTACTACAAACTCACCAATCAGCGAGTCTGCATCTCTTACGTCAATAACTCGTCACTACAATACCCCAATTGCCCAGCACCAAATGAAGTATGAGAGATATATATGGCAAAACGTTGAAACACTGGGAAAATTTACAATTAATGATAACACCGGTTTAGCAAACTCCACTGAAAGTAAGTATACAGAAAGTCTAGTATTATTTTGTGTGTGGCAGTACCCTGATATCTGTAGAACCTTGGGAGATTTGGACAAATTATTGTATTATTCGTTTCAGGTTTTTGTCCCTCCAGACAATGTCCTCTTCCACCTATTCCAACACCTCCAGCGACGTTGATGGGCGAAAGAAGATCGTCACCTCATGCTGTAGTCACTTTACCGTCGGTGGTAGCCGAGTCCGAAAGCGCATACGATTTTGTCGCAACAAGTGAATCCTCTAGCAGCCTGTCAATGAGATCTTCAAACCGGACGACGCCCGGTTTACCGAATTAATTTTTTGTTACAACTATAATCTTGCAGTTAATTTTACAAGATCAATACAACATTTAATGAACTGATTAAAGCTTATCTAACACTTTGTTTATTATTTTAAATATGGTAGATAGTAAAGAAGTACCTAGAAACCTATGAGATATTTTTAATGTTAGTATTTTGATATATTTAGGTATATTCGGTGATTGAATAAAACATATAACGGTTTAACAGTTGGCACATTATCTGTCTCGCGTGTATAAATGTGTTAAGGTTATGCCTCAATTTTCATTAGGGTCAGGTTGTAGCCTTTATAATAATATTATTGTTGTTGTGTAGTGAAGGCTGATGGAAGCGGTCCAATCCTTAGCTCGATCTCTATTGCACCCTCTTTCTGATTTTGCATGATCTTCACTCCCAACAACGAATGCAAAGATATCAGAATTCACCAGCACACAATTGATATTTTATTGCCAACTTGATCGTTACAATTCTCCAGTATCTTAGGGATAAATACTATTACTTTCTGACTTGACACTCCCGTCTTATCTTTTTAATACAAACCATGACGTGCTTATATATATTAATTTGAGTCCCTAATTAAATGTACTATCAAGGACGGCACGAGCTTTTATCTATATTGTCCGATCAAAACAATATGTTTTGTCCTCGGGCTATGGTCTGCGACGCGAATGACGCACAACAACTAATAATTGTTATGACCAACTGGTTTTGCCCTAATTCAACGAATCTGAGTTAAACCCGATTTACAGCTAATAATACTAGTTTTGCCCGAATTACCGAAACTCAATCAACTTGATATTATTGTCCCTACAAGGTTATGTCTTTATTCTGATAAGGGCCGGATTCACCATTAGGCGAGAGATGCTGAAGCCAAGGGGCCTCAACACACAATTTTGAACTATCATCCACGTTTGAGTCGAATTGTAAAGGCTTGTTCCAGAATGAAACTGGTTCAAATAATAATTTCTGTCCCAAATATTTATCGTTAAAAAAATTAAATACACCGAATAAATGAATTCGTCTAAATTTTAAAAAGTCTTACCTCTTTAACATTAGAAACAAAATATACCAATTTAAACAGATTGAACTGTTTTAATTGGGCCGCCAGCACGGCTACCCGACAGTAAGGATGCCAAGTATGAGTACTTACAAGCAATGTTCCCTCTAATTTTTCGTAGTATGTGTGCGCAGAAATTTTGGTGTGTGCGCACTTTTTTGGAAATGACTAATATTTTTGCAAAAACCAATGAAGAAATTTTGGCGTTCTAATGGGGTAATAAGTGGGCCAACAACAAACTTTCGCAACCTGCCAACCGAGCACATTGTTACATTACATCGAAATACGTCTGTGCGCAGTAAATCTATGTGTGTGCGCAGCCTCTGAAAGCTGTGTGCGCGCGCACACCTTAGAGGGAACACTGCTTACAAGTATTCGATTCTTATCCGATTCCTAAATTTTCGATTCCGATTCTCGATTCCTCGACATATCTTACCGAAAACACATACCCACCTAAGCATTATCATATGAAATCAAACAAGGGCACGATGTTAAAAATTTTGGACGGCCAAGGAGGCCAAAACTAAGTAAGTAGTAAGGGTATTCAATCTGTCACAGGAGACAAAATTGCACAAAAAAACGAATCCCTCAGAACCCACAAGAGATTTTTAAAATAAATAAATGTTAAAGCCTTCTATCGAAATATTATATATACTGTAGTGAAGTTTGCGTCGTCGTAGCAACTCAACATAGCAGTGAAGCAATTTATACATATATGTGAAGAAATTGCCACAAAACTTTACACATTCTTTTCAATCCAAGTTTTAACATCGAGAATCGATTCCAATGCATCGGAATCGATTCTAGTCGATTCCGCAAAGAATCGATTCTGTAATCGAAACGGACTCGATTCCGCCATCCCTACCCGACAGCCGACACGCGAGCGAGCCCTCACGTCTAAATATTAGTAAACATCTTGGGGAACCATCGAAGCATATAGAGCAGGGCCCCAAACACTCACTTTTATATCGAAATAAACCTAAATCAGCATGTTCATTGACATATTGCTAGCTCGTATCTCTGGTATAAGAAGATAGCAGCCGAAAATAAGTAGGTAACAAGTAGGCCTAGTGTTTTTGTTAACGCCGTTGCATTGTTGAAACTGAACTGACACTGAAAAGTTATTTTTTATATAGGTGACAGTGATTGCAGCAATGAGCAGAACCTTCCGCTGCAAAACAAAAACGGAAACTAGGCTAGTTGTGAATTTTAAGATTCGTGGACGACCGACTACATCGAATGGAAGCAAAAGACCCTGTGCTTGATCTGTGGTCAGGGCCGGATTTATCATTAGGCAAAGCAGGCTCTAGGGTTCTCAAGCATTGGGGGCTTCGACGTCCAATTTTGAATTTATTTTTTGGTCGTTTTCAAATTTTATTGGATTTTTCCATGAACGGCCGAGGAACTGCCACATGGTGCGCAATTTTTAATTTTGTGACGCCATCGCACGCAAAACACGAACTCCATGGAGCAGGGCTTAACAATTAATTTTGCTATGGGGCCACATTGCAAGCATGCATCCACTCAGCATGCAGTGGCGTGCCGGACTAAGTAAAATCAATCTACATTGCGCCTATTGTTGTATTTTATTACACATTCAAATAAACAAAGCATAATACAAATATTACTTTAATGAGATGAGTGTATCTGTTGCTGCGACTTACCACGTCCTTGAATGTCAGGTTCAATGGCAGACGTATTTATAATGTTTAAAATACTGGGTAGCGCGGAGCTGATCCGCCTGCGATACCCCGCTGTGTTAGCACACGATCCGTGGGTAGTGAGTCATCCAAACAATACGAGCAAAATTCACGCTTCGATTACTGTATTGATAAGTGATCACATGCAAAACAAGTGCTGGTCATTTTCACAGAGTTGACTGCAGATAGCAGATGGTACTATGGTAAATAAAACATCGCTACTAAAACACTGATTTTTTACAATAACAAAGTTTACAGTACATCATGTAAAGCATATTTTATATGTAAATAAAAAAGAAAGTGTCTAAATCTAGAAATATGCTTGTGGGCCGGTAAAACGTTACCACGTCCCGGATGCGGCCCGCGGGCCGCAACTTGCCCAGGTCTGCCATAGAGCCTACTGAAATTTTTAAAATAAATAAAAGTAATAGCCTTCCACCAAAAATAAAATCCCAATAAAATTCTAACAAGGAAATGAACAAGAAAAAGAGAGCCATGCTGAAATACATGGACACGAAATCCAAAACAGCGGAAAATACAATATTTAAACACTAAAAATTTCAAAGCAATTGCTCCATTAGTAATGAGAAAAGCGATTTTTTTCATAAGGTAACAAGAGGAACAACCACAACATAATAAGAATAACAAAACGATTCATAAGTCCATTTCGTGTCCAACAAGAGAGCGATGCTATAATATATGAACAAGAAAGCCAAATCAAAGTAGTTCGGGTATGCAATCAGTTCGACTAGACTACCAATTTTTAATTTTGATGGCGTCTCGCAAAAAAACGAATCCTATAGACTCAATAGAGCCCATAGAAATTGCTGTATGCTGTAAATATGCTGACAAGGAGAGCTCAATATACGACGATAAAAGATTGACTTACCACTGGGGCTGGACATCGAAATCGAAACGAAATTTGTGGAAAATAAAGCGAAAACATTACAACCTTGTCGGCTACATGTAAATGTAAACTGGTGTACAGTTAGAAAAACGTGAGAGGAAGGTAGCCACTTTCCCCTAATTCAGCGGTTCCCAAACCCTTTGTTCGTGCGGCGCCAAATTATCGGGGGAAAATTCACACCGCACTTACTCGCAAAAAATACACATATTATTCGTGAATTTCAACTCTTCTTATTTATTTCTACTAATCTTGTGGAAAAATAAAAATGAAACTAATAATTTTGCTGAATAACATCCTCCAATATTCTTCATTAAACATTTGTTGGAGTATTTTTTCTTGATATCGACCTCAATGGTCTGGTGTAATCAACGAGTGAATAAACAAGGGAGCATGGTAATTTAACTTAGAAGCACCCAAAGCGTAAATATATACTAATACGCCCAAAGTGACTATACAGTGTGAGTAGTCACTTTGGAAGCACCTAGCGCGTCAGCGCCACCGAGCGGTGAAAAGTGAACCTCTTTGTGATACCATAGCAACCACAAGCCGCTGCTGCACAATTTCTTTAAGATGATTGCATATTACTGTATTATAAAAGGACCTATTAGGATAGGATAGGATTTACATATTTATCCTGGGGGAGATATTACCGTATTTGATTTGTTAGTTGTTACTTTCGGTTGGTCTTGTAGTGTGTCATGGAGTATGTAATGTCTGGATGCAGGAATGTGCAATGAAGAATATAATACAGTAATATGGCTCATAATATTTGTCGCAGTATTACTATCTGATTCATGCTCATATCTGAATAAATTTAGTGCTGGTTTATCCTTTTTCGCAAAGTTTTAAAATCTTTTTGCTCTAACAAGGCTATGTACGAGCAGCGATTGATATGTCAGTAGGAGAAAAGAACTATAGACTATATTATCATTTAGTTAGTGTATTGAATGCACAGCTAACGTTATATATAAACTATAATATGCTACTTCTGGAATAATTAGTAACTGAATGCTATATTCCATTCTCTTTTCAAATTTTTTATGAAATGAATCACACTGCTTTTGATAAATTGATGTAGCATAGAACACACACGAAACACCCTTTGTTATATTCATTTTGGGTTATTTGCTGATGTCGTTTTATTTCCCATATCTCTATTTAAATATTAAAAATTACATTTTATAGCACATGAACAATTATTTAGGCTACCAACTATTTCTACTAACATGTAGAACTTTAATTTGCTATTGTTCTTGCAAATCAAGGAAGCCTTGATAAAAATGGAACGGACAAAGGTGAGTGCATTAGTTTTTATCAAGCTCGTCCGATTACTGTTCATCATCTTGAGTACCTTGTATTAATAATGACGATATAAACAGTCATTCAACAGAACACAAAGTTGTTGTCTCTACTTTTTCTGAAATGCTACCATATGTATTTTGTCTGTATTTTCATTTAAGATTTTGCAAACTGTAGTAGATGATATGTTCAGTTTATCAGAATAATTATCAGTTCAGAATTTTTTTATTTATCCTGAAACTTTTGAATAACTATTATTAATTGCGCATATAGTTTTATATTGGAGTAACATAGGATGGTGCAATACACAATGCACATAAATATTGTGTATAAATATACTGTTAATTTTGTTTCTGATACATTTTATAGATTGATGGTGACTTAACGCAATAAAATACAAAATTAAAACATTTACTTCCTGAAATTTTAAAATTACTATGTAATTACATTTTCAAGCATATGGGGAGTTCATTAAAGAACAATGAAAAAACTCGTTCTATACCCAGCTTGCCTTCACTTCCGTCAGCAGATAACAAACATCAATCTGAATTGTACAAAGTAAGTGTATTCTGCTATATTTCAGAATAGGTAGGCTACTTAGTTGTGAGCTATGGTGGCGCGACTCATCATGCAAGATTGGTAAATAATAGACTGGAATCAATGTGGGTTCAAAATGAAACAGTCATCACAACTGATAAACGCAACTAACATGGCCTATTTTTTAATAATGTTGAAATCTGCATTACAGTCTTATATAGACATCAAAGTCATATCCCCACACATGCTAATATCATATTTTGCATTGCAAAATCTGACATAAATCATTCAACTACAACCAAAACCTATCCCGCCAAAGCAACAATCATTTTGATCATCTGGATTTCTAGAAATAAAATATCTTTATAGATCATTTAAGCATTCATTCACATCTCTGGTTACAGTACAATTCTTTACCTATTCAACAAATCATAATTAGGAATATTATTCAACAATTTACAGCTTAACACATTACATTTATATATCCATATATGAGAATTGTAATGCTAAATAATGAAATCAAGTTCCTTTTTCAAACATGGGTTCATTCAATTATACCTTGTTTACTAACAAGTGGAGATACTTGTTTCTAATCTACTAAGCTGAATGTGAGGGATACAAAACATATCGATAAGTTTATTCAATGACTCCTGAATAAACTTATAGCATTTAGATACTGGGATCAAAGAAAGTGTTGTAACCAAATGTACCTGCTATGTTTTTCATTACATGTTCACATGCAAGGACAGTACTGAATCTTACAAAACACTACATGAATACTTTTTCTTGAGTTGTCATCCAAAATGATATCTTCATGTTCTATCTTCATCACACATTTTCCCCTAATAACAATAATTGAATATTCGTAATATCAATGATTGGACTGAAGCAAATTGATACCTTCACATTTTAAAAATTTAGGGAATACATAATATTTATCATTCAAAGTTGGAAAAGATATTATTTTAAATGTATATTGATGGAATCTTACCATTTTATATAACCATTTCCTTATTTTTTATCAGGTTATTCTGAGAAACAGTGCACACCCACCAATTATGCAAGGGATGTCATGGACCCTTCTATCGCCATTTAAAGAACAACGTCACCACAGATCACCAAGTGAATCAATTGCCAATAATTACACTCCTAGTGCAGCTGATTTGAAAATACAAGATCTTCCAAAATCAAGACTTGTGCAGAGAAATGTTAGATCTTCATTAAAACTATCAAGAAAAATGCAAGGTATGTAGCAGCTAGATCAGGGCGGACCACATGTGGCCCGCCGCTTCATTATCTGTGGCCCACGTCGCATTCGGAGAGGAATCAAAAAATTGCATTTTGTTTTTGTTTTGTCATAAAATTAACCAAAAAATCTTTTGACATATTGTTGCATCACTAATGTCACTGAATTGACTTACTTATGGCATACTGAGACAACTAGCGAAGTTAAATGAGCGAAGTTCTTGGCACTATTGCGGCCCGCGAACAATGCAAGAATAATTTTGTGGCCCGCGGAGACGCCAATCCTGGACCACCCTGAGCTAGATATTCTAATCATTTTTTTTTTATTGTTCTTAGTGTTATATTATTCAATGTAATAATTGATATTTATTGACGTTTTATATTCTTTTGCATTCTCAGTTGAGCAATTCGCACCATCTTCTCCCAGAAAGAAAGTCAGACTAGATTCCAAGTTTCAATCCCCAAGGTATAATTCATAATTAATGATATTTCATTGTGCTAACTGGGGATGTCTGAGTTTAGATGGCTTGATATTCCAGAATTCCTTGTGGAGAATTATAATTATGCTGGCAGGAACGCAAGCTGAACTATTAATTTGATAATTTGAGTCTGATTTTTATTTTGATGCTACAAGCGAATGAGAATTTCTGACAGGATTGAAAACAAGCAACTTTGTTATGGTTATGCATTGACATTCACTCTATATTTACTGTTTTAGAGCGGATGGTGCCGGTGTAAATGGATTTAGTCGATATAATGGCCCGAGTAGTAAATCTCCACTTCCACCACCACCCAAAGAAGATTTGCCTCCTAGTCGCCCTATGTCTCCTACAGATCAAATGACTATGATGACAGAATTGGATAATCAACGACTTGCTACTGAACAAGAACCAACTGAGAGAGATATGGAGGTAGGAATATTTTGCATAAAGATTTACACATGTTTAGATGGTCATGGTCCAAAATTCGTTGAAAGAAGTACCGGTAATACTTTATACTGGTATGAATCTGGTAATCATTCTTTCATTTGGTAATGTATTTTGGAATTTTATTATTTTAAATATTGTTAACTGTGTATAGTTCATTCATCAATTTATATACTCACTCGTCCAGATATATAAGGCTTTATCAGGAGGATCATATTTGACTACCGGTATGTTTTAGTGGCATACTATTTTGTTAATATTGTAATTATTTTGTTATATTTTGGATTACCAGTCAACCCTATTCTAGAGAATGATGTATCATATTTTTTAGAGATACTACTACTACATTCAAAAAGGAATTGCTGCAGAACAAATAGCTGGACCTCCTTCAGGACAGATGGATCGTATCAAACTGAGTTTGCCTGAAAAACTGAGAACAAATGTCAATCTCACTCCACATCTATCAGAATTAAATGATGAAGTTTTGACAGATTATGACTTCAGTTACAGGAAATCAGTCAGTAAGTCCAACTTACAAATGATATGATCCAACACCAAATGATAAGTTGAATATGGCCGGCTAATTTGTAATTTTCAGAAAACAAGTAATGCTGTTTCTAACAGTTGGACAAAATTTGGCCCTACCAGGAAATGGTGCAAAATCAATTATCTAGTATTTAATCAGTTTTAATATTTATCTTAATTTGAATAATCTACTTCAAAATTCTTGATGTTATATTTATTGTTTCTTCATTGTTTTCATGGCTGCATACAATATGATATATTCATCGAATTCTAAACCTTGCAATTACTATATCATGTACGGTAAAGTCACTCTGATGAAAGATTTAATGCAATCGAAATATCGGCGATCCAGAAGTGTGTGTAATTTTGTTTGCCTACTTTACATCAAGTTGTGTATGGAGACGAGAGCCTTATGGACAGGGGATATATTCACTTGGCTAACACAAACAGTCCCTGAACTTGTAATGGAACTAAAATAAGGGAAATCGGAATAAAATTATGGCCTAACCCTAACCTGGTACACATATCGGTACTACGTGAGTACCAAAATATCTGTCCATGAAAAGGTGTCGCAACAAAAAATTTAATAAGTAATTTTTTATATGGATCAAATTTATCTTTTACTGTCAACACTTGTACTTTATAGACTTCATAAACTTTATAGTCAAATTTTGTGCTTTCACAGGGAAGGAGTACCGGTAGTATCATTTAAAACCGAACAATAAAATTTTCTAGTTTCATTATTAAGTTGAAATGTAACTGAATCAACATTAAAAGTATGGCCCAATTATAAAGTGGTCATATTTAACATGGAATGCCTTTTACAGTTTCAAGGTGATCTTAGATGACATACTCTATAGAATTTAATAAAACTTCATATGTCCAAAGTAAATGTTTGATGTTGATTTAATATTCCTCAAAAGCTTTAAATCAATTTTATTGTTCCATTGTTCATATAAATCACTTGAAGGTATTTGTTTTGAATAAATTATTTGGTTTGGAATCGACTACATAGCTGAGTTAAATAAGACTAACTGTGTGCCAATTATTATTTCAAAAAATAATTATAATTTCACCAAAACATTTAATCTTATTAGTGAATGTTAGACATTTAATTAGGGTATTATTTTTCATGTGAGTGTGCAATAAGCAAGTATCTAAGTAGAAATGAAACAATAATAATATGCTCAAAAGAAACTATTGAGATGCTATGAATCACAATTTGTTAATAGGATTTCTTAATAGCTCTATGCACCACAAGTATATGGTATATATATATATATTAATAAAGTTAGTGAAAGTTATCTGTGTGCTTCCATAAATTTATTATCTATTTTGAAAAAAAATTGATTTCATTGACAAGATGTAAAATTTGTCTCAAATAAACAAATATTTTTGGTTGCATTTGGTCATGGATGACAAAAGTTTGTTATAAGAAATAAACAAATTATTACTGTTGCCAGATGTGGCAAGCAATTTGATATTCTTCAGTCAGATGTTGTGAGCCTGATTTTATCTTGGCAATTTTCATGTATTGTTCACTTTATTGTACTAATCTCTGTTGTCATTTTTCATAAAATCAGCACTTCAATAGTATGAAATTTGATTACCTCAAGACTATTATGTTACCTAATACACAAAGGTATTCTATTATTGCCTCATGTATGTTTAGTTTTTTAATGAATACTGAAACACTGAAACATTTGAGTATCCTATGGGCAATCGAGCATTGATATTGTTTTGCAAAGAGCCTTCTGAAAATAACTTTCATAATTTTATGCTATTCAAATCTATTGACACTCTGGATAAAAAAAATTAGCAATTATTCGGACAATCTAATATTCAAAGAATATTTATTATTAATATTAAAATAATCAATATCAAAATAATTTAAATATTGATTATATCTTGAACTTAGTCAAATTTATAGATAAATGTAATACTGGTTGGTTCTTGGAATAAATATAACGATATTGACATTACGAGATCAAAATTATAATAAAACCTTTTATTTCTATTGGGTGTCTTTCTTACTCTTAGGCAACGACCATTAGCAAGTATAATAGTCATAAATATTTTGGAGATTGGTTGAAGGCAATACTGTCGGTCTACAAATCATATTATATTATGAAAAATTTAACTTTCGATTCTTTATGAACATCAATTTCATGAGTATTATATTTTATCATTTTGTACTCAAAAAGAAAGTTTAAAATTGATTCTGATGCAATCTAGAAGTTCTATTTCATATTTAAGAAAATCAAATTCAGGATTTAAACATTTATGTTTAAAATTCTTTAATTCATTCTAACACAATCTTGACACAACCATATTATCTGCAGTATCTCTTTTTTCTATTGTTCGCATAAAGTGTAATTTCTTTAGGGTGATAAAATAAATACTGATTACTGATATCATTTAAAACATAGGAATGTCCAGCAAACCCTACGCAAAGCCTGAAATTTAATACTCACGAAAAGACATTGTTCTTAATTGTATTATTCTGTAAAGATATCTGCTTAAATAATTATACATTTAAACTATCCTTATTTGGAATTTTAATTGTTTATTTGCTCCAATTATTTGAAATCACTTTCGGGCTTTAAAGTTAGTATTTCAGATATATGCTCTCTGCATTGATAAATAAAAGGTTGTTAAAAATAATTTTTGATACAGTATTATAGACATCTCCAGAATAAGAAATCTTTTGTTTAATCAAAATTCAAAGTATGGGATGAAATTTGTACAAGAAAATTATTGAAGGCACTGTAAATTATTTTTCCATCTCTATTAACTTCCATAATTTCTTATGATTTTTCTTTTTCTAGTTGACTACATTCTTCAAGATGACAAGGAAAGAAAGCGAGTACATGTAGCAGCTATACCTCGACCATTCTTGAAAAAAGTTATTCGTGCACCTGTACCTTGGCAAGATGACTGCAAAAAAGCCAGAGATTACTGTCGTTCGAGTCTATTTACTGTCAGCCCAATTATGCTTCATTTGCAGAATTTATGGTTTGATAAGTAAGTGGAAAAATATGGTAAATATTAAATGTTGGTAGTTTTTCAATGTGACATTAGTAAGCTTAATTGGTAAGCAAATTGTCACATGCCTATCTATATCTTGTCTGAACTACATAATATTTCCAACTATAACCATGTCTTCATAGTTTAGATATAAAAAAAATCAGTTATTTCAACCAATACTAGATAGACATAGGAAAGACTGCTGAAAGATTTTTGTCTATTTGTAGAAATATAATGGAATGCAGTCACAGAATTTTACTTTTCTTATGCATCTTGTTTTGTTGAGTTGTTCACTAATAACAATAGTTGGAACCTAATATTGATAGAAATAATATATAATTATTTTTAGATACAACCAGCTGAGATTTGTTAATATCGCAAAACTAAAAAGTACTGGTCTTCTTCTACATCCGTCTGACTTTGAAGCACAGGTAAACTAATTTTCATGAGATTTATAATGACATTTAACTAAGAATAATTTTATTCTTATTGATCTAGTCTATATTATTTTGCTATGGTATAGCCTCGTCAACGAGATCGAGGTTTGTCATAATTACAAAAGAAAATAAAAACATTCTAAGAGAAAGAAATACCAAGACAACTGAACTGCAATTTCAAGATACAGTAAATGGTATCTACCATGGATGAGAACGAGAACTCTCTACCACTCCAGTGTGGGTACCACACTTTGCTAAAACCACAAAGATGAATTTCTGCAAAAATGTTCTTGCCAAGATTACAGATGATAGTGCTTTGCTTTTTTGTATATCTCTATCACATTCTTGATATATCTGAATTATAAATTTCTATCAGTTTCGTTATGAATAAACTCATATTTTAGATTATGTCACATTGTGAAGATGCACATGAAGTTCTTTCTAAAGAATGGATTGCAGATGCTTCACAATTATTCATCACATACAAAGATAGCTGGGTTCATCTTGTGCCTCAAAACGATGGTGACAGCACTGCACAGGTATACATAAATGCTTTATATCAGGGGAGTGCAACCTTTTATACAGGAGGGGCAGATACAAATGACTGAGTGAAACAACAGGCCGCACCTTCATTTAACATAGACTTTCTGGTGGTCGCACGGACAAAAAGTTAGGTTATTGATCTTATGACATGCGTTGTTCGCTTCACACAAGCTAGCTGTTAAGGCATTGTAACATCATAGTCAAAGATAATGAATTGGACTCGAGTATAGACCTTACAATGCTAAGAGATTGAAATTACTGGCACATACCAAGTTGAAGTAAATTGAAAAATTGCTTCATGGGCCGCTTATCATTCAAAATTTGCACTTTTCCGCCAGCCGGACAATTTCTCTGTGTGGGCTGCAAGCGGCAGTATGTGGATTTCAACATTTCTATATAAACCTGTTCATTTAACTAACAGCAAGCTACCTTCCCCAGTTTATGAATCGTTATTTTTAAAAATAAGTTGCTTCTTTGCCATGAAAATCAGCATTTATTGGAAATTTGGGATTATGCGGAGAGTTGTTGGATATTTTTTTTCACCTTTAATTGATTATTACACAATATTATTTGAAGCATTTAACCACCCTCATCAAGCTGAATTTTTTTTTTATATGGAACAAAATCTATATATTAAGTACAAGACTTTTCTTATGAATACAATTCTAGAAATCAAAAATTAAGTTTGGATATTTTTTAATATTTTTTTAGTTCTCATTTTAAACTGTATAAGATTTTGTGCAGCTTTGCTCAAGGTAAGGTTAGTTCACTTCAAAATGCTATTTGAAACCATAATGATGCTAAAAGTTAATTGAATACAGGAGTTTTATGAAAGTAAAATAAGTGAAATCTATTTTTGTGAAGCATTTTTTACCAATTATTCCTGTTATCATGTATCAGTTTATATTATACCTGGCCCTGTACAAGTTGGGCGTGTACTAATATGGAGGTAACTAATTTTGTTCGCCTACTTCGCATCAAGTTGTGTAAAGGGACTGAAACCTATGAGAAGGGAGTATATTCACTTGACTAACACAGACAGTCCCCGAACTCGTAATAGAACTAAAATAAGGAAAATCGGAATAAAATTATGACCTAACCCTAACCTGGTACACACACTACGGGAGTACCCAAGCTCCACTGATCACGCTCACAAATACATATCACATTAGTAACAAGATAATAATGTCAGGTTTTTTCTACCATTTTTTAATAAACTCATCTTGTTTTAACACTACGTTTTTACTTTGTTAAGGTGCAAGAATTTTTCTCCTGTGCGGCTTGTCTGATGTCAAATCAACTTCGTGAAATGGTTGTTGAATCATTCAATGACCTACTTTCATTTTTATCAATTCATGAGGTAACTTCAATTATATGTCTCATATTGAAATCTTTAAATTCAGTTTCTCTTAGAGCTTCGCAATTTTTTCGACAAAATGTTTCTCAATATTTATGTATTTTCGAATTATAAAGTTGATTCACAAAAATTGCACAACTAGCAACTGCACAACTTTTCATAAAAAATTAGGCTGTAATTTGCATGCCACAATTCAAGGAAAGGGATTTATGGTAATCAATGGGGATCAGTATCTTCAAAGTTCAAATACCAAGTGATTTCGAATATTTTTGTTGAATCGAATTGATTCTTTGAATTGATATCGTATTTCCACAATGTAATTTACTATTTATCAACTTACATGACAACATTGAACACTATTAATATCGGCACACCAAGAATTAGGGAAAGTGTAGATATAGGTACCGCTAACTAAAAATATTTTCAACATTCAATTAAATGTGTCATATTAAAATATGGCAACCCAACAATTTGCTGCAAATAAATAGCGATCATTTTTCTATTTATAAACAATACTACTTGTTGTCTACATTGTAAAAATAAAAGCAAAATCCGAAGAGTTTGCTGTCTACTATTCAGACTGCGATGGTCAACTTCATCGCAGTTAAAAACTATTACTCTGTACTCACATTTGTAAAATCAACCATCAACCTGGGGAGTTATTATGATATTGAAATTTTAATTATGCAAGATTTCTCATCATTTGGCTGCTTTTGTGTTTCGGTCATCATATGTGTTAACTCACAGAGATGACTGCCGATGGTCAGCCGACAATATTCAAATAGAGCTGTTTTTAAAAACCGTTCTGAGGCGATTTGAATAATTAATTATCAGATCTGATTTAAATGTTTCCACCTCTTGTGAAGACATAAAGGTGTAAATCAATGAATCAATGTACCATTTAATTTAAAGTTTTTACTGATTTTGATTATTTTTTGTTAATATTCACAGGATGGCAACAATTTTGGTTCAGAATATGGAGATTTGCAGTATTGCATGCTTCCTATCATGCAACTGAAACTTATTGTTCAAGAACCAAAAATCTCATTTGATCCCAGTTTTAAGGAATGCAGAGATGTACTTTTGAACTGCTTTGCACATATCGTCAAGGCTGGTGAAGAAATTAGTAGGGTAATTTACATAAATCCAATTTAATCAGCGATATTTTCCTTCAGTGGTTATTGAAGATTGATTTTACCAATGATCAAATGCTTGCAGATGCAATATTGATATTAGGATTTAAAACTACTGCATTATTGGTTAACTTATTTAGTGCCACAAAATTAGTGCAGAATTAGTTATAGGATTATTTTCTGATACAGAAAAAATCAAGACCATGCATCCAAAACACGTAACTGGTTAACTAATGTTCAAGCCGTCTTATCAACTTTCCTCTCCCCCAGAATAGACATGTAAATCCTATCATATCTGTTGAGAAGATTCTTTCGACATTTTTTTGAATTATATGAATTATTTGCCATAATTATTGTAATTTTATTTATATAAAGTTATTTTTCTCCTTTCTAGGTTGAATGCTTGCTGTTTCCTGAGATGAGGGATAGCAAACTACTTTTACGAACAGTGCATTTGAATGAAAATTTGGTCACCAATTATGTGGACCAGGCTATGGACATTTTTAAATGTAACACAGTGGGACCACAGATGTAAATTCCATGATAAATATTCATATCTGGATGGTTTCAATTGTTTTAGGAAATTGATTCTAATACATACCGTAACTTAAAAATTTTTCATTGCATTGTTTATATAGCTTGATGCCATGATATTCATGATGATTTGAATTGAATCATTTTCTAAAATTTGAGCCTGATTACTCTTGATGCAAGAGTACTAAATTTTAAACTAATGTTGAAGAGCAACTCTAGGGACGCCAGATGCAAAAGATTTTATATCAGGGTTGCCCAAAGTTTTTGCGGAGTATGCTGCGCTATATACTTTCTTGATCTATCACAGACCAAAGAGATACTTTTCGGAATTTTCATTTTGTAAACTACATATTAAGCACTGTATTGTCCTATAAAATAAAATGCGAACATATTTTTACTATGCATCATGAGAAAAGTCATAAATTTTGTTTGATTTTCTATATGGTACCCTTATACATTGCAGGGATGCAGAAACAGTTACAATGCAAATATATTATTAAATTGACTTTTCTTTTTGATTATGTAATGAACTTTTTCAGGTATCTGGATGTCTACACCAAGTACAATGATCTTCTAAATTCAAAAGCGGAGGCAGAAGCTATTCAATTCATTAAAGAAGATCACAATCTGGATATTTTCAGAACGAAGCTTCGCTCTTATGAGGTAATCTAGAAATCTTGTCAATGGAATATTGTTCAGTTATTTTCAGCTATGTTTATTCATTTTCATATATGTAAGTTTTATTTCATGTAAAAGCTGCATCATACTCAGCACATAAGTCAACCACCCGAAAAGGGCCTGTTTAATGTGAGTTGCTACTCAGTATGGCTTTACTATCATATTATGATAAATATTATTTCCAGAAAACACGCGATGAAATCAACATGCTTCGACTGTCAGTTCCACTCAACATGTTTGGACTTGATTGCACAGAACTTAACAATGACCTCGCTCAACGAGCTCAACTGCTTCGTGATAAATTGATTCAATCACAAATTGATGAGAACCGTGAGAAGAACAAAGAGTATGTTTTATGATTTCGATTAATATTTCTATAGAATATGGTATAGAATTTTTGCAACATTTAATTTTAATGATCTCAGTGTTAATAGTGATTGATGAGTTGTTAGAGGATGTTGTATGGCTTAGTAGTTATTCAATGATGTGCTTGAGGTATTTGAGTATTTTTGTTCCGTATGTAATTTTTGAAAAAGTGATGCAAAGAAAAATCAGCTTATTGAACAAGATTTTGGTTCTTATTAAAATAGTAGCTGTTCACATAGGTACTGTCAGTACCTGTTTCTCTTAAGCCTTGTTCCACGTGAAAGTTTAAAAATACCCAATAAAAAGTAAATAAACTGTATATACATAAATGAAGCTTTCTTTTTTTGATATTTTCAACCTATAATTTATTTATCCAAATTTGGTCTGACACAGAATTTGAAAGTGTAACATTCCTAATCCTTTTGGCACAATGCTTTCAGCTGAGCATTTAGTACTGTTTTCATTTGCTCACTCATATACCAATATTATGGTGACTATTTCATTTTGTTTTCATCACACCCTGTTCTACACGATTAGTTTTTCTTTGGAAATATGCTGATGGGGATACTTTTTCTGCTAAAGATTCGTTCGTTAAAGATTATTTCGTTAAAGATTATTTCGCATGTAAATAACAACAAACATTTTACCAAATAATTAAAAAGTGAATGTAAAATATGATGATTCTGTGGTATCAAGTCAAATTTGATTTGGTGTTTCCCAGGGTTCGGTCTTAGCACCTCAAATGTTTTTGATCAATCAATAATTTACAGGTTCCTTTTTAAGAATAATATTAATTCATTCTACATATTCAGGGTTTATCAGAGATATGATGCCATTGCAACAAAGGTTTCGGATATTCCTGAGACAACAGAAGAACTTGTTGAATTAGCTCAGTTCTTAAAGGAATCCAGCGAAGTGACAGTACCTGATTTGAAAGCTGAAATTGGTCTGGCCGCTGATAGACTTGAATTCTTGCTTGATTATGCAACATTACCTTGTGAGTTTTCATAACATAAAAGCAACAAGTGAGCATGATGAGTTGTCCACAAACTAACTACTATTTATTATTTTAACACACTTCAATCAGATGAAGACATCAAACTGAATAGCAATGTATTCCACTGGCCTGAACAAATTCAACAAGTGTTTGATGTGAACAGGGGACGTCTGACAAATAAACGTGAATCAGCAGAGGATAAACTAAAAACAAGGTTCGTTGTTAGGTTCTTCTCACAATAAACAGATGAAATGAAAGTACAGTAATTGAAATTCCTTACATATAATATAGTATATCTTGTAAACATTCAGATATTGTCAGGCATAATGCTATGGTGATTTGTCCTACCTATTCTCTCTTTTAATTTCATTGTACTCATACTCTCTTATTCCTAACTGCGACAAACATAACTATTTTTTACAATATGATTTTGCCTCCTTATCGGCTTCCATTCACAGGACAAATATGAAAATCCTTAACTACTAACCACAAGCCTGGGTATTGTAATATCTTTATTCCGGTGTTACTGTACAGACTTTCGTTGCCGTTCCATGGTTATTCACAAGGCGGTGCTCAGATTCGTTATCCGCTTCTTCTTGAATCGAGCGTCTTTTGGGTATCCAAGTCGCCTCGTCTCGACTTATTCTGACATAAACTTGTTTTACCAATTATTGTTTGATTTATATTGTTACTACTTATCGATCTTAAGATCGGTAAGTATGTTGATAGGTATTCGTCTGTTTGTTTGCTTGTCTGTCTGTTAGATACACGCGATATCTCACGAAAGCGAGGTTGAATCTGCTTCAAATTTTGCATGTGCATTCATCATATTTCGGATTAGAAGCATATTGCTTTTGGATGAATTTGATATTGATCTTATAACTTTGACCTTGTCGCGATGCGCAAGTTTCCTTCAAGAAATTTTCCACGTTATTGAGTCAGAGCGAAGGATACACGCCACGAGATCGTATCTCGTTACTTATAATTACTCTTTAAGCAATGTCCATATCCCTCTATCAGGTTCGGGGTTACAGAATTCCTCACCAAAATATCGCTGTGTTTGGATAGCTGTCGAAACTCGGGTTAGCGCCGTTGTATTTGACACAAAATATAGGATTGGTAAATAGGCTATTGGCTGGAAACTAATCGAAACAATCCAGTTCGGATTTGCAGAATTCTTTATAAAAGTATTTCCTCGAGTAGTATTTCGACGACGACGTGGGGAGTTGGCTATTGTTTCCTACATTTTTGATATTGGCTGAAAACTAATCGAAACAATCCAGTTCGGGTTTGCAGAATTTTTCAAATCGAAACCACAGTTTCTGTTTTGGGGGATTCCCCAACTTTCGATCGATCTCGTTTATCTATTACTGTTAGACTAATGTCACAGATATCGCCGCTTGATAACCAGTCTTGGTGTCTCGCGCCTCCCTTCACTTTGAAGTACCATTTTACTTCATTTTTTTGTATTGTTCATTCACAATGTGTACTTTAGCATGGTGGAAAAATAAATTACTGATTACTGATTAGTATATAAAATTGGATGAAAATGATTCAAGCAAATTTGATAATCTGACAAAAAAATCTTGGAAATATTCCGTTTAATATTCAGGATCAAAACGTTTGAAGCTTTACTCAATGAGTATAAAGTAGAAGTTGAGAGTTTTAAGAAAAAAGAAGTTATGAATCTTGATGAAATGCAGAAGAATGTAAAACTTCTGGCTGATATTACGGAAAACCTTGAAAATGCGACGAAAGAATTGGGGGTTATTATTTTATTTAATATACGACTAGGCCCACTATTTCCAGAATATCAATCCATATTGCTAACAAAGTAGAATATGTAATAATTAAATGGCATTAGTAAATTTATTTATTTTAATAAAAACGTGAACTATGTGATAGTTTGTCATCAATGCAAATATTGGAAGGATAAAATTACTGTTATTATCTAACTTACTATTACACAAATGAGCATCTGCTGTTTTTATCTGATTTGAGAAAACCTCTTGCCACATGATGTTCAGTCACCCAATTCACTTAACTTTTTAAATAATGGGTTCATCAAAAACTTCATAAAAATGTACCCCACCTTACATAATTTTTTTTGGATGTTGGAGCTATGGAATGCTGAAAATGATCTTCACCTGAAATCATCCAACATTTTTTATTTTCATATTCATGCTAGGAAATAAATGAAGAGGAACGACTTCTGGAGTTCGAAGAAAGTTCATTTCCCGTGTTGCAGAGCATGTTTCAGTTTAAACAACCTTACGATAATTTGTGGAATACTGCTTTACAGTGGAACAATAAGAATGAAACATGGCTTAATGGTAGGCCTTTTCAGTTATAAAATACCAAGCATATAAGACATAACCATTCAAACATTCTTCATTCAGTATGTTGTAATAGGTATATTCAGGAGCTCAGCCAGGATTTTCATGAGGGGAGTTTTAAAACGGAATCAAGAATTCTCATGCAACGACTTCTGAAATAGTCACCGCCATCACGCTGCTCGTTGAAAGAGCTGACTTTTTCAGTGTATCATTATTATTCTATTGCATGAACGTTTTACCTCTGATGAATGTAATCTTTTTATATACACGGCAGCCATTGACTTACATTTTCAATACTCTATGTTTTAATTTTATTGGCAGGTTCCTTCCAAGATCTGAATTCAGAAGAAATCAGTGACGATATTGGAACCATGTGGAGAACAATGTACAAACTTACCAAAGCATTCTCTGATGCTGCAGGTCCCCGTAGAATTGCAGAATCAGTTCGTTCAAAGATCGATAAATTCAAGCAACATCTACCGATTCTTTCCACTATCTGTAATCCTGGCATCAAAGATAGACATTGGGAACAGGTGACGTTTATATTGCTATGTAACAACTGGTTTGTCTATTTCAAGGTCTCACCACCATAAGGTTTTCAAAAATGTTTTATCATAAATTTGGCCTCAGATGAGATCATGCAGATAAATATAAGTGACATTGTTTTGGGAAATTTTGATTTCTGATGAAATGAAAAATAAATTATAGTTAGCAGCTTTTTGGGCGCTTCTGAAGCGTTTGTACTAATTATGGAGGTAACTAATTCTGTTTGCCTACTTTGTATCAAGTTGTGTGAAGGAACAGAAGCCTATGGCCAAGGGGTGTATATTCACTTGGTCAACACAATCAGTCTCTGAATTCGTAATAGAACTAAAATAAGGAAAAATCTGAATAAAATATGGCCTAACCCTAATCTGGTACACACATTACGGGAGTACCGTTTTTTGTGAGTGTTTCGATGTTGTATCAAATATATTTGTTGGAAGTTCTAAGTTGTTCAAATATATTTGAATTTTTCTATTGAGTGATCGATAATATTTTTACTCGTTTTTATCATTTAGATCAGTGATATAGTTGGATTTGACATCAAACCTGATGAGGAAACTTCATTAGCACATATGTTGGAATATGGACTTCACAAAAATATGGATGCGTAAGCTATTTCTCTGAAAATATGACAATTTTATTGTTAAAAAATATGTATTAATTTAAGCGGCATGCAAAAACCTTATTTATCTGGGTGTTATCAGAGCATGAGTGAGAGCATGGGCAAATAACTAATGAACTACCTGGAACTCAAATCTTGTTTAGAACTTTATATTAAATACATAAATGTAAGGGGTAAAAATATTAGATAAATTAATTATGTGTAAAAATTCTGTTATTAGAGCATATCGCCATGGTCCATTCATTTTGTCACTTTTTCCGATCAAAGAAAAAAATCAATCGAGAGAGTTCTATATTCAGGAATTCACATGTCTTAATTGGTTTAAAATTCATATTTGGATTGTCTGTGGATTTATAACTATTGGTCATGAAGAATAACAAAATATTAACAACCAATTGCTTTGATTTTGAACTTGGTGTTTGATTTGATTGAATTAAAAAAGCAAACGATTATGTGTTTTTTATTATCTGTTGTTCTTCTGTGATAAAAAGAATTTGATGCTTGGAATATGCACAGAATTAATTTATTTTGTTGCCATTAAGTGTTCTGTTTTTTCAGTGTTTTGTTCATTTGCCGTTTTTTTAAACAACTTCACTGTGAACAGTTTGTTTAACTCATACATTACTACATCTGTATTGTTGCAAAAGTTTACAGTCAAGGCTGAAGACAAGTATGTCTATTTCAATACCAAGGACCAAAGCTCTTGATTCTTTAATTTCAACTGTTCAATTTTCAGTTATTATTAATCCCACTCAAATAGAATGCAATACTTTAAACTGTTCTTTACAACATTGTTATTTGAAGTTATTAGAAAATCTGTGTTGTTCTTAGTTTGGTTCAATCGTAGTTGGTATCAAACATCTTTCTTTTTTTGTGTCATAGTGTCATCCTTGTTTCTTTCTACAATACTTTTTTAGTGTTTTAGTCTGACAGTTTAATTTTTGTTTGGTGTTTAACTTGCTAATATTTTGCTGTGAATAACCTCTTAGAATCAACACAATAGGAGAAAAAGCCTCAAAAGAATTTTCACTTGAAAAATCCATGGCAAAAATGAAAACTGAATGGGGTGATATATATTTTGAAATGATTCCATATCGAGATTCGGTAAGTGTAATGTACAAATGAAGGCTTTTTCTAGTTTTGGGTGTTTGTGTGAGTATGAATCACAATGATAACTATGAATGTGTACGCTTTTATGGAATTAATTTTTGACGATTTCAGTATTGAAGCAATCGGGGCTCGTGCTACCAAGGAATGGTCCCTGGAAAATGCTCTGAAAAAAATGAAATTTGAGTGGAGAGATGTGGAAATTGTACTGATTCCATACAGAGATTCTGTAAGAATTAGGAATTGATTGTGGTTTGGGTTGATTTGTGATAAATAACCTATTTGGATTGATGTGAATTGTTTTTCAACTTCTCTTTCACTAAAGGTGTGGAAACTTACCATAATATAAATCAGATCCAAAGCAGTTTCAATTTTCTAATTATAATATTTCCTTACTACGGTAGTTATATTCGAAGGTGGTAGAACTAAAATTTTAAAACATGAGTTTATCTCTGGCTCTGTAATTTATGATCTTTCCAAATTTTAAATTTTTTTAAAGAAAACTTTGAATACACAGGCCCCCTTCCTCATCACATTTGAGCTACATCACTTGTCAGTTGATAAACTTTCTGTGGTCATTAGATGTTTGGGTTTGATTTTTTTAAATATACATTATTTAAATCTTTTCGAGTCTGAAACTATATAATCTGGACAAAATGTTCTGAAAGTTTTTTCATTTTCCAATTTAATTACATTTTTTAAAGTTTGCAAAAGCTGATAGGCTAAAAGATTATGATATCTGTCTAATTTGTACTTAACAATTTATTCTACCAATGTTCTTTTTCAAAACGGTAAAGCAGCAATATATCTGTACCATTCTGAATATCCCTTTTACAATAAAGTTTGGTTTTAGATTTCGTTGAATCTGAATGTTTTTATGTTTAAAATAAATTCAGGTATAATATACATGGTATGCCACTAGTTGGACATTTTGAGATGTGTGTGTTTGCTGTGACATATTTCTGTTTGTTTCTTGAGAGTTCATTGTGATTGTGAGCATATATTTTTAAAGTGTTTCTTTATTATAACTTGAAATTGCTTTGACGATTTTCTATGTTTTAGCATATCACCTTTTTTACTATACTTGTTAATATAATTTTCTCTTCAACAAATATACTTCAGCTTAGCTTGGCAGGACTTATTCAGTTTAAAATACCGGTATTATAATCTTTTCTTCTAGTTGAAATGTTCAATAGAATATCCTATACTAGGATAAAATAGCATACGCAGCCAGAAATTGCAAAGAACGAACTTCTTAAGATTGTAGCAAAAGCAGGTATTGAGGACAAAGATAGATTACAGTTTATTATTTTGCTGGATGCATGATGACGCAGGAAAATGTTTTTCTAGGGTGTTGACATACTCGGGCCAATTGACGAGCTGCAGACGTTACTAGATGACCATATTGTTAAAGCAATGACAATGAGAGGATCTCCATTTATTACACCTTTTCTAGAGGAGTTTACGGTGAAATATATGTCATAATAAACAGTAGAGTCAGCAGGCAGAAATAAAGTTGAATATTGTAATATTTTTGTAGTTTTAATTCGACAGAAAAACAGGAGAATGACAAGCAGGAGAATGAGTGTTTTTTGCAACTTTGACATAGTCATGTGAAGTGAGATTCCAGTTAAAAAAATATCAGAACAGCACAACAGAAAATATTTTCTCTTTTCACTTCCTTCATTGTACATTCACATTTCATCTTTCATCAGAGTTAAAATTGTACAGGAGCAACTGGAAGATTCATAGCTTCAATGGAAACTTTCTATCACGTGCCAAGTAAAGGTGCAGCTTTCATAGAGTAAGGCAATGAGAGAATGAACAGACAGTGAGGGTTTTAGGATCATGCAACAGGCAAATACTCTACATATCAGCGACGCAAAATTTGTCTTCATTCATTCAAGATTCAATCTGCTCTTTTTTCTTTGAAAAAACTTCCGACTTTGTGAAAAACTCTTTTTCTTTTATTTGGTTCCATATCATCAAATTCTGTAATAAACCTGCATTTGCTTATGCAATATTACATTCTCTCATAATAACTTGACCATTACACAGGGGCTGAGCATTTTATCAGGCATTGATGAAATACAAGAATTGCTTGATGATCATATCATTAAAGCACAAACTATGAAGGGATCTCCCTTCATTGCACCAATTGAGACTGAAGCACGGGTATGATAATTTAATTATAGAAATGAAATTGGTGGTAAGTTTACAAAAATAATTTGTGTATCTTCTTTATTTCTGCCTGCTGTATTTGTTATGGATTTGGATATTCTATATCTATGTGATTTATTTTGTCATAACAAAGTTATTTGCAGGCAATGCAGGTATATAAATAATAACTATTGGAATGTTTCATTACTATACTGGCACAAGAATTCTCAATATTTATGTTTTTATTTTTATGTAATGGGGCAGAGATACAAATAGTGTCATATGTGTTATTTGCGAAACTTCATTAGGCATGATAAAAATTTTAATGTCATGCTTGTTGCAAGATTCTGGATGTAGATAATAGAATATCTTTTTTTATTCGGTGTTATGCAGTGATTCCGGTGAATAAAAAAATGATGGCTCTGATCCTTCAAATTCATAATTTCCAATTAAGTGTTGAATATTTGATAATATTGGAATAATTTATATTTGAACTGTTTCAAATGTAGGAATGGGAAGAAAAACTAATTCTGATGCAAGATATTTTGGATGCTTGGCTCAAGTGCCAAGCTACTTGGCTTTATCTAGAACCTATCTTCAGCTCAGAAGATATCATGGCACAGATGCCTGAAGAAGGAAGAAAATTTGGAATCGTGGATTCGTATTGGAGGGATATTATGCTGAATGCAGTGAGTATCAGCACAATGTACTCCTGCTTTTCGTAAGATATGAAACTCTCAACTTTACAATCACTTCATTTGCAACGTGGTATCATTTGCTACATTTCAAATTTTATTATTAACTATTATTGTATATAGAAGTAATTATCCTAGTATCGAACCGAGGATTGGTTAAATTTTTCAGATAGATCATTGGTTAAATCTATTTCAGATAGATCATTTCAGAATACCAAAATGTGGATTATTTGTTTTGTATTTGGTGTCTTCTTATTATTTAATCAGGCAAAAGATACTAAAGTTCTGGTTGCTACTGCACAAAATAACATGCTTGGAAGACTGCAGGAATCAAATGAATTGCTGGAACAAATTCAAAAGGGATTGAACAACTATCTTGAGAAGAAAAGAATTTATTTTCCAAGGTCATTGATTATTCCACTGTCTTTTGTTTTGTTTGATTACTTAACTGATTTATATTGATAGTTCATAGTTATCAAACAGGGAGGACGTCTTCCCCAAGATGGAGTTTAGTTGTTCCTTGGGAGAAAATACAGAAATATTAATTTGTATTCGCTGTAGTTTCACTGACATTGTTTAGTTATATTGTATTGTTGTAATACATATATTTGGACACATTATATACTATCCAACCTGTGCCTAAGTCAAGGTGCGAGTTGCAGGTAACATTAGATAATGATCCATCAAAAATTGAACAAATAGCGATTTTATGTAGAATGAATAGTGAGAGAGGAATAATACAATCCAAATAGATAAAGAAAGGAGGAATATCAAAAAGTTTGCAAATCACTGATATCGACTTTCTCTACTGAACGATTCCATGCATTGAAACAAGTGGTAATCATATTTCTGATCTAGACTGATGATGATTACAAAGCCATCTTGTTGACTTTTCCCTCTTCAGAGAAAATTTCAAATTATATTAAGAGATTCATATTCATTATTATTCATTTATAGATTTTTCTTCTTATCCAATGATGAGTTGCTTGAAATTCTCTCTGAAACAAAAGATCCTCTTCGCGTCCAACCTCATCTCAAGAAATGTTTTGAAGGAATTGCAAAATTAAAGTTTACTGATCAACTTGAAATTGTTGGCATGATCAGTTCTGAGTCTGAAGTTGTGACTTTTGTTAATACTATTTATCCAGCTAAAGCAAAGGTTAGGAAGTTTGTAACATTCCTCTTTGCTGTTTTTAAGCTTTCCATTTTGCGCAGTCTTATATATTTCTTATTTATCTTATATTTTCCACTCTGTTCAACCTTTTTTCTATTTCAACAGGGTATGGTGGAAAAGTGGCTTCTTGAAGTTGAGTCATCTATGCTCAAAAATGTCAGAAGAGTATGTTTGGAAGCTGTAGAAGCATATGTGAATACTCCACGTAAAAGATGGGTTCTAGACTGGCCTGGACAAGTTGTACTTTGTGCTTCTCAGACATATTGGACATCAGAAGTAGAAGAAGCCATCAATAACAATACTCTTGATGTATGATATACTACTTCATTTGTTTCATTTACAAGGATTCAGTTGTAAATTATTTTCGCATCAATTTTTAGAAATATCTTGAGGTACTGAATAGTCAGATCAATGATATTGTTGAACTTGTTCGTGGAAAACTAGACAAAGGAGCTCGTATTACTCTCGGAGCACTCACTGTCATTGATGTTCATGGTGGGATAATCATATATTTTTAAATTATTAAAATGTTATTTCACACAGTAATTCGTGAATTATTCTTTTTATTATTTTGTTCAAATACGCTTTACCTTTATAGAGAAGTATTGGTGCTCCAGAATTATGTGTGCCAATATTGATGTAACTAATTTTGTTTGCCTATTTTACATCGAGTTATATAAAGGGACTGAAATGGATGGGGGATATCCACTTGGCTAACACAGACAGTCCCCAAACTTGTAATAGAAAGATGATCAGAATAAAATTATGTCTAACCCTAAATTGGTACACATACTACGGGAGTACCGAAGTACATGAGTTGATGCTGGTATTTCTTCAATATAAAATGGCAATTGAAATTCTTTTCAACTCACATGTTTTCAGCAAATTCCGTTACGGTGGAAATATTTGAATTCAAAAGGTAGTCAAGTCAATAGGTTATTTATAGGCCATTGTGTTGTAAGTCAAAAATGGTACCAAACTGTTAGAATAGCAAACTGTGATTTATTCTGTCATGTTAATTTCTGCTGGTAAATGATTCTGCTGCATTCATCAGCAGGTAAATGCTATAAGTTTAGTAATTTATCATGAAATTATCAGCTATCAATTTGATTTTCCTTTGATACAAATTTTTTTGCAGCTCGAGATACGATTGCTGATCTTGTGAAGCAAAAAATTGCGTCACCTACTGAGTTTTCTTGGCTTAGTCAATTACGATATTATTCGGATGGGTCTGATATTATTGTAAACATGATAAACACTGAATATCGTTATGGTTATGAATATCTTGGTAATTCTGGACGTCTCGTAATTACACCGTTAACGGACAGATGCTACAGGTATTCAAAATATATTGTTAGATAATTTTTATATAGATTAGAAGATAGCATTTTATTCTTGGCGTATGAATATGGTTTGAATTGAGAAGCTGCCATATTCCATTCTAGTTACACGTCAAATAGGGAATGTGTTCTTTCATCTGGATTTCTTTCCATATCTTATTCTGCTTATTTAAAATGTCCATGGCAGATTTGTTCTGAAGTTGCTTGTTCTCTTCAAGGCAGTTTATATTGTAAAATTAATGAACACGAATGGCATATGACACAAATGTCTGTTTCTCAATTACTATTCTCTCAATATTACTATTTTTATTTAATTGTAGCTACACCAATGCTTCATGTATCGCAAAATAAATATCTGAATGTTTATTGAATGTTTGTTGAACTATTAATTTAGAACCTTGATGGGAGCACTAAAGCTAAATCTAGGAGGAGCACCCGAAGGACCAGCCGGCACAGGAAAAACAGAAACAACAAAAGATTTAGCAAAAGCTCTCGCAAAGCAATGTGTTGTCTTCAACTGCTCAGATGGTCTTGACTATAAAGCTATGGGAAAATTTTTTAAAGGTCTTGCTTCATGTGGAGCGTGGGCTTGCTTTGATGAATTCAATCGCATTGAGGTATGATTTTGTGTTTTCATGATGGAAAACTAAATGATATTTAATCATAAGGTTGCATGTGATATGAAATCTCCTAGACAAAACGTGTATCTTCAAATGAGTATTTTGAAGGTTTTCTTATCGATGCACATTTGCCTAACACATACTCCACATTTTATGGTATGCATAATTAAATTCAGCATGAAATATGAATAACTTTCAAGCAAACCGTAATGGAAGATGTTCCATAACAAGTGCAAAATGTACTGGAATCAAATCGTATATTATCTGGAAAAAATCCTTTTTCCCGGGATAACTATGAAATATGATAAATATCTACCTAATACCTAATATTTAACTTATTCATTTTTATCGATTATTTATTTTGCTTTAAACAGATTGAGGTGCTGTCAGTCGTTGCACAGCAAATTCTCTGCATTCAGAATGGAATCATAAACAAGCTGAAAACGTTCATGTTTGAAGGTTCTGAATTATCACTCAATTGGACTTGTGCTGTATTTATCACAATGAATCCTGGCTATGCTGGACGTACAGAACTGCCTGACAATCTCAAGGTAGATATTTTTTGGTTTGATGATATGGGCCAGGCATGGATGGCGAACATCTGATGTGAGTTACAATGTGATCACCTTGTTTTCTGGTGAACCATCAAGTCACAAAGGGATGTAAAAACATACTAACATCTCGGTAACATAAATTGGCTCTCCTGTAGTATGTGAACCAAGATGGCGCACATCTGAACATAGTATGTGTACCAGGTTAAGGTTAGGCCATAATTTTATTCCAATTTTCTCTATTTTAGTTCTATTACCAGTTCGGGGACTAGCTAAGTGACTCCGGTAGTATTTGTACCTGAAATTATGACCTAACCTTAACCTGGTACTGTGTGCATTTATTGGCAACGCTTAAGACCTAACAATACAGCAGTTTCTGTTTGGAATCGCATGAACTAAAGATGTTGTTCAAAAAACCAAACTTTGTAAACCTCAATAAATAGCTTCGAAAATTTGAATTGGGTGGCGGTGACTTTTATGTGGATAAGAGCTGATCGAAAAATGTAATTTGCTTGAGTAGAATTTCTTTCCTGACCATAAAAAGTTTGCTGTAGCACTATACACGTTTTCGGCCAAAATAAATAGCATCATGGTTGTGCTACCTAATATATTACAGGATATATAATTAAACTGATTTTGTCGCAGGTGCTATTTAGAACTGTAGCTATGATGGTACCAGATTATGGTATGATTGGTGAAATTTCTCTCTATTCAATGGGTTTCGTTGATGCCAGAAGTTTGTCTCAGAAAATTGTTGCGACTTACAAACTTTGTTCTGAACAACTCTCATCTCAGCATCATTATGATTATGGTAATTTTTATGCTTGAATTTTGTTTATTTTCAAGTTTGTAAAATAATATCTACTTGATGGGGTATCAAGAAACCCGAAATATATTCATGAACAAAATTATTTGAAATATTTACTGTCAAATTTTCATCTCCAACTCGTGTCAGTCAAAGAATATCAGTACAATATTTAATTTTATCATATTATTTATAAGAAAACTTCCCTCTAAATACACAGGTATGCGAGCTGTCAAATCAGTATTGACTGCAGCTGGAAACTTGAAGTTGAAATATCCACAGCAAGATGAAAGAATTCTTATGCTTCGAGCATTGATGGATGTCAACATGGCGAAATTTTTGGCTCAGGATGTTCCACTGTTCAATGGTAAATATTATCAATAATATATGTTGCAAGTTGCAACAATTACATTTACAGATCAGATTGTTAATATTGGCGAATAAGAACATACTGTATTTAATATAGGATATACTGTATACATTTGACATTGTTTACATGAAAATTAATTTTGAAATATATTTCAGGTATCATATCAGATTTGTTTCCTGGTGTTATACTTCCTGCACCAGACTACGATGTTTTCATTCAGTCAATAAAAGACAATATGGCGAAATTAAACTTGCAGCCTCACCAATGGTCCATTGATAAAATGATTCAGGTGAGTTTGTCCTTGGGTAATTAATTAATATAATATAATTATATTGGTTAAATAATATGGTTGGAAATATTATTGCTTTTCGCAGCTTTAATCCGAACGTGTGATGGTCTTCACATCATATTCTAGTAGTTTTCTTTTCATATTTTTCATTTTCAAGACCTTCTAATTTGATTTGTAATCAGTCACTCATTCTTTCTTTTTTTCAGGGCACTTTTTCCTATTTGTGATATGATTCTGTTTGTTTTCAGGTTTATGAGATGATGTTAGTTCGTCATGGTTTCATGATTGTTGGAGAGCCTCTTGGAGGAAAGACGATGTCCTACAAGGTAAATGTTTATTTACTAAATTTTATGCTGTGATAAACAGAACTTTTTCAAAATTCAGCTTTTGTGTCAGTCTTTTTACGACTGGGATCTAAAGAGTGTTGGCGACTATTTGATCATTCCCAGATATATCATAATCCCTCTGTCATTTCCAGCATTGCAGTTTTAAAACATCCATTTATATTGCTGCCTTTTTCTCTGTATCGGAGAACTCCAAGTGAACAAAATAAAATTTTTAAAAATACTGATACGGGTCTAAAACATGTGAATTATGTACATCAGGGGTGTGCGGCCTTTAATACAGGAGTTCTAGATACAAATAAATGGGTGAAACCACAGGCCGCAACTTTATTTAACAAATATGCTTTGTTCGCTTCGCGCTTTGCAACGCAAGGGAATTGGAATTACTTGCACGTACGTACCAGATTAAACTAAATTAAGAACTCGTTTCGTGTAACACCAATTAAAATTTGCACTTCTGTTTGGGCTGCACAGTTTTTCCTAGTTGGCCGCATTGGCCCCGGGGCCCCAGTTTGCACACCCCTGATCTAAATGATACTGAATTATCCAATAGTTTTCGAATCATTATTGAGGTAGTGCTGATTTGTGCTATGCTATCTACTCTACAATGTAATTCATATCTAACAGTAATGTAGAGTTGAATATTTATTATTAGCATTTCACGTTTTTGTGTTGCTAGGTATTATATGATCTATTTTTTAATTCAATGTTGTCATTTCATAAAGTTCAAAGACGCGTTTTGTTCTTCATAGTGGTTGTTAAATATCTATTTATTTGCATTGCAAGGTTCTCAGTGGTGCTCTCACTGACCTTCATGCAGCAGGATTGATGGAAGAGTTCGCCGTTGAATACAAAATTATCAATCCTAAATCTATTACAATGGGACAATTGTATGGTTGTTTCGATCCTGTATCTCATGAATGGACAGACGGTGTCTTACCAATTGTTTTCCGTGAACAAGCATCATCTACTAGTGAAAACAGGTATGTTTATTGGGTACTCCCGAAGTATGTATACCAAAATGGCAGACACCCGAACATAGCATGTGTGCCTGGTTAGGGTTAGGTCATAATTTTATTCCAATTTCCCTTATTTTAGTTCCATTACAAATTCAGGGACTAGCTAAGTGACTCCTGTAGTATTTGTACTTGAAATTATGGCTTAACCCTAACATTCTACGTTCCGCTGTCCGTCATCTTGGTTCACATTCTTCGAGAGTACTGTTTATTGGACAAGAAGTAGAACTATGAATTGTTTTGATGAATTGTTGGTATTGGAGAAAAACACTTTTCTCTGCAACTTATTGACCGATTCATTTCAAATTTCTAGTACTTGAACATGATTAAATCTACAAGAAAGCAATCATATTTATTTTTTTCTCATGGGGCTCGAACGTTTGCGCCAAATTTTGCTGTTTTATTTCAGTTCATGGCAACAGTTTATTTTGTTATGATTGTCTGCCAATCTTTTCAACGATATACTCTTCAGCATTGTTCTCTTGTTCTTCCATGACATAATTCTTGGCCCTCGCTTTGAAATGTTGTGGATGTTGAAGCACTTCTTAGTAAATAAACTATCAGAGTATAGGATAAACTTAAAATTAGTCATTGAAATCATTGTATAGTGATAGAAATTTGATATTACTTTTCAATTTCTCCCTTAATTATTCCTTTTTTTTATTATCATTGTCTTATTGGCTTGCATCAAGCCTCACATGTCACATGTAAGCAAAATCAATTTATTATGTCCAGAAATAAATATTAATATAAATTTTGATATCCATGTTCCTACATGACCATAGTTTTTCATAAATGTTTAATATTTTTTTTCACAGAAAATGGATCATATTTGATGGTCCTGTAGATGCCGTATGGATTGAGAACATGAACACTGTACTTGATGACAATAAGAAATTATGCTTGATGTCTGGAGAAATTATACAAATGAGCAGCAAGGTATTTCATTCTTGAAATTAGTAAAATCCGAAAAATACCTATTGATTTAAAAAAGTAAATAGTCAATAGTCATTCTAAATTGCTTTGGCATTGCTTTTGTGTTTACAATTCTGAAATTATATTTAAGTTTGAATTTTCTTAATCGGCTTCAGCCTTATTTTAATTTTTAAAGAATCAAATTATAACTGTATTAAATATAATGAAGTTTCCACAGAAAAATTAATATAGAATATTTTTTAAAAGTATGTGCTATTTATGCACCATTTACAATGTTATTTGTTATAATTTACTGATTTATGCTAACGTTCGTTTAATGCTCGAAAACTATTTTATTTTAGATGAATTTAATTTTTGAACCAGCTGATCTTGAGCAAGCATCTCCTGCTACAGTTTCAAGATGTGGAATGATTTATCTTGAACCTCATCAGCTTGGTTGGAGACCTTTTATGGTAATTAAATTTGGCTGTTTGATAGCAATATTACTATGTATATCGCTCTACATTAGGGAGAGCTAAAACCAAATATTCCACTATTTTAAATACATTCTAAGAACATATTTTTGAATATGGAATACATTTTAAATTGGGGGCAAGTTCGTGTGGAAAATGACATAATTCACTATATCTTCGTGTTGATCATATCTAAAACAACAAATAAAGATCATTGTTTTCTTTGTGTTATTTGTTACCAGTTTAGATATCATGCGTTTTGATCTGCTTGTCTTACAGCTCAAAATCCCTACTTTTTAAATAAAAAGATTCCCGGATTCGAAATTTTTTTATCGCAAACATACTGAATTTCAAATGAATTCGATTTGTTTTGGACATCCCTGGGATACCAACAAGCTGCAAAACACTTTACAAACTAAATAATCTTTTTATCAAATTGAAGTATCAGTGATTCCAGAAAAAAAATTTGTGATCCATTTATGTCAATATATTCTAGCTTATAAACCTCCAATCATTATTTCTTTGTTATATGAAGCAAGACGACATAAAGAAAACTTTTGTCTTTTTTGTTTTAGATGTCGTACATGAGTACAGTTCCTGAAACACTGGATGAAGATCATAAGGAAATGTTACATGATTTATTTGAGTGGTTGATTGATCCATGCCTTGATTTTATTCGACATTATTGCAAGTTCATTGTAAGTATCTTTTTGCAGAAATCATCAACAACAGCTCAACTAATAATTTTTAGTTTTTTATGAATGAATACATATCATACATTCGAGGTATGATTTACTAACCAAATTTTGTTTTTCCCAATATTTTGTGTGTTTCTTGTTAAGCTTATTGTTTATGTACCTCACAGATAATCCATTCAATTCTTACAAATGTTATTTTGTAATATTGAAGCATGTTGTTTTTAATTATTAATTGAATTCACTCGAGAAATATTTTTAAAAATTTACATTACATTTTTAGACTCTCTGGAGTATGCTTATGTTTTGCTAAACATTATGATTGTTTTTGCACTTTGTTTAATTTTCCAAACAGAAATTCTAATAAATATATATCCCATATACATTTTTCTTGTTTAAATCATTGCTTGTATTGTTGATATTGTAATATTTGTACTATTTCGTTTTGTCTATTTCTGGCAACACTGCCTGTTAACTTCTTTCATTGTTATTGTTTTACGCTTCATTGATTTTGTATCTGCTGCTTCTTGCTTCGGATGAATGCAGCATGGGTGCTGTGCAAGCTAATATATATCTATTCTGATCGTGTAATATAAGGTTGTATTATATGATAATAGTCGAGTTAACATTGGTAGCAGAGGAAAATGACTGCAAAACAACTTCAACCACCAAAGTTTGGTGAAGATTTGACCTACATGGAGTGGGTAAATAAACTGGACATGTGGAAAGCGGTGACTGAGATACCGGTGAAAAAACAAGGAATTTTGGTGCGACTTTTGTCTTTAGATGGCAATTCTAAAGCTGAAAAGGCTGTTTCTGATCTAACAGCGGATGAACTGAATGTGGATGATGGTCTAAGCCTACTTATTGAAAAATTGGATGTTGCTTTCAAATCAGAGAAGACTGATTTAGCCTATGATGCATATACTGCATTTAATTCCTACACTAGGCCAGCCGGTCTAGCAATGGCTGATTATATATTAGAATTTGAGCATTTGAATTCTAATTTGGTAAAGTTTGATATGAAATTGCCTGATGCAGTTTTGGCATTCCGAATTATGGATGGTGCACTATTAACTGAAGAACAAAAACAGCTTGTATTGACAGTTGGCAGTGATTTAAAATATGAGTCAATGAAATCTGGATTAAAAAGAATTTTTTCAAAACATAATTGTACCGGTAGCACCGGAGGAAGTTTGTTGTCTTTATCACAAACAAATGATGCATTTGTGTCACAAGGTGCAGCTTCAACTGAACTACCGATACCGGTAACTTCAAGAAGAAGATATACTGGGAATACCGGTAATAAGTTTACCAGGAAATCTGATTATCAGGTGAAAAGTAAAAAGGATTTTGATCAAAACATGAATCCAATTGACAGAAATGGCAATATATCAAGATGTTCCATCTGCGACTCAAAAATGCACTGGGCTCGCAAATGCCCTCATCAAAATCGGGAAGTTTTCTGTGCTGATGACTCGGATGATGAAGAATGTGAAAATGTGCAAATGGCATTAATGACCAATGAAAACTGTCAAGAAATCTTCATTTCAGAAAATGCTGAATATGCTATAGTTGATACCGCATGCACAAAAACTGTGGCAGGAAAAACCTGGTTTGAGAAATACATTGAACTTTTGGAGCCTGAGATGCGCGAAAACATCAAGATATTTCCCAGTAGTCGAACCTTTAAATTTGGAGATGGCCGCACTGTTAATGCTATTAAAAGAGTAGTAATTCCCATTCAAATAGGCCGTAAAATTCTGGAATTGGAAGTGGAAATCATAGACACCCATCTTCCATTGCTGATGAGTAAAAGATCTCTGAAGAGAGCAGAAACTCACCTGAATATGAAGAATGATACGGCTATGATGTTGGGACAGGAAATTGCACTCCATTTATCAAATAATGGCCACTACACAGTCAAAATACTGCCTAGGAAAAGGTGTTCAAAAGGTCACAAAACTGAAATTTTATTATCAGAAAACGGGTCAAAAAGTTACAGCAAAAATGATATATTGAAAATTCACAAACAATTTGGGCATGCATCGAAAGAAAATATGAAAAGATTGATAACTAATACTGGAAAATATCGTCCTGAATATAGTCAGATTATAGATGAAACAGTTGATAGATGTGAAATATGCACCAAATATAAAAGGCCTTGTCCACGTCCTGTGGTTGGCTTATCTTGGGCTACGGATTTCAATCAGACTGTAGCATTGGATCTCCATCAGTTAGAACAAAATGTGTGGTACCTCCATATTGTAGACGAATTTACTCGTTACAGCAGCGCTGTTGTCATTCATAATAAAAAGACTTCCACGATTGTTGAAAAATTCATGCAACACTGGATTAGCATATTCGGAGCACCAAACAGAGTACTTTCAGATAATGGTGGAGAATTTGATTCTGCTGAATTTCATGATATGTGTGAGAATTTTGGCATCAAAATTTCTACTACTCCGGCATATTCTCCATGGAGCAATGGACTGTGCGAGCGTCATAACAGAATTCTTTCTGAAATTCTTCTCAAGGTGAGAGATGAAAATAATTGTAATTGGGAAACAGCTCTGGCTTGGGCACTTAGTGCTAAAAATAGTCTTATCAATACTAAAGGATTTAGCCCTAATCAACTTGTTTTCGGTAGAAGCATCAGACTACCATCTGTTATTCATGAAAATCTTCCAGCACTAGAAGGAACAAGTACAAGCATGTATGTGGCAAAAAACATATTGGCTCTTCATATTGCTCGGAAAGCATTTATTGAGTCGGAATCATCTGAAAAGATTCGAAGGGCACTACGAAAACAAACGAGAGAGACGGTTGATGCCTTCACAAAGGGAGAGTATGTGTATTATAAAAGAGATGAACAACAGAAATGGAAAGGACCTGGACGTGTAATTGGTCAAGATGGGCCTTTAATCTTTATTCGGCATGGAGGCCAATGTGTGAAAGTGCATTCTTGCAGAGTCCAACATGTGGCGGAACCTACCGAGATGACTATTTTGCCTGATAATTCCAATGACAAAAATAAGGCTCCAATATCACAAACTGCTCAAGCAGATGTTAGTGACGTCAGTGGAGATGATTCAAATGCGAATGTTACAAACAGGGACGATGACAGTGATATTTCATGTCACTTAGCAAGAGGTAAAATTGTCACATATTCGCATGATGGTATGGATTATGAAGTGGAAATTATAAGTCGAGCTGGAAAAGCAACTGGAAAATATAAAAATTCTTTCAATGTGAAATATCGATCACCAGAAAGCATTAAGGGAAATACTGGATATGTTGATTTTGAGCAGGTCGAAAACCTACAAGAAGAACTCCAAGCACCTACAGAAAATGTTCTGGTTACAAAAGATGTTAACTTTGACGGCGCAAAATTATCAGAGTTAAAAAGTTGGAAAGAAAATAATGTTTATGAAGAGGTTGACAACACTGGACAAATAACTATTTCAGTACGATGGGTCTGTTCTCTAAAATCTACAGAAGATGGTGTTGTACCTAAAGCACGACTTGTGGCAAGAGGCTTTGAGGAAAACAATGACAGTGTCTTAAAAGAATCGCCAACATGTTCTAAAGATTCCCTCCGCTTGCTGTTGGCAATTGTCGCTCAGAAAAAATGGAAATTGAATACCATTGACATAAAGACTGCCTTTCTGCAAGGCGAAAATTTGGATCGTGAAATATTCCTGGTTCCCCCTAAAGAAGCTGGCTCCAACAAACTCTGGAAACTAAATAAGTGTGTTTATGGACTGGCTGATGCATCTTTGAAATGGTATAAAAAGCTCAAAGATTTTATATTGAATAATGGGGCGAAAATGTCATGCGGAGATTCTGCTTTATTTCACCTAAACAGTGATAACAACTTGCATGGAATTATGGGAATTCACGTTGATGATATCATTTGGGCTGGAACACAGAATTTTGAAAATACATTTATAACAAGCTTACGTTCCACTTTTCAGATTAGTCGTGAGAAAAACGAGGCTTTTAAATATCTTGGTCTTAATATTCAACAAAATGAAACAGCAATAACAGTGGATCAAGAAACATATATTGAGAGTCTTAAAAATTTTACATCAAGTTCAAATGAAAATGAGTTGAATGAAAAAGACAGGGATGCATTGAGAGCTATAGTTGGTCAATTGCTTTGGACATCGAATCAAACCCGGCCAGATGTGAGTTATGATGTCTGCCAACTTGCCACAAATCTAAAAGAAGGCAAACAGAAAGATGTTCATCATGCCAATAAAATAATTAGAAAACTGAAAGCTCAAGAAATGAAGCTGAAGTATCAATATCTGGGAAAAGACCAATCACTCAGGATTGTGGTATTTGCAGATGCTGCATATGGGAATTTAATTGATGGAGGTAGTCAAGGTGGACACCTAGTATTTCTAGTTGGAGATGATGACAAATGCTCATTGCTAACATGGCAATCGAAACGGATTCGTAGAGTGGCCAAAAGCACTTTGGCAGCTGAAACACTTTCACTATCTGACGCCGTGGATAATGCTGTATTTGTTAAGAGCATGCTGTCAGAAATTTATTTTGCAAACTCATTCAATATACCAATTTATGTAATGACAGATAATTGCTCACTTCGAGATGCATTATACTCCAGTAAAAATGTTTCCAACAAAAGACTTCGAATTGAAATTGGAATGCTCAAAGAAATGATTATGAAGAAGGAAATTTGTGGCGTAGAATGGTTGCAGTCAAAATACCAGTTAGCTGATGTGCTCACAAAGCATGGGGCTTCTTCAGAAAGATTAGTCTCTATAATTTGTGATGGACTACTTTACCTCTGTTAAACTAAAAGTTAAAACAGAGTGAATATGTTGATATTGTAATATTTGTACTATTTCGTTTTGTCTATTTCTGGCAACACTGCCTGTTAACTTCTTTCATTGTTATTGTTTTACGCTTCATTGATTTTGTATCTGCTGCTTCTTGCTTCGGATGAATGCAGCATGGGTGCTGTGCAAGCTAATATATATCTATTCTGATCGTGTAATATAAGGTTGTATTATATGATAATAGTCGAGTTAACATGTATGAAATCTAGTCGAATAAAATTTATTCGCACGAATATTCAATTCATTTTAGCTGTATTTTTACTCATTTATTTGTTTATCTATATAAAGGATTATTTGTTTACCTAGCTCAACACGTCACCAATGCACTTGGTATCCACCATGCTGTCGTTGTTTAATTCATTACTTGATGAGATTGCACAGCCACCCACAGAATCAGAAGAGGGCTCGACTGCTATGAGCAGCCAGCAGGTATAATACTGTAAATTTAGTAATCATTGTTTTTTTATGTAAGAAGTTTAAATATCCTTCACACTGTGGAATAAAAAGCAATCAGAAACTCACAAATTGTCCATACTACTGGGCTGTGAAATCAAATAAATTTAGACCAGACTCTAAACTCCAAGACATTAAAAAGTGACTTTGACCTTGGGTTGACACAAATTCGGCTCGCAACTCCGGTTCCCAACTTCAGGTTTAAGCATCAAGTTTTGACTCTGACTCTAGCTCCGAACTTCCAGAAAACAAATTCTTGAAAACAAAAACATTGGCTTTTTCAAACTTTTTTTAATTGTTTGTTGGAAATATTAGTCAAGTTAATCCATTTTGAGTTTATGTAGAAAATTTTCGATGATCACCATTTAATGTCTGAATTCCCGCTCTGGATTCAAAATGCGAGCTGGATATGATTACCTTACATAAGGGTAACAATCGGTGAATAATAGTTGTTTAAAATAAGGCATCCCAAATAGAATGTCGTCTAGAATAAGAAGGCAAGCAAGACGCAACACTGGAATTTAATTAATGGTTCTTCACACATAACAACAAATAATTATGATTTTTAGCTTTTCAAATATGAGGATGACCCCAGTGTCACGAATTGGGTGTTTCCTGCATTGCTTTAATTTGAATGTAACCACCCCCCTTATGCGCAAAAAATCTTGGCTGTGCCATTTACATTGGTGTTTTTTTTGTATCTAAACATACTAAATTATTGTTCAGATATTTTTATGGTTGCAAGGACTGTTTCTATTTTCTCTTGTATGGACATTGGGAGGAACAATTGATGGTGACAGTCGGTCAAAATTTGATCAATTTTTCCGTAATTTGATCAGTGGCACTGACACCAACCATCCCAAACCAAAAACTTCAAAACTTACAAAAAGTCATGTGTTCCCAGAAAGAGGTAAGATATGTCAACAACAAATTTGAAATCCTTTTTTTTCTCATCAAAGTTTTTCTTGTTGTAAACTGCTTGTCTGAGGAAGTCTGATTTTGGTCAGACGAATCATTACAGAAATATCTTTGTTATAGTGTGCAGCAGGACTCTTGAATTGCATATTATGATATTTTTATTCCTGCTACAGCATCCTTGCATTATACACATACGGATCCACTAGCACAATAGCATTGACGAAGGATTGATAGTTAGTCTCGAGCAACCTCAATTGATAGTTCTATTTGATATGATAGTATTTTTAAATTAAAAGTTGAGGAAACTCACTATGTCGAATTTTATGCAAAAAATAGCAACAGATATTCAAGATTTTTACAGACTTTATTTCGTCTAGATTCCTCACACCTTTTATCAGTTGGCCACAATGTAGGTTACGCCACACATTTATGGAATCACTGACTCTGTTTCTGCACCCTACAAATTGTTTTGTGACAGAAATATGATTTTTCTTAACCTACAGGTTCAATCTATGATTATTATTTCCAAAAAAAATCGAGTGGATCTTGGGCAAACTGGCTTGATTATGTCGATAAAGAAAAAATGACAATTGGCAAAGACGTCAAAGTAAATTCTTTTCTATGCAAAACATCATTTTTAAATTTACAATAGTCAACATAGGCAGAATAGTATTTTGGGCAATGTTTTTTAATTTTGTTTCATCTCCTATGATTAGTTTCGAAAAACATAAAGTAATACTATGAAATGAAGCAGTGTGCTATTGAACTTCACATTCTTTCGCATAATTTTGAATTTTTGATTTCAACATGAATTATTGTTATCCTATTAATATAATAATAAGTTAAATAACTTGTTCCAGGTTAGTGAAATCATTGTACAGACAGTCAACACTGCTCAACAATGTTTTTTCTTGGATACTTTCATCAGCCATTGTGTTCCGCTTCTATTTGTTGGACCTACTGGTGAGTTTTCCTGTAAAGTAGTGAATCGAACATCTATAGAATTAATCTATTGACTAGGAATGTATGTTTAAAAATCAAACATAATATGAATATCGAGTATTGTTTTTGTAATCTCCGTTATTGTACTTTTATGTAATCGTTGATTGCCTGTGGGTTCTTCCATCATCAAGTCCATGCTCCCGAACATTGATTGACTAACTAATACGATACTCAACATGAACTGGTAACCAGACAGGTGGCCGTGGGTCACCATATGATTAAGTCGCCTTTTAGCTTTTCTCTTCTCCGGGATAAATCTGTTAATCCTATCCTATTTATAATTGCAATGGCTCAATATAGTTTATTTCTTAATTAGAGGGGTCAGCAACTTTCAGTCATGTCATTATATGGCTATGGAAAGTTTGAGACCCACTGGCCAAGGCCACAAGCAGTCCTGAAAAAAAATGTATCAGTTTGTCATTATGCATATAGTATACAAAATATAATTCTGGCTTATTCCAATTAACATAAAAGGATGAAAATTTTCACTGCAATTCAATAAAACCAAATCAAAGTTATTAGTCATTAAGTTGAGTCGTATACCTCTTCAAGATTTAAAATTTAATTATAAAACTATATGACAAGGTGCATAACTGAAACCAAATTGAAGGAATTTCATCCTTACCTTCTGTATGGCTAGTATATAATGTTAAAGAGAAACCAATTCAATTACCAAAACTCTAAATATGTATCTATGCTACAAATATCTTGCCATTCTTCATGATTTGGGTATATAATATTTAATAAAATATTTTTTTACTTAGGTACTGGTAAATCTGCAATTACAAATGACTATCTAGTTTCTCTGCCTAAAGATAAATACATACCAAACAACATCAACTTTTCTGCAAGAACGTCTGCAAGTCAAACACAAGACATTATTATGTCGAAACTTGATAGAAGACGCAAGGGATTGTATGGACCTCCTGTTGGCAAACAATGTGTTGTATTTGTTGATGATCTCAATATGCCAGCAAAAGAAGTAAGTGTCTATTATGTCTGTTGATAAAAATCATATGTTCTGTAGAATTTACAATATTATTATTAAATATTTGTCTATAAGTTTCATATGCAAGACATAGGATACTAGTTATGATAATAACAATAGACAACAAAACTTGTTCAAATTCTCCAAACCTATGACTCATTTACTTGCTGGAATAAAAATTACGCTTTACTAACATTAAATTGGGACATGGATAATAATTATACATATTTATAATATATCTTTATTTATTCAATGCAATGAGTAAGCTTGTTTCGTGCACATGAATGATCATAACATGTTTAGATGTCCAATACAGCCAGTCATACATTCCTATCAACATTAATTTTAAAAAATTTGATCATTCCATGTCAAGTTATAAACAACAGCAAACAAGAAATAAATTTTTAAGAAAAGAAATGACTCACACGACACAGTTTAAAACCACTTTAGATTGAAAGAAATCCTATTCGATTTAAAGTTGAGCAAATTATGTTTTGTTTCTTTGATCTTTCACTTTTCAGTTCCATTGCCCATCACAACCTTTTGTCAAACTAGGTAGTTTACCTCATTTTGACCTTCTACCTTTGCGACGTCAAATTTGACATTTTTTGTTGAAGAAATAATACTAGAAACGAACAAAACAGTGTATATTCCGTTTTATTAGATATATGGAGCACAACCACCAGTTGAACTTCTTCGAACATGGCTTGATCACAAATTTTTATACGACAAGAAAGATATGTCCAAAGTTGAACTCACTGATGTACTGTTTATCAGGTACAGAACACAATTTTAGTGCATGACAATCAATGTGATGGCATGATTATGGTTTAATTTTATAGATCTCTTTTGTAGAATAGATTGAATATTGCAAATAAGACTGCTGATGTTTTTAATCATGTAATGTAGTGATTTCCAACCCTTTCTGGCCGCAGAACACATATTTTGATATCATAAATATTACTGGGGGGAATTCAAGTTTTCAGAGATGAAAAATCCGATTAACTGATTATTAATTAGATTCCTGTCACAAAATATTTTGTCATAAAAAGGAGATTGAAAAAGACTAAGTTTGAAAAATGCCTAAAAAATTCAAATTTATGACTGCAAAGAGCTAACGTATAAATAAAAGTAAAGCGTAATAATAAAACCAAAAAAGGTGATTCAGATATTATGAAATTCACGCTGTGGATTTTCATTATCGAACAACAAGCTCATCCTAAATTAATTACATGCTTGGTGAATTTTGATTTCTACTTTTCAATGAGAAAAAATTGAGAAACAACAATTTGACATGGAACACCTGAATGGAATTTTCAGAATGTATCCGCGAAACACGGGTTGAAAATCACTGATGTAATGAATTGAAACTTACTGTTTTATTTCATATCAATTTACCTATTTGACTGCCTATGCTTGAACTAACAAATATTTTTTGCATTGTACAGTGGTATGGGGCCACCTGGTGGTGGTAGAAACGATGTAACAGGACGAATGTCTCGACATTTGAATGTAATCTCAATCGATACATTCAGCGATGAAACTATGACAAAAATATTCACTACAATAAGTGATTGGCATTTTGCAAATGGATTTGACTCAGCTTTTGTTCGGCTTGGTAAGACAAGAGATTAAATTTAAATTTAAGAAATGAGAAATCTTATATTAAACTGTTTTTGTTGAAACAAAAATGAAAAATACGTTCTAATACATACTTGGTTTATACAAGTCTAATAATTCGAATAGATAAAATTTCAATTGTCTTTGCCTTTTCAAGCTGAAATTATTATTTTTTGAATGAATGCTAACATGTCTTTCTTAGCATCTCGATAATAAAGCTCAGTTTAGTGATTATATATAGATTTTATTAAAATATACCTCTGCACTTCTCTATTGTCAAAATAATACCCTGATTACGTTATGTTTCATGAAATCAACTTGAAAAGAGCATTTTTATGTTTAACACAAATTTATATAAATTTATTGCAGGCAAGATCATGGTTCAAGCTACCATGAGTGTCTTCAAAGCCACTATTGAAAATTTTTTGCCTACACCAACAAAATCTCATTATGTTTTCAACCTTCGTGATTTTGCTCGAGTCATTCGAGGAGTTCTTCTTGTTCCCAGTGCTCAAATGACGGATACTGATAAGTTCGTGAGACTCTGGGTGCATGAAGTGTACAGGTATTCTTTGGAGTCCTTTCGTAATTTGTAATACAGTGAATGTACTCATATCTTTTTCTTTGCTTTGTTTATGATTAAATATGTACTGGAAAATAATACTTTAGTGATAGGGTATTCTGTTGGAATATAAAAACTCTCATGTTTTCTGTTTGATGAATTATTATATGATAGAAATTCAGTTTGAAAGATATTCGAAATGCTATCTAAAATAGATTTTTCCCATACTCCTTCATTCAACATTGCGCTTTTTTGCCTAAATTATTCTTTTTGAAAAGAGATTAAATTTATTAAAGTTTTACAAAGTGTTATGTTATGATTTTTTTGGAAAATCAAGTAATTCTAGCAACTACAAAATTAAAATTATTTTATTGCTTGATCCTGGGTTATCAAATTATTTAGTTATGGAAATCAATGCTTGGGGGGAGCTGACTCTGATGACCGTATAGTTGTATCGCCCCTCACCCCCCAAATAAATATCTCTCTTTCTCATCATATTTGCAATATTGCATTATTATCATGTTTTAGAACATATGCTTAAACAAAGGTCATGTGCACGCACTCAAAAATAAGGGAGAATGGTTTCTGAGAGAAGTTACTCCCGGCCACTGATGTGGTAAGAACTACTGAGATTTCAGAAAATTGTAGCTGGAAATTTATAGTCAAATCAAACACATTATAGATTAATAATTCCTGGGAATCTTATTTTCAGAGTTTTCTATGATCGTTTGATTGATGATCACGACAGAACAACTTTCTTTGGAATTGTGAAAGAAACTTCATCTAATTTCTTCAAAATGAATCTTGACAAAGTATTGAGTCACTTATACAAGACAAAGACATTGACTGTGAGTTATTACTGCTTTTATTATTTTCATGTAAGTCAGATGGCAGAAACAAAGGCGTTAAATGTTGGGATTTTAGGTAATATTTGTTCCCGTAAGTTCACTTATGTGATGAACAAATTGAGATTTGGTAAGATTGATAATCAATGCCAGGTATACATTTATTCAAACACTTCAGTTTGATGTTGTTGAAGACTTATGTAAAAAATCCTTGCTCATGCTAATTTCGAGTTTTCATATGAACATATTTTATTCCTCATTATAATGCAATATAGACTTCCTGAATTGAAGTACACTGAATTGGGTACACCCGTAGTGTGTGTACCAGATTAAGGTTAGGCCATAATTTTATTCCGATTCTCCTTATTTCAGTTCTATTACAAGTTCGGGAACTGTCTGTGTTAGCCAAGTGAATATCCCTCTGCCCATATGTTTCAGTCTTTTTACGCAACTTGATGTAAAGCAGGCGAACAAAATTAGTTACCTCTATATTGGTGCATACATTTCTGGAGCACCGATGATTAAATCGATCGATCACCTTATTGTATTTATATATGAATTTTTAATATAATTTGAATGTGATCGCTGGAGGCCGGAGCTTGTACAGTATAACATATTTGTAGATTTGAAACAAACTATCAATATATATTGTTTCAATGATTATATCAATTCACTATTAACATCTTTTAGGATGATCATGTCAGAAACTTGTTTTTCGGTGACTTTCTTGATCCTGATGCAAACCCAAGAGTTTATGATGAAATTCAAGATTTATCTCAGCTTACTGCTGTCATGGATCATTATCTTGATGAACATAACCAGGTACAGGTTTACCAAACTTTAACGCATAAAATATTCCTTTCTTTAAAAATTAAAAATTTAAATTCCAAGACTAACTTCTTCAAATACAAAAACAAAGTTACAAAATAATATTCTTAAGTATAACACTGCAGAAGTCTTGGTAATATCTGGTCCAGTATTACCACAACTAGTTCATTGTATTACTGCCACTATATTTTGCAGTAGAATGTACTATTGCAGAATTTCTAAATATTTGTTTGTGTATTTATTACCTACAGATTATTCACTGAGAAAGTTTTGACTATTACATCAGCCTTCCCATATTGTGTTGTGTGATTAATCATAATCACTTTTTTATATTTTTCATGAATTTTTAAATATTTATCTTACAGATGTCGAAAGCACCTATGGCACTCGTGATGTTTAAATTTGCTATTGAACATATTTCTCGAGTATCTCGTGTCTTGAAACAGGACAATGGGCATCTGCTTCTGATTGGTATCGGTGGATCGGGTCGCAAAAGTGCTTGCAGATTGTCTACATTTATGGCTGATTATGAGTTGTATCAGATTGAAATCACAAGGTTCTTTTATAAATTCTCATATTGTACTTATTTTGATTTACTCTCGCAACCTTAACATGTGGTAGATGGGAAGAACTTTTTAACAGGGCTGGGCATTTTCAATACCTGATGATTTTAGAATCGAATATTTTTTTTGACTCAAATCGGATGTCGAATACTTGAGAGATGTAAAATTGTATGTAAATTTATTTTTGTATTAGGTTTTCCAGACACATAAATTACTGAAAACATTGAATACATCACTCAGGCAGATTGCGGAGTGTTCACATACAATAAAAAACATGTTTTCATTAATAATTCACTACAGAAAGGAGTCATATGTCAGAATTGAATTGAAAAAATATGGTTTTAATAAAAAAATTGAGAAATTTACCTCAACCATTGGCAAAAAGAAAAAAAAAAGATGACGACGATTTGAAATTTTGTTCTGAACCAATTCAAATAATTTACTATTTGAAATACTCAGTCCTACTTTTTAACATTTACTGATTCCCTGATTGGAGCTGGATTAAAATATTTCATTTCGATTACATTTTAATTTAAACATAACTTCTGGTAAATGATTGGAATTAGGTTTTAAATTTGTTGAATAAAATTTCCCTGTTGTAGATAAATTAACATCTTTGTTATATTTTTCGCTGAATAGGATTCAAAAAATATTCAGTAATTATTTTTTACATTTTTTGTTAATAGTGAGGTACGCTGAAGTATCACATCTGTTTATGACAGATAACTACTTTTCTTGATCCGTTTCCTCTTCTGCCTATTTTGAAATTCTTTATTCCTCCCTCATTGTGCATAAAAATAGTGTTTCCATTTGTTGCTCGATCTTCATAATCGTTAGATTGTGATAGTTGCAATTCTCAATGCCTTCGTACAGTTTGTAATATATACATAAAGATGTATGGCTATAATACCAATTTAGAAAATAGCAACATTTGGCTAATTGAGTGATTCGATAGTCTTACTGCACACTCACACAAATACATTTCTGTAATGTTTCTTCTGACTAAGATCAGACTTCTTCAGACACACTAGTTCAACTGTATCAAGAAACGCAATTGCATGCAAATTTAAACAATCATTGTGCATGCAACTGTTTTTCTTGTTACAGTTGAATTACCAGTATGTATGTCTGAAGATTCTGACCTTGATCAGCCAGAACGTTACAAAAATATATCACATTTTCTACAGCCTCTTTACATTATATGCATACAGATACACCGGCACAAAAACATAAGAAGAAGTATATGTAGTTAGACTTGCAGAATCAAGTCATTTGACTGATTTTCTCATTATCTAAAATGAACATTTGATATTGAATACATTTCCATTTTGATGCTTCTAATTAGGGATTTTAAAATAACCTCATTTATATAAATGTTATTGAATATTCACCAACCACGCATAATTTAACTAATTGGAAAACTGAAAGATGTTGTTTTAATCAATGACTTTTTTCAACAGAACATACAGTTTCAATGACTGGCGTGAAGATATTAAGAAAATGATGTTGAAGGCTGGAGTGGAAGGTTTACAGACAGTGTTTCTGTTCAGTGATCAACAGATCAAAGAAGAATCTTTTGTTGAAGACATCAATATGATATTGAACACAGCTGATATTCCTAACCTCTTCCCATCTGATGAAAAAGCTGAAGTGATTGAGAAAATGCAGGTATGTTGTAACTTATTATGCAATGCGAGCGTCATGCTGCACACTAACACAAATGTATTTTCCTAACGTTTTGTCTGACCAAAATCAGACTTCCTCAGACAAGCAGTTTACATCAATGACAATAATCTTGTACAAGAATACCTTTGTGTTAGTGTGCAGCAGGACTCTTGAATTGCATATTAGGATATTTTTATTCTTGCTACAGCATTCTTACATTATACACATACGGATCCACTAGCGCAAATGCATTTAGGGATTACTTTGATTATACTGGTTCTTGGAAAGATATTCTTCTATTTTGTTTCATATTTAGTTTCAAAGCATCCTTTGTGGATTTTCAAATACTAAAACCAAGAAGAAAATATTGCAGATATATTACACTCCTCTAAATGCCACTTTGTTATAATAGAGGAATTTTGAGAGTGGATGAAAAAAAACATCTCAAATATCCTTTTCGTTGTTATTTCTTTCAACCATCTTTATGACCTATCAAATTTTTTCATATCAAATGAATGTAAAAAGGAATAAGGAATAATTTAATTTGAACTGATTCATTACTGTTTTGATATTGACAATTTTTTGCAGCTTTTCCCTCTGATAAAAAATGTTATCTGTTCTATGATATTTTTACATTTTTATACTCCTTTTATACTATTACATGTTTGCACCATGAGAATTTCTGCATATAATATCTAGGGAATTGCGCGACAGGAAGGAAAGAAAATAGAAGGTACTCCTCTGGCGATGTACAATTTCTTCATTGAGAGGGTCAAGAGCAATTTACACGTTGTCCTCGCAATGAGTCCTATTGGTGATTCTCTGAGAAATCGACTGAGAATGTTTCCCTCACTTATCAATTGTTGCACAATAGATTGGTTTCAGGTAAGTAAGTTGAATTTTTTCAGATTTGGGCTCAGGAATTAGTGAAGCACCTTGGGAATATTGCTAACTGACAAAGTTGTAATGTATTTAAAATGAAAGTGGTTATGACAGTGTTTTTTTAACCAGAGGTTCCACCAGTACAGTTCATGGATTCTGCAATTAACAATTAAATATGAGAGTCTATATCTGACATGGGCAAACTGCGGCCCACGAGCCAAATCCGGCCTGTTGGGTAATTCAATCTGGCCCACCTGATGCTGCCACAATCCAAACCAAATTTTGATGTTTTCAAGCTAAAAAATAAACCTAATAAAGGAATTTGTTGAAATTGCGATTAAATTTAGCTTTGGCACAAGGGTTATTTTTTTCCACTTTTGCTTTTGTAACACTGTAAATATTGTTCAAAAAATGTAACTTTAATTCACACTTACATGGCCCACCAAAATTTCTGGCCGTCGGTCCGAAAACATAGCCCACCCTTGGTCTATATCTCTGCATGCATAAAAATCTGGAATATTTTAATTTTATTTATCAATAAAATGATGTTTTGCATAAGACAATTGAACTGTTGCACAGGCGTTTCTTAGGGCTATGAAACGTTTCATTGAAGTTCCACTCAACCAAAAAAGTTGACTACTGATCTAGTATTGAGCAGCTAGATTCTAGTCTGATTCATGTCAATTCATCACATCTAGATTCTTATTTTTGTTTCAAAATCTCTTGTCACTGATATAATATGGAGCCACAATACCATAATACTGTACTTCATGAATATACATATTCGAAACTTTAACTCTATGTTTTTATTGGCTTTAATGAGTGGTATGATCCAATTTTTCTATACTTCTATATTTTTTCACCAGGCATGGCCAGAAGATGCATTGGAAATGGTTGCGAACAAGTTTTTAGAAGATGTGGATCTGGATGATGACGTTAGATTATCTTGCGTCGGGATGTGCAAGTACTTCCATGAAAGGTTTGTTAGCAATAAATCGTTAATAAGATCTTTGTTTTTATATTATTTCTAAGAATTTTGTATTTGAAACTTCTAATATGATAATAGTTTTATGAAACCCCTCGAGTATTTTCCTGTTCTTAAATTCTTCCCATTCATAATCTGAATTAACCAGCCTTCATGAACGTTTTTCTGAGCGAGTATTTTTAGCTGACACTGGAGTTTTTGGGAAGTCCCTCCCTGACTGATGATTGGAAAACAGACAATTTGGGAAAATAATACATGTACCAAATAACCCAGAGTCTTTCCAAGATAAATATCATGTCACACAAAAAGAGATATCGCTTTGCGCCTTGTCTCTCATATTTATTGTGTAATGGTACTTTCAGTGTACTTTAGTTTAACGGGGTACTTAACCAGGCAAGGCCTATGTAAATTAAATCTTAGCACTATTTAAATGCCTCCGAAAATAAGTGCGTATGGCTGGGAGACTAAAGAATGACAATATCGGTATAGCCAGGAGAAATTTTAACATTGAAAAGTGTGATTATTCATTTTAAATTTCTGAACAAAACAATTCCTTTTCGAAATTATGTTTTCTGATATATTTATTGTTTTGATTTCAGTGTTCGCCAACTTTCTGCTGGATTCTGGGATGTTTTGCGACGACACAACTATGTGACACCAACATCCTATCTTGAACTAATTCTGACATTCAAGTCTCTTCTGGAAGTGAAACGTTCTGAAGTAAAACTGATGTTGGAACGTTACATAAATGGATTGGACAAATTATCATTTGCAGCATCACAAGTAAAATTGTTAACAAAGAATTTTAAGTAATAATCGTTTCTGATGATCAAGTAAGCTGTCTGTAATTGGATGCTCTTAAACATTTATTTGGGATTTGCTTGCTAATTAAATGAACTGTATTTTACTTTAAACTCACTTTATTAAGCGTGTATATTCATATATAACGAGTTACACGTTACAAATTATTTACGCCATCTACTATGGAACCAATGAGAAACCTGGGAGCTCATTGAGGATTTTTCTAGGGCTGCCAATGAGAGGAAACTGAGCTCCCTGGCACCTTGGATATAACGTGTAATATGATGCTTTTTTTTAAGTTACGGTTGTTTTTTGTTTTTGTGGATTTTTCCCCATTTTTCAAATTATCTTCATTCAAGTCCTAACTCACTTTGCTTCAATCTTGCGTGCCTAGATCGGACCGTCCATCTTAACCCGTCTATGGTCAAATAAAGATATACCGTATGTAGAAACTGAATTGACATCTTGGTATTATTCTTTCAAACTCTATTCCTCGAAATGTGCTTGAAATAAAATGAAACTAATTTGATTAAACATGTTTCTATGAAGCATGTAAACCTTTTTTAGTTACCGCAAATATTATTCTAAGCAAACTTGTTTTAAAGAAATAAAATATTGAAAATAATCGAATATTACTTCATTCATGTAAATGATTCTGGTACAGATTAAAAAAGCAATATAAATTTTGTCTAGGTGTCAGTCATGCAGAAAGAACTGACTGATCTGCAGCCTGAACTCATCAAAACATCGGAAGAAACTGACAAAATTATGGTGAAAATCGAACATGATTCAGTGGAAGTTGAAGCCAAGAAAGAAGTGAGTAGTGAATTTCTAGAAGTTATACGTTTGGTTATATATTGCTCAAAGATATAGTGCATAGTATAGTGCTATGCATTAAGTATGCATATGCGCTTGTCATCGCACTTTTCATCCCGCGCAGTTCCGTTTTTAGCAGAGGTATAAATATGTGCAACAGGATTGATGAACTCTTCGCTATCGCCCTGTTCTCATACCCGACATGAATTGGTAACTAGGAGAGATGCCGTGACTTTCCTCTTCCCCAGGATATATATGCAAATCCTATGTTAACTGTGGAATAAATATTTTGTATTTGAAAGACAGTCACTTGGTTAACCATCATACTCAAATTTTAAAAACTCTTGTTAAGAGTTAAAAACTCTTTACCAAATAAAAAAAATGTGACAAATATTATTATTATTATTTAAGATTCAATAAACATTTTTCCACAGGTCGTTGCTGCAGATGAAAAAGTTGCCAATGAAGCGGCATCTGTTGCAAAAGCAATTGCGGATGAATGTCATGCCGATTTAGCAGAGGCTATGCCTGCACTTGAAGCAGCTCTTTCAGCATTGAACACATTAAAACCTGCGGTATGTTAATTTGCTCAGACGTTGTGCAAATTTGGCTGAATATGCAATGTATTGAAAACCGAGACTTCCTCGAATCTCTTCTATAAATTTATCATTGAAATCTCATTCAAATTTATTCTGTCATTTTGTACCAATGCCAATATTGCTTCTTTTACCACTGCCATACAATTTACTACAAAAATCCACATATTGAAACAATTCAACCTGTACTTCTTATGTCAACGCAAAAAGTGCCAACCACTCTAGACTCAAATCTCAGGATAGTTATTTATCTGAAAGTGCTCGATAGAGTTTTTGTTTGAGCATGCAACAATTTTATAAATTCCAAAATGATAATATTCGCATACAGGATATCACTGTGGTCAAATCAATGCAAAATCCTGCCAGTGCAATCAAACTTGTACTGGAGTCTGTTTGTGTCATGAAGGGAATTAAAGCAGAAAGAAAGCCAGATCCTGGTGGATCAGGTAAGGTTGATTTTTTGTATATGACTTTTTTTTCTGTATTCAGAAATTCTTCCAAAATATTATTACTAATGCAGCATATACCGGTAGTCTGATATAGGGTTGGAAATAGTCAACCGATTAATTGGTTAATGGTTACGATTCATTTTAACCGTTAACTGACATTTCAGATACAAATCATTTTTATGGTATACAATTTTTTCAAAAATGATTACGGTATCGAAAATTTATCTCTTGTGGCGTTCAATTCAAAAGAATACCACTAACTGTATTGCTAAGGACCCAATGAATGTGAAAAATATCTGAAGTACCAAGATTGCTGATTATGAAAATTTGACAATGATGAATTCAGAATCAGTTTTCGGTAAAAATATATTGTTCACGATTTTATTTCAAAATCGTCTATTAAATGTGTGCAGTCGTTCCTGTATTTCTATGTGATATCTCAAAGTACAATTTGTACATAGAGCACTGAAAATTTGTCACATAAATGACATTTAATAACGTAATCTGGTTTTACTAAACTACTTCCATATGTCTGTAGCACGCTGCATATCTTTTGCAGCAGAGCGATCACGAAACTATCTTCGTAGATAATTTTGAGAGATACCGGGATCACGCAAAATTGCTTTGTAACTATTATGATGTAATAAGCTAAAATTATAAATTATTACCGGTATGTCAAATGTCACGCTGCTGTTAACCGGTTAATTTAACCCGGGTAACGGTTAAAGTGTTTTCCCTGAAATTCCCAGCCCTACTGATATTTTATATATCATACACATAATATTCTCCGATCAAACTTTTTTTTATAAATATCTCAATCTCAAATGTTTTCAAATATTAGTGCTTATGGTTGGATACTAAATATACGTCATGAGCATTTATGTCAAAGTTTAGCACTCTTGGAAATAATTTTTTGTTTCCATCGAAGTTGTCCGTCTTGTAAGGTTTTACTGAAAGTACTTTGTATGTTATAATAGTAAATGTAATATGCTATTTGGTTATTGAAATGTCACTTGATGATCGTACCAGGCATAGTGGCAAATATTCAGTCACAGTGTGACTGATTCAATTTCAAGTTTATAGACTTTTTGACTTTCCTATAAGTTTGTGTGATTGCTCACTGTGGATATTATATTCACAAAATTAAAACGTTTTGCACTCAGTTTATTTGAGGGATTTGATTTAATAAAGTGCCGGAATGGCTGGTGATGCACTGTCGAAATTTTCCAGCGCAATCAACTGTATTGCATTGTATGAAACAGAGTTTCTCAAACTTTCTGGACCGCGGACCCGTATTTGTAAATCTTAGTTTTGACGAACCCCCATTCTATGCCATGTAAATTTCCATGCCTAACCAACGTGGATAAAATTTCCTTTACAGCGCAAACGACATTGATTGATGGATGAGTTTGCTTTTCACTGCACAATTTATTAATTCGCGGGGCAATTTGTGACAAGCAAACTCGTAGGCCCATATCGATGCGCACCCTCTATGCAGTCATCACACCCCCAGTTTGGGAAACTCTGGTATAAAATGTTGGCATGATAAAGTAAAACGCTTGATGTATGCATGAGATGAAGTTAAAAATTATGACATACATTTTGGTTAGAGATGAATACACCAAATCGCTGTGTGATTGTCCAGATTATGAATATCATTTTATTCACATTGAATCATTAACCCTTCATCAAAATTTATGTGATATTTCCTTATTATGTCATATTATTAAGAACAGCAATATCAAATTTATTTTTCCATATTCTAAATCGATAGGAAAAATGATTGAAGACTTCTGGGGGCCAAGCAAGAAAATGTTGAGTGATTTGAAATTTTTGGACGGTTTAAAAACATACGATAAAGACAAGATTCCAGCAGCCGTCATCAAGAAGATTCGTGAAAAATATATTCCACATCCTGACTTTTTACCATCTGTTGTTAAGAATGTATCTTCTGCATGTGAAGGTATGTAGAATATATTTTCTCAAGTTTCAAAAATGCTAATTTTATATACTTCAAAATTTTATCATCGCCGAGCAAAATTATCAAATTTATGAACTTTTTATGAGCTCAAAGCAAGATCATATGTACTCACTCAGAAGGAAACTTATCTCTGAGTGATGTTATGAATGACCTAAGTGAATTTACAAAGTGCTAAGACTTATTGAGACTGTAACGAATTATAGTTTGAAATTGTGTGTTACAGATTGACCAAGACTTGAAGCAATATTAATACGTTTTTTATGATATCTGAAACTATGACAGAACTCGTGTATTATGTTTACTTACTGACAACGCTTGAATGTTGTACAAAAATAAATTTCACATTGAGTGCAAATTTGATCTAGTGTATTCAAGTGATTTAAGAATTGTCTTCATTCCTGATATAGAATCCTGGATTTTACGCATATCAACTAGTGCGGTATCAATAGTGGGTTAATCAGTAGTTACCGTAGTCTTCAATAGCAGTATTTTTTGAGATATATCAAGAATAAAATTGTTTTGATATATCTATATATATATATATATATATGCTATTGATTGGGTTTCTACGAGACCAACTACTTCTCTGTCTTCTTTATATTTGTTTCGGTGGATCAGTATACATATAATGCAAGCATGCTGTAGCAAGAGTGAAGATAACTATCCCAAATGATGCAATAGTCTTGCTGCACACTAACACAAATACGAACATTACACGAAAACACGAAACGTTACAAAAATATATTTGTGTTAGTGTGCAGCAAGACTATTGTATCACTTAGGATATATACTGGTATATATATATATACATGTACATTTGTTTGAATTTTTGCAATTCAGGTTTGTGCAAATGGGTTCGAGCTATGGAAGTGTATGAGAGAGTCGCGAAAGTTGTTGCTCCCAAAAAAATTAAACTTGCTGAAGCTGAATCTGACTTAGCCGTTCAGATGAAAAAACTGAATGAAAAGAGAGCAGAGTTGAAGGAGGTATGTATCATCAGCTTTGTATTATATTCAAATTTGAACCTGTTTTATTGGGGCCGGTCTGGCTCAAACACTGACACAAAAATGAAGTAAACAATTTGTAAGCATCCATATCAATTAGTGGATCTCAAAACATTTTTGGAAAAATTAAATGCATCTAAAACTCACTTTTATCCCCACTTGGTCTTTATAACAAAAGAGGCCTGTTTCTAGCCTATGTGGTTTGCGGTAAATTTTTCTAAACGCTGGCGGCAGAATATTAGTTGGAATCTTCACGTATGAATATAGAAATGTGACATAATTTTGATATCCGTGTTACAAAGTTGTGCCTTATTGGCTTCCAATCAGCCTATATTGTGACTGCAATGAATTAAGTTTCTATATCAAGTCTGTGCATCTGAAACGAATAACTAGCTAACTAATCGCATACCCGATATGGACTGATGGCCAGTTTAGAGGCCGTGAAACGTCATATGATTATGCCATCTATTCATTTTTCTCTCCCTCATATAAATTTAAAAAGCTTGTCCTGATTGGTTGTGAATTCAATGCAGGTTGTTGACAAGATGGAAGCATTACAAGCTGAATTTGAAAAAATGAACAACAAAAAAATTGATTTAGAAGCAAATATCGATATGTGTTCCAAAAAATTAGTCAGAGCAGAAAAGTTGATCAGTGGTCTTGGTGGAGAGAAAGAAAGGTTCGATATATTACATGTTCGGACTGGCTACAGCCTGAAACATAATATCAACAGCGTCTCAAATATTTTTTTATGCTGTTCAATCAGATCTTTTGCTCAGAGCAAGCCCCTGTACAAACAGCCAATGATATCTAAGGATCTACTATGATTTTGGGTGGACCAGAATTTTCTGGTTCGTCATTGCTACCCAATTTATTACACCCTAGGTGAGGGGGCGACGTGGGATTTGAACCTAAGATGTAAAATCTGTGTTGCCAACACAATTAAGTCTAACGCTTTTACCACTAGGCAGACCATCATGGTGCCAAAATTGTCTCAAATGAAAACTTTTTTGCTTCGATATTCATCATTTCACTTAGTATTATGGAGAAACAGATATAGCAGAATATGATTATGAACATGCATATGTGTTATTTTTCCAGGCATAAATCAAAGGCAGATGATACAAAATTAGAATATAAACATTTTTGATTTGATTAATAAGTTCTTGAATAATTGTATTCAGATGGACAGACTCAGCTGAACAACTTCGTATAAGACTGACAAACTTGACTGGAGATGTTTTGTTATCATCAGGTATGATCTTATGATAATATTTAAGTTTATCAAAATTTATACCAGGTTCAGCGTTTAATGAATTTAAAACAAAAATAGAATGGGAATTTTGTATTTCTTCCGGAAGAGGAAAGCCAATAAGATAACTTGGCCTCTCATCCAATTACCAGTTCAAGACGGGTATGGGTAGAGTTACCCGAAAAATTTGTTTCAGATACATGGATATGATGGTGGAGGAATCCATAATCAACCAGCGGTTTTGAGAAATACCATACCATGTAGAGGAGTCTAGCAAGCCTTTTACAAAAATTTACCCTCTCAAGATGCAAACCCGCAAAGGGTAATCAAAAGTGCATCGACGAGTGTATTATCAGCGCTTGCCATGATGCGCTAAGCCCAGAACCCGATTTCATCACTCTTGCTGTGTTGCAAAATATTTAATTTCTATTCTTTTTCATGGCAACTCTGAGAGATAATAATAAATATGATAAAAAGTCATTGAAAAAAGATTTCTTGGGTGTTTTGGACTTAGCCACTAAGATGACAATATTACAAAATACCACTTAAATCTGTGTACAATCATGAACATTTACTGTGCTTATAATTCCTAAATTTATGATTATTTACAGGAACTGTCGCATATCTGGGGCCTTTCACTGTGGATTTCCGGTTGGATTGTGTCAGCGAGTGGCAAAACATATGTAATGAAAAGAAGATTCCTTGCTCAGAAACATTTGCTTTATCAAATACACTGGGAGATCCTGTCAAAATTCGAGATTGGCAAATATGTGGACTTCCTGTTGATGCATTCTCCATTGAGAATGGTTAGTGACTGGTATTTTGGTACTCCTGTAGTATGTGTGCCAGGTTAGAGTTGGGCCCTAATTTCATTCCGATTTTCCCTTATTTAAGTTCTGTTACGAGTTCCATCTTAGTTCACATACTCTGAGAGTGCCGAAAATTAAAATCATGATTAATGGATTTATGATCTCAGGAATTGGTGTATCCTTTTAACTTATTCATCATTATTTCTATCCAGGTATTATCGTTAGTAATTCTCGACGTTGGCCACTGATGATTGATCCACAAGGTCAAGCAAATAAATGGATAAAGAATATGGAAAAAGATAACAAACTATCTGTCATTAAACTTTCTGACGCTAACTATATTCGAACTCTTGAAAACTGCATACAGTTCGGTGCTCCAGTCCTGCTTGAAAATATAGGTAACAGGGTTTTATGTTTTAAAATAACTTGTTTGTTCAGTGTAGATTCACATGAACAATTGCGTAATAATTTGAAAAAACGTGACATAATAATAATACTGAAATTTACCACTGACGTCAATACGAATAACTACCGTGTTTCCCCTAAAATATGACGTACCCGAGAATAAGACCTAGCCTGAATTTTGAAAATGATTTTAATATAAGCCCAACCCTTAAAATAAGACCTAGTCAATAAAGAAAATTTTTTGATATAGTTGATAGCAGGAAATCTCTACTACACGTTTCAAATGATTGATAATCTATGTTTTGCAGTTGTTTTGAATAAAAACGTGTTATTTATAAATAAATGGATATCGATTTGTATGTTTGGAAATCTCGTAATTTTCTACTTTGTAATTTTGTTTTTGATAAATGAAAATATGAGACATCCCCCGATAATAAGCCCTGGTGTTTTTTTTCGGAAGAAAATTGAAATAAGACCCAGTCTTAATTCCGGGAAACATGTTAGTGAAAGCTAAATCGACTAAGAAGATTTTCAACGAAGCCCAAAATTTTTTGATTGTTTCATTTCCAGGTGAGGAGTTGGATGCAATCCTTGAATCTGTACTTTTAAAGCAAACTTTCAAACAACAAGGTGTTGAATATATTAAACTTGGAGACAACACAATTGAATATTCACGAGATTTCAAATTCTACATGACAACCAGACTTAGAAATCCTCACTATTTACCTGAAGTTTCTGTGAAGGTAATCCACTGCAACGATTCGCTGTATTTTAAATACAAATAGGATAGGATTTTCATATTTTTCCAAGGGAAACTAAAAGCGAAGATGTCTCAATCATATGGCAAACCACGGCATCTGGTCTGATTGCCAGTCCATAGTGGAGGAAGCTACAATCGCCAGCGTTTATATGAAAAATCTCACAATGGCGTGGAGTCCAGAAATACTCTTGCACATAATTATCCCCTCGGGATTCGAACCTACAAACCTACGCAAGTTAATCATAGGTGCAATGGAAATCATATTCACAGTGCTTAACATGATGTGCCAATCAGTAATTTTAGGTATAATGAAAACAAGAAAAGCCAGTGGACAAAATCGAAAATCTTCATTATTCAGAATTTCTTTTGATTTAAATATTGTTGTCATTTTCAGGTCTGTCTTGTAAATTTCATGATTACCCCACTTGGATTACAAGATCAACTTCTTGGAATTGTCGCTGCAAAAGAAAAGCCTGAACTTGAACAGAAAAAGAATGAACTTATACTGGAAGGTGCTGAAAACAAAAGACAGCTCAAGCAGATTGAAGACAAGATCCTCAAGGTATTGTGAAATTAATTAAGATTAAACAATAGCTGTCTAGTTCCTGCTTTGGATATGACGTTTTAATAATTTTTTAATTCCGGGTAGCATTTGATTTGTCAATCACTTGCAATGAGAAAGACTATACCATAGGAGCTTACGTCACGTTTTTCAGAAATGGAAAGCCAGGAGAAATATGTATTATTACATGGTCAACTGGATAACTTTATTACCTAATTTTTGATGATGTTTGAATTGTATTTTAAAAGTGGTTTTATTACATATAAATTTTTGAGATGCTTGTAATAAAACTAGATATTGAACAAATTGGACCTGATGCACTCACTGCTGGTATTCTAACTGATACCTAAAGATGAGGTTATATATGTCGCTGTTTCCTCATTCATGGGAATGAAAGTTTGAATGTATTGTTTGCAAAGTATATTTTATAGGTTTTGTCTTCATCAGAAGGAAATATTCTAGAAGATGAAACTGCAATTCAGATCTTATCTTCATCTAAAACATTATCTGAGGAAATTTCAGCTAAGCAAGAAATTGCTAATCAGGTTTGAATATGATTAACTATTGCTTCAGATGCACATTAAGCATTTTAAAAATGAAATTAATTTCACTGATCACATAATCATTTCAATGGTGTATTGGTGACTCGACTGATGAAGTATCTTTTTTAGGATTGGGAATACACTCCTATAATTACCCTGTGTGAATTCGCAGGTTTTAATCCTATAGAGAATAAATGTGTGCGAGAGAATTACTGGACTCGTCGTCACCATATGGTGGTTTACATAATTGCTTGTTCGTTATGGATTCCACCACCATTAACTATTTCTATATTCGCCATGGACTGGTAATCTGATCAGAGGCTGTAGTTCTACAGGATTAGGCCGCCTCATTGGCCTTCCTCTCCCTTAGACGGATAAACATGAACACTTACGATAAACATGAAAATCCTATCCTATAAGCATATTCAAGACAGAGACGCTTGTTTAGAAGTCAAAATAAAGAGCACAGTGTTTAATTCTCACGAATATAGGAAGCAACTGAAAATTTAATCGTCGTATATCAGATATTATTTGTTTATTTGTTCTTATAAGTATGAACTGTCAGACTTTACATTTTTGTTTACCAGACTGAGAAAGAAATTGATGAAACAAGGAATGGATATAAACCAGTATCAATACATTCAGCAGTTTTATTCTTCTGCATCAGTGATCTTGCTAACATTGAACCAATGTATCAGTATTCACTCACATGGTTTATTAACCTGTATGTAATGGTAAGTTGACATACTCAATTGCATCCTTATGAACTCCCGGCATAAGTTTCTTTTCTATAATTGTTCACTGGCACTCACTTTTTGATTATCAATGAATTGAATGAACCATCTTTTATATGAAATAAATTTGATGTTGTTAGTGACCATGGAGGTTACTGATTATCATAATGAACTATTATCAAGCATTTTATGCACACTGGTGAGAGTGTGCACAGCAAATTTGTTAATATCGAACAGCATTTCATCATTGCCTATGTAGAGCCATTTGCCACCCTGGGTATCACTACTGAATTTTTGCTTCATTGATCTTTTATTGTAATGTAGTTAACTTATTTATCAAATAATGTTCATCTGCAAATGTAAAAATGCGGGATATATATGTTTTGGTAAGAGAGATTGGATATTGAGCCAGTATGTCTGTTTTATTTTTTTGAGGGTTATTTTTTTCTGACTGATATAGTTGAAATCTCTTATATTATTTTGTGTCACAGTCTATCGAAAACAGTTCAAAATCTGATGATTTGGATGAAAGAATTGAGAATTTGAATGATCACTTCACTGCAAGTATTTACAACAATGTCTGCAGATCGTTATTTGAAAAAGATAAACTTCTGTTTTCATTCGTTCTCACTGTTGCCTTACAAAATAGTGCAGGTGTGTTATTTTGAGAAAACTATTCTTAATCTTCATATCTAAAACATTTGTCCAACAATCATGATGCCAAGTTTTTAGGTTTGTAATTTATTGAATATCACCATTTTTATAATAAATTCTGCATACATTGTAATTTTCATAATTTCAGGTAAAATTGATGATGATGTTTGGCGATTCTTCCTAACTGGGGGAGTAGCTCTAGATAATCCTCATGCAAACCCTGGATCTGATTGGTTGAGCGACAAAGCTTGGTCAGAAATTGTCAGAGCATCTAATTTGAAAAATCTAAATGGATTGATGGACCATTTTGCTGGAAATATCACACAGTGGAAAGCGTTGTATGATTCTCCCTCACCGCATCTTGAAAAGTAAAATTTTCTATCTATTTTTACTTGCAACGTACTTCTTGGTAAACGTTTTGACACAGGTCTGTGAGCCAGAAAAATCTACAATCAACTCTGCGTTGTAAAAAATTTCGATTCCACTCCAGTTGGGAAGGGATGAGATTTTAATATAATACACTTTGACTATGAAAGTCTTCTTCAATAGTTGGTTGAGATCGTACACTAAACTTGGTGCTAATGAGTTCCTGATAAAGTTTCAACTTGTTCTATCACTATTTAGTTAACGTCTATTCTATGAATTCCGACTCTTGACTTTGGGAACTTTGTCTCCCGACCACATAGAATTTGAAAACATGATTTCGTCACTTGACATTATGTTTCAATGATCTGATAAAAATGTCAAAATGATATCTTATATTCAGATTTCCTGACAAGTGGAATAAATTATCAGGACTTGACAGAATGGTGATACTCAGGTGTGTTCGACCTGACAAAGCCATTCCAGCCATACAAGATTATATTGTTGATGTCATGGGACGAGCATACATTGAGCCTCCAACTTTTGACTTGGCTGGTTCATTTGGAGACTCTGGATGTTGCACACCTTTAATTTTTGTTCTCTCTCCAGGAGCTGATCCTATGGCTGGTAATGAAATTTTAATGTTTGCATGCTACCACTAACTGTATGCTATAAATCATAAATTGGTTCAGAAAATTTTCCAATCTAATGAAAAATCAATTATTATACGAATAGGTTTGAATAAAAGAAAATATTTCATTTTTCATTAAAAGTAATTGTTGAGATTCTTTTTTCAATTTTTTTTACAGATAATAGAATTGCTTTGAAGTTGTAAACAAGAACAATCTCTAGTCCTCAATGGCTGTTTTCATCTATCATTAGGTGCCACTGGTACATGAATTCTCGCATCCTAAAATATTTTAATTCATCAACAGAGTAAAAAACTTTTTTGGTTGATATTTATGTTTTAACATATTCAAATTTTCATGGCAGGTTTATTGAAATTTGCTGATGACAAGGGATATGGTGGTGATCGTATCGGTACTATATCTCTTGGACAAGGACAAGGACCAATCGCTATGAAAATGATTAATGATGCAACTCTCAATGTAAGACTTCGTTGTTTATCAAACTCATGTGTTGTAAAGCTTGTGTATTATCTCTGTTATATCTTAAATTATATGCAGTTTCTTCATCATATTATTGTTTTGCTTTTTGCAGGGTACTTGGGTTGTGCTTCAGAATTGTCACTTGGCGACAAGTTGGATGCCAACACTGGAAAAACTTTGTGAGGAAACCATTGTGCCAGAAAACACTCACACTGATTTCAGATTATGGCTCACCAGCTATCCATCTGATAAATTTCCTGTGTCCATATTACAGGTAATATTTAGTAATACTTTTCCTATATTTGTTTTTTTCATGATTAAATTCGTTTAAATCATTTGATGCATCTCATAGGACTGAACAAGTACATATTATAGTGCAAGATAGAAAATCCTAGTTTATAGGTTACCCAATCAAATACATGATGTACATCCTTTGATGTAAACCAGAGAGTGATAATACTCAATTTTAACTGTATGAAGGCGAGCAACATACAATGAATAATCACTTTCCTAATTCCCCACTTATTTTTCCTCAGAATGGTGTTAAAATGACAAATGAACCTCCGAAAGGACTTCGTGCAAACTTGCTTCGATCGTATCTAAATGATCCAATTTCTGATCCCACATTTTTCGCAGGTTGCAACAAAAGAATGGTAAGATATTCAATTGTGTCATTATCAATAATATAATCATAATGTAATAGTGTATATATATGTCAAAATCTAAATGCCTATTTACTGAAAGAAAACAACAGCTCAAGTTGTTAAAAAACAAGGAAAGAAACTAGTTATTTGGTCACACATGATCATGCTTTTGTTGTTCTCACTTTATTTCAGGAATGGCAAAAACTCCTTTTCGGTCTATGTTTCTTCCATGCCATGGTGCAAGAAAGACGTAAATTTGGACCATTAGGATGGAATATTCCTTATGAATTCAATGAATCTGATCTTCGTATAAGCATGAGGCAACTACAGGTATAAAAATTATAATACAAAGAAGGAAGTATTCAAGATGTATCTAAATTTAGGATATCTCTGTAATATTTGCTACCCAATTGTCATACTGTGATCATTTTTTTCCAATAATATTTTAATGGTTGCATATTTATATTTTAAATTTAGTTGTGAGTCTTATCTAGCATAAATGTAAGTGTTAATTTTGTCATTTCCAGATGTTTTTGAATGAATATGATGACCTCCCACTTATAGCTTTAAGCTATTTGTCGGGTGAATGTAACTACGGTGGTCGTGTAACAGACGATAAAGATAGAAGATTGTTGCTCTCACTTCTTTCAATTGTAAGTATGCCAATGAAGGGTTTCCACCGGAAATGACCATATTTGAACTCTGTTTATTTATTTGAGTCTTAAATCAATTCATTATAATAGATAACAATTCAGTCCTTGTTTTGAAGTGAATACCGTAATAGTTTTGCGACAAATATAAAAACACTTTTTTGAATAAATTTATTTAAGGTGCTTTAGTTTTAATTTTTGCGATGCTTATTGTAATAATACAATGTACGTTAATAGTGTAATCTTGAGTTTTCTCTTTTTTTCTTAACGAAGAACACATTAGTTATTTTTTCAGCTTCTTTCACTGTAATTACGTACTCTCAATCAAATTCATTTGATTCTTTTATTAAACGTTTAACCAATTCCTAGCAGATAGATCACTGATAACATTTTTTCAGTTCTATGTGGATGATATTGTGCATGACGATTCTTATACATTTTCACCAAGTGGAAAATATAAAGCACCCAAGGATGGCCCATACCAATCGTACATTGACTATATACGTGAATTACCTCTTGTACCACACCCTGAGGTGAGTGAGCATTTTTCAACAATTCTGTTTTCTTATTCTATATTAAATATGTGTCTTCCAATAAATTTGCGGTACTCCCGTAGTATGTGTACCAGGCTAAGGTTGGGCCATAATTTTATTCAGATTTTTCTTATTTTAGTTCTATTACAAGTTCGGGGACTGTCTGTGTTAGCCAAGTGAATATACTCCCTGTCTATAGGCTTCTGTCCTTTTACACAACTTGATCTAAAGAAGGTGAACAAAATTAGTTACCTCCATATTGGTACACATACTTCTGGAGCGTCAAATTTGCAATCTTAATTTAATTTAGAGTTTAACCATTTTTTTTTTCATTTTTTTTATAGTTTCCTGTTTTAAAAACACCAAAAACCCTGCTAAAATGCTTAAAAACAGTGAAAAACTGTCTAAAAACACTAGAAACCCTGCTAACTCATATATTTGAATAATTCAAAGGTGTTTGGACTTCATGAAAATGCAGACATCACAAAGGACAATCAGGAAACACAACAACTATTTGATGGAATTTTGATGACACTGCCCAGACAAACTGGCGGGAAAGGAAAATCACCGGAAGAAGTAATAGATGATCTTGCGGCAGATATATTGAGCAAATTACCCCCTGATTTTGATATGGAAATGGTCATGGAAAAGTACCCTGTAGTCTATGATGAATCAATGAATACTGTATTGAGGTATGTTTTGAATTGTGAAAGTGTATATTCACTACAGAATATGTAGCGGTAACTGATATATCTGTAATATACTTATGTGGTTGCTTTGTACTGAGATTGGTCAAAAAGTTTTCATTTACCACATAATTTTCAGGTACTGTAGATTGGACTATTCCACACACCGTATCTCGTTTTTAATGGTATTATATTTTTTTGTTCAATTAGGCAAGAACTGATTCGATTTAATCGTCTGACATCAGTGGTTCGCAGTAGTATTCAAAATTTACGTAAAGCAATCAAAGGTCTTGTCGTTATGTCATCAGAATTGGAGGAAGTTTTTAACTCCATGACGATAGGAAAAGTACCAGCCATGTGGGCATCGAAATCCTATCCATCTCTGAAGCCATTGGGAAGTTATGTCACTGGTAAGTTGTATTTTAACAGATAACATTGACTTCATAAGAAACCCTGATTGGGTGAATGTGGCTATTATTCTCCTGTTTTCCAACTGTAATATCATGGCGGCTTATTTATCATTGGAATTGTATTTCAGATCTTCTGCAGAGACTCCAGTTTTTGACAGATTGGATAAATGATGGAATTCCTGATGTATTCTGGATTTCTGGGTTTTATTTTACTCAGTCGTTTCTCACTGGAGCAGCTCAAAACTATGCGAGAAAGTAATATTTTTGTAGCATTCTGCAAATTTAAAAATTATATTTCCACATATTTTTTTGAAATTTATAGAAGCTAGGACTCTCTCAAAATTGAATATATAAATAGAAATATTGCAAAACAGTGAATTAATATTGATGTATGAACTAAATTCGAGTGCAATTTTCAAAAGAAAGCATAATCCTTCAATGTATCAATTCAATATTTTAAACATACCTTATATATTTCTGCTTATGACCAATAAATTATTTTGTCCCTAAATATTTCATGACAACATGACTATTATTGTTCGAACGCAATAATTATTTCCTTAAATTGTTATTTGAAATTATCAGATACACAATACCAATTGATCACATCTCATTCGAGTTTGAAATGATGAAAGCGGAAGGCCCAGCAGAAATTGAGAAGAAACCAGAGGATGGTATGTGTAACTCATTCACTCTTACTCACTCACAAACTCTCTTGGACAGTTCAACTTATTTGACAACAATCATTCAGTAGTAGTATTCGAGACTTGAGTACGCAAATGTAGTAAAATTGTAATATAGTGACATTTTTGCTGAGGCTATGTACAGCAATTTGAAAAAGAAAAAGCATTACATTATCATAAAGTTGCACTGAAGCCGTTATTATTCAAATTTCTATATTTGTGTGTTATTTTTCTTCATATTATAATAAGTATCCATATCTGAAGATTATTTAGGAGAGCTCTAGCATCAGTTCCAGCTGTAAGATAAAAGAGCTTCAGCTCAGATCAATATTTTACTTAAGACAAATTAAGTTTCAAGTTTATCTGTATTAAACTATGGCTTCCTATACTAGAAAATATCAGAGACAACAGATCAAAATATTCTTGAAATCTTTCTTTTCCCAGGAGTTTATGTGAGAGGATTGTTTCTGGAAGGAGCCAGATGGGATCGTGAAGCTATGTCAATGGGAGAGTCATCCCCAAAAGTACTCTTTGATACAATGCCTATAATATGGCTTCAACCTGGGGAGAAATCTACATTCAAGCCAAAGCCTACTTACACTTGCCCTGTTTATAAAACCAGTGCACGAAGAGGAACTTTGTCTACAACAGGTAATTTCTTATTATACAGGTTATTTCATGGCAACCCATGGCCCATTGTTTGGTGATCCCGTTTCTTTTGAGTAAGAATATATTGGTTATTTCTAAGTAGGTACTTTCAGTTGCATCTAGACAAAATATCCAATACTGTATTTGAATTGACATCACTATCAGGTTTTGTAGAGTCTACAATATAGTTTGAAATGCTCATTTGGATCCCTGCACACCATGACACTCAAAATGTCGCAGCATGAGCTTCTTTTAATCATAATCAGGCGGAAATCTTTGAATGTAATATTATTCTAAGTAATTTTTCATAATTCAGGACATTCCACCAACTTTGTACTCCTGATGGAAATTCCTACTGATAAACCCCAGAGTCACTGGATCAACAGAGGAGTTGCCATTTTGTGTCAGTTAGATGATTAGCATATGTGTGTTATTGTTCACTAGTGATTCTATAACCTTTATCTTTGTTTTTTGATTGACTTAAAAGTGTATATTTTGTGTGCCGTTTTTAGTTATATATTGTATCATACTACATCAAACTTATAAATGGAATAAGTGATGAGTAAAATAGGTACATCAGAAATGTGTTGCCATTTGTTTTATCTAGTATGATACAATACATTAAGTATATTATAAATTATTATTAAATATTTTTATAAAGTTCAAAACAGATTTTGTTGTTTAAGTGTTATATCACCTACATTCCTGAAATATTTACCTATTAGCCACCAAATATTATACAATCTTCGCCAAAGCAGCCAGCAGATTTATAAATCTCTTAGTCGATTACAGTATTCTATTCTATTTTTACATGATTCAATAATCCTTCTGTGTGAGTATAATTGTTAACTGTTAATTGGCAATAATTAAACTTTGTATTGCCATGACCGAGTTTGCCTTTTTATTAGAAAAAATATTTTAATGTCATTTTAATATTTTCTCAATTTGCCATTTATTCTACAAACCTTTCTGCAGCACTAGATTGAGAATATCATTAACTTACTGATGAGGGAAGCTTTTCTAACATTGTATCGTATAGTATAAATTTATTTGTTTGAGATGTAGGTTGTGTTTTAAAATAAAAATGATAAAAGTTTACTGAAGCTTTTTGGAGTTTACATAGGTTTAAGAGTGACAAGCAGAAATGATTCAAGGTTGTGGGTACAGTCTCTTTCAAAGGTTTTCGAACAAAGTCTCGGGAATTCAGGGCGCATGCAATACTATTGATGCAGACAGTGCTCAGTTCTATGAATGTAATCATGATGTTTTAGTTTACTCCTATTAAAAAATCCAAGTCTCTGAAAACCAGTGGTGAACAAAGTTTTTTTGCAAGAGCCGCATTCCAAAAATCTTCTTTCAAATGGCGAAATTGATTGTGATGTCACAATTCGCATATGACCGTGTCCAATTTAATCGTGGTAGGGATGGGCCGAGGTTCGATTTCGAATCTACATCATTTTTATCAATTCTGTTTTTATCGATTGACGCTTTCGATATGGAATTTTACCCTTGTAAATGTCAATACAAAATATATACAGTTGAAAATCCGAGACTCGATGCTTAAAAATAATACAATATGTAGATATTCGAGATTGGGCTCCGTCGACATTGTTATAAATGAACAATTGTTTTTAACAATTGTTTAGTTTATCTTGATATCGATATCTTTTTTATTGTGAGGTAATATAGTAGGCTATATACAGGTGGTACCTATGTATGTATGTTTATTTGCCTCAAAAATGTAACAGTATCTGCATAATAATTAAACGGCATAACAGGGACGGGATACATGTTCAAGACCTTACTGGTCGCACATCTGTATATAGCTCACAATAAAAACGATATAGATATCAAGGTAAAATAACGCAAGAAACGTTTGTTCATTTATAACAATGTTGTCGGCCCCAAATCACGAATATCTACGAAAATTCCTAACTATTCTATCCTCTATAGAATCTATCCTTATTGGCAGTGGCGTAGCATCCACCCCCGCAATCCCCGCGGTCGCGGGGGGGCCCACAGCGAAAAAGGGCCCCAAGCGGTTAAAATTTAGAAATTTAAGCTGCAAAACCAAAAGTTGCATTGCAAAAGCAGTAATGCACATCTTATAATGTTGATGTTAGTTCTGCCGTTAATATATAAATCGTTTTGTTACGTAACAATGCCGATGTCGTCGATTTTCGGCGTCGTGTGGTTTGATCGCATCATCGCATCCACAATTACGAAGGCTGTCAGATTGATGTCGAAAGCAAAACCCCTTAATGGCGCACAAAAGCGAAGAATAAAGGGCAGAAGATGAAGGACGTATAAAAAAAAACTAAAGTAACCAAGATAAACGAAATATTTAAACCAAAATTGAAACAATTAGACTTGGGAATACCGAACGTAACTGAGGATGAATTAAGCCTAGCACCGGTGGTATCGGTAGAAAACCAGATGCGTGTTCAATCTCCAGAAGTGATGGCGCCGGCGCGAATGAATTTTCTTCCAAAACTTACACAACAATGATCACAGGTAAGCTACTAATGGAGCAAATTGACAAAATTGATATGACGAAGATGGTGGATGAGTTTGCTAACACGAAAGCGCAAATTTTAGGTTACCATAGCCTTTTTATAGCAACATGTTATGCTTTTTGACGAAATAAAAAAAAACTTTGTTTTAGCTTATGTGTTATGTCCGAGAGTTTTTATGGTCATTTCAACGGAATATTTTTGCGGGGGGGCCCACGAGAGTCTTGCTACGCCACTGCTTATTGGTGTATATAAGACAAGTATGAGTTGGCACAATATATGCTAGTCCGCGTAGAAATGAAACATTGCCTTCCAAGAATAAGTAATGCCTGATAAAAACCGTTTCATGTCGAAATATTATAACACGAAATATAAAGGGGATCAACCCAAATGGTCATTTCATCGATAACTTTTTCTAATCGAGTTTATTATGTGCGATTTCTTTCTATAAAGAAATTGTTGCTAAAATCTACAAAACCTCGCTCAGAACAGAGTTAGACAGGACTCGTCCCATCCCTAAATCATGATTGACATTGTTGACCGTAAAAACATCCATATTTTTTACCAATCCGTAGTTTATATATTCTAACGTTAAAAATAAATCCGAAATTGTGTATGCAGTTGCAAGCAATTTTCACAACGCACACAATGCCCTTGCAGGTCATAGATTGCCCATTGCTGCAAGTGGTTAAAACTAGGAAGGAAACGGATCGCCACGTTTGTTACTGGGATATCTTTTTCTGTCAGCAATTTATGCCCGTGCCCCATGGACAAGCCTGCCGATTTCTCACCACAAAATAAATAATAGATACAAGTGCAGGGACGGAACTGGCGGCTATTGTCCTTTCTTCCCTTTACCGTCTTGTTACGGTGTGCTATACTTTCGTTAAGTCTTCTTCGTCAGATAAAGTGTCTGAGTTCTGAGATATTTATTAAAAGTATATATGATATTAAGTCAGTCGATTGGCCGACTTGTATATTCGACAGCACCGATGGGCCGGCAAAAAGTGTCACATTGTTAACACTCATTTCGTTGTCGTCCCATCTATTTAGTCGATCTCATCAAGGTTGACACTACAGGCTCTGCTGTCGGGATATTCGCACGATTGAGTGAAGTTGTATTAAACGACAATAGAGGGCGACCCATAGATACCAGCATAAGTTGCCCCTGCGATTTTACAAAGGGCGGTGTTAATATGGAATGGGAGGGGGCTGTAGTGTAAAGCGATAAAATAAATAGAATATAAACTCAATCAATATAATAATGATTAAACAGGACGCATACAATGATGATGCATGGGGGCAAAACATAATCGAGTATGGAGGCAGAACAGAAATCATTGATAAATAACAAAAAATGCGGAGGATGTTAACAAGCCATGAATAAAATGTTAGGCAATATCCCGGCTACGTCAAGGCTTTGTAGGGAATGAAAGGGCGTGCTCCACAAAGTATTACGAAGTCTGTTGTTGACGTACTGGATCGGGCATGATGTATTGGCGATTTTCTGGTACTGCAAAGTGGAGTCTGAACTTTAAAGCATTTGCGCTTTTACGTTTGTGTGCGACATTGGAAGAAGCACATTAATCTCATCTTCGCGATTCGCGTCGTGAGGTAAAGTAAACAATCGACTTGAAAAGGCAATTGGTTCGCCAATGGCAGTTCGAAATGAATTGGTTCGTCAATGTAGTTCGAGATGAACGATGTGGGGCAATTATTACTAGCATTATCAGAGCTACATGAAATTTCGATTTTGAACTCTTTCTTCATTTTGGTCAAAGTCGCACCCATCATTTGTTGGTGGCGCGTTTGTACTTATTTCCGTATCTTCGTCCATATTGAATTTAGGAGAAAAGTCTTGACTCTCTCTATCTCTATTTTTTTGAGTGTGAAAGATCGCTTAATGCAGCTAGACGTATATGATCTAGTCTAGAGCTACTGAATTATTACCCAGCACTATATATCCCAAAATGTTAATTTTCCATACATTTAAAACTGTTTTTGCGCCATTTCATATTAAATTGTTTTTCTTAACTGTATCGAGAAATTTCTTCACGTTATTGTCATGCTCCTCCGTATGTCCAGCTATAGTTACATTATCAAGGTATGGAAATTTATATTTCAGATTGCTTTTTCGACAATTTTATCCATTAGTCTCTGAAAAGCTGGTACTTCATTGGTCACTCCAAATGAAATACGATTGAACTTCCAGAGTTTACCATCGCCCTCAAAAGCAGTGAATTTTTTTTTTTAATGGATAGGCGTCTTGCTCTGTATAAATGTTTATCGTTCGTGAATAATCCATTCAAAATCGTCGTTTTGAGGTCAATGGATCCTTCACAACTAACGGCTGTGCTCCGCATGGCAAAATACTTGGCCTAATAATTCCCTCGTTGTACATTCTCAAAACTTCTTTAACGATAAATAAAATCACATACTTTTGAATCATTTTGAACTAGAAGTTCAAGGCGAGAACCGTTAAAAGGGAAAACGACTCTTTCGTGTTGTTTCTAAAGTCCTGACCCATCAATAAATCACAGCATAGACCTCGAAATACTTTGAGAAGCACTTTGGTACATGAACGAGTGTCAATTATTATAAAAATTCAACATGATCCAATAGTCGTTCCTTGCATTTGCTGGACAGCCACATTCTAGCAGTCTTTAGTTTATAGAAGAACTACCGGTATATATCTATCAACGCAGTGATGTTGCGACCGAATATGGCAACTGGAAGTGTTGGCAGTAGTAAGAACTTTGGTGCCGATTGTACATCGTGGACTGATAGAGATACGGACGCCATTATTGATAAAAGTCTCCAGATTTAATTATATATATTTGATCGGCACAGTGTTCCTTTTTGTCGCATTTGTAACAACTGGCTTTGCGAGCTAGACAATTTTGACGATGGTGGTAATTATATCCACAGAATATACATTCTCGCCATGTTATACACCCAGTTACTATTTTTTCATTGTCGAAAGAGGCTTCGGAAGTGGCGAATGCCGAATGTTGCAATAGGTTGAAGGTTGATAAGCCTCTCGAGTTTATTCACGGACTGGCCCTCTTGAACACTCATCTCTTCATAATTCTTTACCGTAGTTCTCGAATGTTTTTCGCCAGTGCTTCCATTACTTTGCCGCGCTTGAAGAATTTAGATTCAGATCAAGTCTCGCTGGTTTCATCGATGCATCCATATTTAAGATTTTAGTTTCCTAAATTGTTGTAACAGTTTATTTATTATAACCAAAATTAGGACTTTAATTAGGAAACTAAAAACGCATTTTAACCAAAAACACAAGAACATGCAACACAATTACATTGAGTCACTAAGTAAAGCCAAACTTAGTCGAACCAGGTCTGATACTCGTAACAAATCGTAACTAATGCAGTGAGGCGGATGCAGTCCGTTGTCGCTTGACGATAATCAGTGATTACAACACAAAGACTGGTAATGCAATAATGACAGAATATAAACGAATGTATAGCACATTGCAACAGGAATAACTGAATTTCATTCTCAAAACAAGTATTTGAATTATCAAGAGCAACGTAGTACCCATATCCCTTTAAATGTCATCGCAACCACAGACGACCGGGACAGCAACTAGTCCAGAGTATCAGTATCAGTAATTTATTTTTTCCACCATTTGAAAATACGCAAGCTACATATACAGAATAAAATAAAAGAAGAATAGCATTTCAGGGTGGAGGGAAACGCTGAAAAACCAGTACTGGTTATCGAGCAAGTTGAGACATTTCGGTATCAGGGGTACAGCAAACAAACTCATTTCTAGTTATTTAAGTAATAGATCACAATATGTTCAAGTTGGGTCGTGTCGTTCCTCTCCCTTACCAGTGACTCACGGAGTTCCTCAAGGTAGTTGCTTGGGTCCTCTTCTATTTCTAGTCTATGTAAATGACATAACTTGTTGTTCCTCCTTCTTTACCAAATTGTTTGCTGATGATACCAATCTTCTCGACAGCGACAAATCTTGTGCAGTTCTTCAGTTGAGAGTAAATTCTGAAATTGCGAAAGTATCAAATTGGATGCGGTCTAATAAACTAACACTGAACATTGGCAAATCAAAAACTATGTTAATATCTCCACACCAGTGCAAATCTAAAAATGAAACAGTAATACAAATTGATGACAAAGAACTTGAAAATGTCCATTCTTATAAATATCTTGGCATATATTTAGATAGTAAAATGAATTGGGATGTTCACTTATCCAAATTATCCGTTAAATTATCTAAATCGGTTGGAATACTTTACAAGCTTAGACGATTTACATCACCAACAACACTAAGGATGGTGTACTACTCCTTATTCCAGAGCCATATCCAATACGGCATAATTGCTTGGGGTTCAGCTGTTAAACATTATTACATCGCATTGAAATTATGCAGAACCGAGCAATCCGTGCAATATCTGCCGCTAGTTATTTTTCACGACTCAGTCCTATTTATTATAACCTTCAAATTATTAAATTGGCAGACATTTACAAAATAGAAGTTTTGAAATTGATGCACCAACACCACTGCAAAAAACTCCCTCCTGCGTTCACAAACTATTTTTCAAAACAAAGCAATGTTCACTCATATGGAACACGGTCCTCTATTAGCAGTTCTTATTATGTAAATCGTTTTAGCACCAAACTCACCCAAAACTCAATCAAGTTTGTTGGTGTTAAATTGTGGAATAATCTCCCCAATAGCATTAGGACCAGTACCTATAACTTGTATAAACATGCACTGAAGAGCCTATACCTAGATGCTTATAAGCCCAGTTGCAATTAGTCTAGAAATATTATATTTGTATACCGGTATGTACCGTACCTATCCCTGTGGTGCTGCTTTTCCCATCCATGTTCGTCAAGTTGTGTGCTCGCTGTGTACTGTTCTTGTTTTAATATTTTCCGCCCAACCTATATGCCACGAATACTGCAGAACCCATAATTATTCTGCACTACTCTAATAGCCACTAACAATCGCTTTCAACATAAAAATCCGTTAAATACGGTATTGATTCTCGCAGCCAGAAGCCCGTTGCTGGGCACGCCATATTGGTTTACTGTGTATGCTTAGTCAGCATTATTTCGCAATTCTTTGTTGTCATTGAGGCATATCCTTCTTACAGATGTCGCTGTTAAGTCATATAATACGATGTGATCATTGTAGTATCTCGGTGTTTATTTCGATTTTATTTTGTTCTTACTCTGTATGATTGAGTTTAATTAGGTAAATATCTAATACTCCATAGTTATTATGACATCCTGTATTTTATTTTTCAAACTTTGTTGTTCCTTTTTGTGATTGAGGCTAATTAAGTGAATGTTTAGGTAACTTTTCGTGGTCATTGTGGCATTCTTTTTGTTGTCCCTTTTATACATATGATTGTGTCGAATTTAGTGACTATTTAATATTGAGTTGTTCGGTTGCTATATTTGCTGCTTCAATGCAGCTACAAGGTGTCGCTGACTGGATGACTCTTTGAGTCTTTCGCGATCCCTCGTCTATTGCAACAAGCCGATATCTGTCTTCGTAATTTGTTATATGTCTTTTTTTATTTTTTCATATCGTATATTGGTTTTGCATGACGAAAATAAAATCTGAAATCTGAGCAGCGACACCCTAGATGGGGTCTAACACAGCATGACGAAATAACATGAAATAGAAAGTTTAAAATGAATATGAATGAAAAAGCAAAATAATCACACTAAATAAAATTGTATATTGGAAACGTTCAAGTATCCAGCGGATTTTCAGGAAATCCAGAGTCTCTCGTTAATATAAAAATAGACTCCAAGCACCATCAAGGTAACCACGGCAACTGCTCAGCTGAAGCCAAAGTGACTATAACCCGTTTTTTTAAGACGTTTTTTTTTTGTACAACTGTTTGACGATTTTTATTATATAGATAATAGTTTGTTTGTAATCTTCATTAGACTCTATCAACTTTTGTAGTTGTTGTACGAGTCTCTAAATTGTATCTGCTGTAAATATTTTTGTGTTAGTTTTTGCATTGCCTGGTTTATAGTTGTATGTTTCGCCAAACTTGCCTTTCCTATACCTTGCTTTCCTCGCATTTTTATTAGTAAATATTCCGAGATAGTTACATATCCCTAGTTTTACTCTGTGTCAAAATATCAAATATTTCATATGTCGCAACTACTGTATATATTTGCATCAGCTGTGACTCGTTTGTAGGGTCTATGTATTTTATCCCTCATTTATGTTGCTCTTTATTTTAACCTGTAACAGCGCTGTAGGTGTCGCTGCTTGGAGACCTTTTCAGGTCGCTCGCGACTCCGGTTACACAAATAGTATAATTAGTACTGTATATTTATTCATTGTATCAGTTTTATTTGAACTTGTTTCTGTGATGACAAATAAACAATTGATTGGTCGCCGCGTTAAATCACTTGGGGATCATATACAGCGATGGAAATTTGGACCCAAAATGGCGGGTGTGACGTCACACAAGCGCTTATAACGTTACCAATGCATGTCCTCACTTGGGTTATAGTCACTTTGGCTGAAGCACTGGCTGCGGGCGAGTGTACAGTTAACGTCAAACCTGATAGCCGGAAGGATGTCGGTATTGCAGTAGGAAATTAAAGATTCTATTCAATGGATTGGACAATAAATAACAGGTAACAATAAATACTACAGTATTTTTTATATCTAATTTATGTAGGACATGAAACTGTAGCAAATAACATGTCCACAATGAGCAGAAGATTGAAATGTGTAACAACAATTGGTAAGTAGACTACTAGTGTATAGGTGATACAATTCATAAGGACAATAGTTGCAAAAAATATATAAGAAAAATTTAACATTTATTATCATATAGCATGTAATGGACTAAAATGGTGGAGACTGAAGTCTGAGTTATTGACCCAGCTCCATGTAGAACTCAGGTGCTTTTAAGACCGGGAATTGATTGATTGCGTGGCATAAATGAGCTTACTGCACACAGTAAGATTAGGGTGATACGCTTAAGATACTGTTATATCCAAGTACATGCCACTGGTCCCAGATAGGGAAGATATTGAATGGAATTTGAGCAAATCACAAAAAGAAGATACGAATAATTATCATTCCAGGTATTAAAGACCCAACAGCTTGAAGTGTGGTCAAATGTTGAGCTGACAATAGTAAGAAAACAAGACTCAGACATGATATCAACTGGAAGATGTGGCGGCACCGGATTGGTAAGTGGAGATCAAGAATTTTTTGTATTTAGCTTTGAACATATTGTATGTTGTATCACGCAAGGTTTGAGGAATGCTATTCCAAGTTACTACTCCTTTGTATTTCAAGGAGTTTTGGGATTTACTTGAGAGAAAGCGGGGTACAAAAAAATTTGATTTTGCGGAAGAGCGAGTATGATGTTCGTGCACAGACCTAACCGTAAAAAAGTAATTGTCAAAGGCTGCCGATAATCGATTGTTTTGGAACTGATGCATGATTTTAGAAACCTCAAGCTTGTGGATGTCAGACAATTCAAGCACATTAGTTTTGAGATATATCTTTTTTAAATTAAAACGAACAGGTGCTCTAGAGAGGATTCTAACAGCCCTGTTTTGTAACAATTCCAATTTGTGCAAATTTGTAGGGGCTGCAGAGCCCCATGCAGCTATGGCGTATTGAATGTGGGACTGGAAGAGAGAAAAGTATACGGTCCGCAGGGTCGAGTCTTGAACATAAAATCTCGGTTTACCCAGAATCCCGGTTGATCGTGATAATTTTTTATGTATTTCAGTGATATGAGTATTCCATTTTAGTTGATTGTCAATAAAGAGTCCAAGATATTTATATGAGCTGACAACTTCTAAAGATATACCCTTAATTTTGATTGTAAGATTTACATTTCCAGAATGCGCTTTCGGGTTAAATAGCATTACTTTAGATTTGTCAATGTTAATTGTGAGTTTGTTGCATGTCATCCAATTGTGTATTTTATTTATTTCAGTGTTTGTGTTGGTTTGAAGAGTTATCAAATTCTTCGCGCTATTGAGGAGGCAAGCATCGTCAGCGAAAAAGTTTGCTTAAAAGATTTGATGAGTTCGATAAATCATTTATGTATAATAAAAATTCAAGAGCACCCAACACAGAACCTTGAACAACTCCACAGTGAATGGGCAACATTGGAGACTTATGAGAATCCACCTCCACAAATTGATATCTACCAAGCAGGTAATCACATAGTAGATTACCGGCTGTACCTCGAAAACCATAATGCTTTAGCTTTTGGATAAGAATGTTGTGGTCAACGGTGTCAAACGCTTTCTTTAGATCTAAGAAGGTACAACAGACAAGCTCACCTTTATCAATTTTATCGTAAATATACGAGATTAGGTCTACAATAGCATGGCTGGTAGAATGACTCGTTTGGAATCCAAATTGACATTTGTTGATAAGATTAAATTTAGAGCAATAATTCAGCATTCTTTCTTTTATTATTTTTTCTAGAACAATGCCTATGGTGGGGAGGATGGAGATTGGCCTATAATAGGCCGGGTTATTTTTGTTGCCATTTTTGAAAATTGGAATTACCCTAGCTATTTTTAATGAGGAAGGGAAAATGCCTAAACTAAATGATAAATTGAAGAAATGACTTAGAGCTGGAGATACAATATCAGCGATTATTTTAAGAAAATAGGTTGGAATACCATCTGGACCAACTGCTTTGCCTTTTTTCAGGTTCAAGATTATTTGATGAACTTCGGGAGGTGTCGTTTGCTCGAGAAAAAAAGAATTTTGTAAAGGAGCGCCTAAGAAGTCAGTGGGTGACTTAGAGCTATGTGGGATTTTATCCGCAAGTTTCTTGCCTACAGTGGAAAAGAACTTATTGAACTCTGAGGCCATTATTACGGGGTCTTTAACAATGGAACCATTTTCAAGTTTCAATTCTTGGATGGTGGAATTATCACTGGACTTAACTTTGATAATCTCATTGATAGTCCTCCAAGTTCGTTTAACGTCCCCTCTGTTGTTATCAAGGATATTATGGTAATACTGTTGCTTGGATTTTCTCAGTAAATGTAACAGAATATTTTTGAATTTTGTAAAGTAAAGACGCTGAGATGCATTGCCCTTCAAAAACTTTTTTTTGAACATGCTGTTTTTATGTTTGATGGACTTACGAATTCCCTTGGTAAACCAAGGTTTGGAATATAATTTATTTTCTCTTCGAGAACGAGGTCGTAATGGTGCATGTTTATCAATCAGCCATTTTAATTGACTGAGAAAGAGGTCAAACGAATTATTGAAATTATCTATACCTAAAGTGGGACTGGTATAATTTTTACATATTGACTCAGCCTCTAATCTAAATAAGTCTTCAGAAAATTTTCTCATGTCGCGTTTTAAGCGAGTTTTTGACTTGATATTAATACCAGTAGTTGAAATTGTACACATCATTGGAAAGTGATCGGTAAGATCACTAAGGAGAATAAATGATGATGAACAAGATTTTATGTTACTAGTATAAATATGGTCTATTAGGGTCTGTGAGGACAGGGTGACTCTTGTCGGTCGTGTAATAATTGGGAATACAAAATTTGACGCAAGCAAGTCCAAATACTTGGATGTGGAATTGTCACGGCTATCAAAAAGGTTAATATTAAAATCACCTAGAATCAGGAATTGCTTTCTTGCCATTGTCAGCTTTTTGAATAAGTAACCCATTGCTCCCGTAAATAATGGAATGTTGTTTTTTGGGTGCCTATACATTGCTCCGATAATAAGGCTTTGGGTTTTGGAATTTGGTTGAGAATAGTTGATCTCAATCCATAAGTCCTCACAATTCGGAAACGATAGGTTGAATTCATTATTAACTTGGAAGTTTATGTTGTTCCTGATATAAAAACCCACACCACCCGCTTGAGTTATGGAGGGAACATGGAGAAAAGTGTATCCCGGAATATCAAAATCGAGAACAGCGGTATTGCTTTTAATTCTCGTCTCGCTCAGGGCAATTATATGTGGCGGTATATGAAAATTAGAGATCAGATGAACTAAATCAGTGGTTCCCAAACTTTTTTGACCATCGCCCCCCTAAAGTTGTTTATACAACTTCATCGCCCCCCTGCACTACAAAAAAATATAAAGTCAAAAACGAATTTATTACAGACCAAATAAGAAGACAAATCAAAGTTTATAGTGTTTTTTAATGAGATAGATGAGCTTGGTGTTCTTCAGCGAGTTTTTTATTATATCTAAAATTACCCCATTCACTGATGGAAAGGTGATTTCATTGTTCTAATAGCAATAGTAGCACGGCTGAAAACCCCTTTTTCACCATATAATAGGTCGGAAATGAAAGAATCCAGGGTCCTACCTCCTCAAAAACCGCCGTGCACTCTTGCCTTATATCATTTCACTTCCTAAATTCACCCCATTTCACATTAAAATGAGAAGAACAAAGTTAATTTTCCCAAACTTATAATAATGATTTTCGTACATTTCATTCATTCGTACAGCCTGATGACCTGCACCAAAATACTTCGGAAAAATCCATCCCCGATTCCTCATCCTATGACGGCCTCCAGTCCATAATTAACCAGCCATTTTTTGGATTCATGGACTCGGATGTGGAAGAAGCCGTGACTGACTATCGGCTACGGCCCAGGGTCGGCAAATTTTATGTCGCTCGCAGGACAAAATTCAGGGTTGCTAGTCTTTTGCGGGTCGCATATATTTTTTGAGAGTTAAAAACGGAACACACGCGAAAACTGCGACAATCGTGAACTCAACTCAGTCGTCTTATTAAAAAAATATTACAATGACATTTAATGTGACACTGTCTTGTTGCTGCATCGCGCTGGATAGCTTTACGACGCCAAGATTGAAACATTTTCTAAATGGGCATCACCAAACCCACTTCTTTGCTTGTTCTTTGTAATGTGCATTTTCGAAAATAATGGTTTGCACAAATATGTACTTCCAAACATCGAAGTGAATATTTTCGCACGATTTGTGAAATTTTGGTAAATATATATTTTCTTTAAGAAGATACATTCTTACAAAAATCAAGCAGTGATGAATCTCCCGAATATGAATATGAATTTTATTTCCTTATTGCTTTGTAATATATTCGAATATTTACTGCGCTATTGAACCCCTGCACTCAGCATCAACTTTTCTGCGTGTTTCCATTTGTCTAATTATAATTAAATTGTAGGCTCGTTAGACGAGTGGCTGTTCACTAAATTGTTAGAATATAGTATAATTTACTCTAAACGTGTCTCACGATAAATTCTGTTACGTAAAAAAATGCAATTTACTCCTCGAGCGTAAATTATAAATAAAAAATTTTCATCGTCAAAACCGCCGTTTGGATATTTCCCCGGGCATACCTTCCTTGTTTACTTCGTGACATTGGCCAATCAGCAAGATGCAAAAAACGTAACAATGCCCCCTTTCGCAGGCGCTCAGACACTCTCACTCGGACAGATTTTCAGGGGTGGTCGTGAGCACTACCTCATTTTCGCGTTTTTGAATTATATTCGTTAGTATGTAGTTGTTTGTCGGAAATTTAAATATAAATCAAATAAGTCAATGATTACTTTGTCTTTCTATGAGTTTAAGTTTAAATACAGCAATCAAAAATTAGTGTAGAAATAGCTGTGATAGACTAGGCTAAAATTCTTTATCGGTACTTTCAAAAAACAGATTGTTAAATGGTGTGTATTAGAATGATAGTTTGAATCAAATACCCCATTTTACAGGCCACAGCTCGCGAAACCACTCTTAAAATAAGCACCGAAAATTTTAAAATGGTAAAGTATGGAAAGAATTTTCCGCGGTCAAAGGTCGGCGGGGAAAGGTCCATTCAGTGAATCGTCCCGGGCCAGATTATTTTACTTCGGCAGTATTTTGCCGACCACTGGGATACGCAAACTACCTTACCTTATTGCAAAGACGAGACCAGAAATCCTTTCGCGTGTGAATATCGCCCACGTGATTCAAGCCTGCGAATGCACACAGAGTACAGAATTAAGTGCGCCGAACATAAAACAGCTTTCGCGAAATCGCCCCCCTATCGCCCCCTTAGACTTTTTCGCCCCCCTCTGTATCGTTTTCGCCCACTGGGGGGCGATATCGCCCACTTTGGGAATCACTGAACTAAATCATCGTAATATTTTGCTAGGGACCTAATATTGAAATGTATTGCAATAAGCTCTGAGAGAAGAAAACTAGAGGACACATTATCGATATCTTGTATTTCGAGGTATTGACTAGGGAATGATGTCACGTGGGGATGGAAACTAAGTGATTCCCAATTTAAGTTAGGCTTGGCAGATAGCTCTAGGACTTATAGAATTGCAAGATAATAATTTGCTTGGAGAGATAAAAGTAGAGTTTACACACACTGGGGTGGGTTTAGTTATATTGACATAAGACACAAAAATAGGCAAGGATCACATTATATGAATTTGTCAAGGCGTTTTTTAAGTCTGTCATATCACTATAAGGGATGATTTATTAGTAGTAGGATTAAAAGAGAAATAATACTTCGGGATATTGGTACGATCCTAACATTTAAGATTCCGCGCAAAAACATCAAGCCCTTTAGTCTTCCAAATTAGCTTCCTAAACAAATTATCTTTTAGTTACAATATTTATTAAAGTAATTAATTTCTAACCAACCAAGTAACTTTGCCAAACTGTTCAGCAAACCAGACAATAATTTGACTGGAATTACAAAAAATAGAAATTTCCACATTATCCAAAAGGTCTGATGGTAAAAATTGTATGTTTATGCTATGTGGTTGTTTTATCGCATTGAATGGATTTTAAAGGACTGTCTATTTATTGAAATCAACTTTAGACATAATAATTCATCAGTTGTCAAATATTTTGAAAAATATGACAACTCATGTAATTTTCAGAGAGTTATTTATATGCTACGATTTATAAGAACTCTCAAGTCGAGTAAGGTAAAATACCTGTTGACATCGGTGGAAAACAGGATGGATCCAGGATCCAAAAGCTCAATTTAAAGAAAAACTATTTGAACTATAACAACAAACATTTTCATTGCCATATTGTACAATTGACGATAATCGAAAATCTAAATTCAAATCGTACGTATCACGCAGACTATGCAAAGCAAGTGACCAACTCCCGGCGGACATTCCGTCGTCTTTATGGTGTTTTTGGAATATTTCCTAGTATTTCAAGTTATCAATTTCTACTTGTTGTGTGGCGAATCCATTTTTTGTCAACTTTAACCAAAAACAGGCTACCACTTTCCCATTGCGATTAATAGAATATATGTATTCTAATATCTTTCAATTTTTATTACTTTTGTGCTATAGTCAATATAAAGCAATGGTACATATGAGATGAAAAAAAAAAGGAAAAGATTAACTTCTGTTGATGGAGAGTCGCGTATGGCTCAAGGAAGGGAGTCTCACCAGTTTTATAGTTGTCATAATCATTTGTTTAATGTTTTCGGGTTATTTACATTGTATATTACGGCTTAACACTTTGCAATTAATCAGAAGAAGTGGATGCCACGCGAGGGACAAATTATAAATCTAATCAATAGGACAAACCCTGCGTATCTCCGGATATCTGGTATCGATGTTGAATTCACCTTGTCTTGAATCAGACGAATTATTGCTTCGGAAGGATTCGCGCGACGTTCCGCGTTTTTCTGTGTTCTGGTGGCGCTGCCGCTGTCTAAATGTACTGTACTGTTGGATAATATTAAGATGGAAGTATTGTATGATTGCTAATTGCTATTTATTTTCCCATATTTACTGCTAGATCCTCGTGAGATCCCTCATATCTGCGTATGGCTTAAGCGTCGCCGTATACCTGTAGGCGGGCGGCTCCCAGACTGGATTCCATGGCAGATGCACGCCCGAAGGCGCTAGCGCTCCGCAAAAATGCACGCGATCGAATTCAATTTTGCACGCCAAAAATTTGTAATTGCTCACCAATGTAAATCGGTTTAAATGGTCTATAAATCAATAATACAGTAATATAAAGATGCCAAAAAATTATAACTCCAAAATTGTCGACTAATACTAGCTTGCAAGATTTGGCCTGATCGAAAAATGCGAAGCAAAAAAGACCATATCGTGTTGAATGATAGGAATATCGTGTTGAA